TCTGAAATTACATCACAAAATGGTATAGTGAAAACGACATGAGGAAAAGGTTTCCAATCTAAGTTTAGAGCCATGCTAAAGCACATCATTATTATTTATTTTTTATTTTTTTCTTCCGAGATCAGTGGAAATACAACTGTCTATCTCTGTAGAGTGCAGTTATTAATACAGATGGATTTCTCACTGATCTTTTAAATCATATAGCGTTGATTACTATTGAAGTTTGAGGTGTGAAAATGTGTCAGGTTTAGAAGACTGTCAAAACATTATTTTCTCTCCAGTACAATTTCGCTCTATCAGGCAAGTAGGAGTATAGACTTGATTCTCACCTCTTATTCCTTGTAGCGCCGCAATTCCGATGAATATTTTGGTTTAGTGAAGAGGATGACTTTGCAGCCGGCAACAACAATTTTGGTTGACAAATTGTTTTCCTTTCTGAATTTGTAAGCTTTTGTTGCGGAGATGCCTCTTTCGGCTTTTATAGTGCCGGGGTGAGTCGGTGCGTACACTGATCCTTGCATTGACTTGATCACTTCCAGACGATGTCGCCTCCTTTCTAATGCAGCTAGCAACCGATTCCTCTGGTCCATGTAAACAAATTTTGCTATGATCGTTTCAGGTGCGTTGGTTGATTTGTCACGATTCTTGGATCGAAGGCGTTGGCGAGGACAACGGATTGCGCCTCTGCCTCGCTCAAACCAAGAGCTATGATTTTTTTATTCAAATGTCATTTGGAAACTTTCCATATTTGATCAAGATGGTGTATTGCCATATGGTTGTAGCGATGGATGCGGTTACTCGCGTTGATGTACTATGTGGATTAATCAGATTCAGATTCTGAATATTGGCAGAAAATTGAATCATATTGACAAGGATGTAATTCATTGTCCACGATAATTCTCAGCTAACATATTCGCTCACTCCCCCTCTCTCTTGCATAAAGAAAATGTGAATAATAATCTTTGCCTTGATTAAGACAAATTGATCATTTTATCAGTATTAAACAGGGAGAAAGAAATGGAAAGGAAATTAATCTAAACGAACATATAAGATGATGGATATGAATGCAGGTACGTTAAAATGTGATATAATTCATTATATAGAGCGATGGCAAATTAATTCTTTGACATTGATTGATTCGATCAATTTTTACATGAATGCGGTGACTTGTCGGTAACGAACGGCAAGCTGCGATATCTACTCAATATATCGAACAATACGAAATCTAGCTGTAGTTGCTACACAGACAAGAAAGTAAATAAAAAGGGAGAAACCAGAATGATGACGATGACAATGATTGAAAGCTTGGATAAAAGATAATCAAACAATGTGTTCTGGGGTCATATTTATTGAAATTTTAGAAAGTGTTATCCACCAACATTGTTCAACGTTGTTGAACTTTGTGTTCATTTATACATAAATGCGGTGACTTGTCGGTTACGAGCAGATGGTCCAAACTTATGCTGATCTTGATCTTGTCATGTAATTTGTATTTAATATATGCCTGTAGCACATAGTCACACTACCAATAGCATACACCACCGAGATCCCCGCGAATTATTGGTTCATGATCTATAATAATACCAGTTTTTCGCCAGTCAGAGAACTGGAAAAGTCGGCGCCCCTTGTTAACCTTGATCACAATCCTAATTTAGAGCGCATAATATTTTGTGCTTCATTTCTAGGAGTAGGATCTACATTGTAAGTCACAATTTTAAGAAGTTGGGCCCCATAGAGCCTATCATACGAAATACAAGATTTCCAAAATGTGTGTGTGTGTAGGGAGGGGGCATACCCTACCCTTAAGTTTGTTTTTTGTTTTTTTTTTTTTTTGGGGGGGGGGGGGACGTGTCCCTCTGTCCACCCCCTGATTGACGCCTATGACTGTGCCCCCTTCTCCCCTGGAACACCGCTTCTACCCCTCTCTGCCTCTCTGACTCCCTCTCTTTCCATTCAACTCGTCTTCTCTTTACTCTCTCTCTCTCTCTCTCTGCCCCCTCTCTTTTGTTCTGTCCATCTGTCTCGATCTGTTTCTCTCTGAGCCTGTCTCAGTGGCGGATCCAGGGGGGGGGGGGGCCGGGGGGCCGGGGGGCCCGGCCCCCCCCCCCTTGAGAAAAAAAATCATGTAAAATCACGTGATTTTTTACCTTTTTGGGGGGTGGCCCCCCCCCCCCCCCTGGCGCTCAAGGGGGGGGGGGGGGGGGTGCAAATTGAATTTTTTTTGAGGATCCAAAAAAAAAAAATGTGCTCACTACACCCCCCCCCCCCACCCCCCCCCCCCCCCCCCCCCCCCACTGAGCGAATTTTTGACGGCGGCGCGTTTTTCAAATTTCGGGAGCAAAAAAAAAAAAAAAAAAAAAAAAAATTGTGCTCTGTACCCCCCCCCCCCCCCCCCCCCCCCCCCCCCCCCACTGAGCGACTTTTCGGCCGGCGCGATTTTCGGGAGCAAAAAAAAAAAAAAGTTGGGCCCCCTCCTCTAAGAAATCCTGGATCCGCGCCTGGCCTGTCCACCTGCTTGCATCCTCTTTCCCCCTCTTTCTTTCTCTCAATGTTTTCTCAATGTTTTCACAACTAGCATACTGTCTTCCTTTTATCCCATAACCATGATAAAGACAGTCTATGAACAACAATAGAGACAATATATAGTTCTAAGACTTAAATTATATTTCATTTGATACCTCAATATCGCCAAACATAAACTTAAATTAAGCATTTCATATATAAATTATGTCACATAACGATTAGTTGAAGGGTATATACATAAACTTTGTATTCCATCACAATAATAACTGGAGTGGAAAATAATCGAAGATTAATAAAGCTTAAGGCCCGGTCACACAGCCCTCCACGGGCGTATCGCGGCCGAATCACGGCCAAAAATTTCTGCCCGTGAAGCAGACGCTGTTGGACGCTTTGAGGTCGCGATAAAGACGCGATACAGCCGTACTTTACCCGTCGTTACACGCGGTAAGAAATTCACACGCGGTTGGCCGCGCGAAAAAGTTTTGGGCTGCCCAAAAATTTAGACCGCGGGTAATCGCGGGCGGTACACGTGGTACACGTGGTACACATGCGGTAAAGACGCGGTACAGACGCGGAACGAACGTGCTAGGACGTGCTACGGCCGCGGTTAAGACGTGGTTACACGCGGAATTGGACGCGAAATTTTAGCGGGTAATCGCGGGTGGAGCACGGTCATAGCACGTTTGTTCCGCGTCTGTACCGCGTTGTTATCACGTGCATTAGCGTGTGTACCGCGTGTAAGCGTGGTAGGCCGCGGTACCGCCGCGCTTCACCCGCGATAAGGACGCGGAACAGTCGCCGGCGTCTGTTCCGCGGGCATACCACGGGTAAACCGCGGGTAAGCCAATTTTGCACATTTTCCACCACGGGCAACCGCGGGCAAAAAAAAAATCGCGAAATTTTACCCGCGATACAGACGCGAAAGGCTGTGTGACCGGGCCTTTAAAGGCGCAATATTGGTTCAAAGCGTGGATAACTATTCACGCGTTTTCATTTTTATCAAATAATGAGATTTTTTCCTCCTGTTTATGATCATAATTGGAAATGCATACCTCAAACCTACTCACGAGTGTCAGTAAACAAGCATGGAAATATCTTTAAAATTGACACTTGTGATTCGGTTTGTTTAGTTTAGAAATATTGGAATTATAGTTTGACTTTAACATTGAAATATCTAATATATAATAAGCAAACTATATGATAAGCCAAATGTGAGTTGTAATAAATGTATACACTATATTTTCTATTCCTACTGAAATTAACTAATGGTCGTTTCATCATCAGTCTATATATATACAGAGATGTAGTTGATTATAGTAATTCATCAAGATCGACATACATGTATATATATTTCAGTAATTAAGTTTCCTATAAACTGATTTGACTACACTGCTTTGCACCCTGATTATGTATGCCGTATATGTAACTTGCATTGTAAATGGCAAAGCATATTGAAGCAGTTTTATTTTGTAGGAGAGCATTTGGGTTTCGCATGTTACGTACACGGCAACGAAATTGTTCATTTTTTAAAACAGTTGTGAAGAGGATTGTTGCGTGTTGTTATAATAATGATAATAATAACAATATTTATAAATTAAGCGCAACATATCCATCTCTAGAGATGTTCAAGGCGCATACATTACGAGTATTGAAGGTAAATTAGCAATTAATTTGATATGAGATAAGAGAAACATACTTATACATATAATATTTGTAAATAATAGTCATCTCCACTTTCTGTTGAATGTGTTTTAAGCATATTCAACAACACAAGTTTCATAAAACGAGAATAACTTAATCTAATTATTAATTAGATTAGATAGTCTTATCAAATATGACATTTAAAAGTTATCATTCTCATTGTTCGTATAATTTGATTATAATACAAGGTCATGATAATTATGATCGTTACATTCTGTCAAAACATAATACATGTACAGCTTTAAACATAATAACAATAAAAGTGTGGTTTTCATTTCTTCCATAGGAAAATTTTACCACATGGACTATCATATCTAAATGTCACTATGGGACAAAATATCCGTCGGACAACTACCCCTAGGATAATTTCTCATGGAAAAACACCTACAACAATAACGAAGTTGTTTGGATATAATATATTGTGGCAATGCTTTACTTTTCAAAGTAGTTGTCGACTGTCTGGGGGGTAATGGTCCTAGGTTCATGCGGGTAGTGTCCTAAAAGCAAGTTATCTAGGGGTATGTGTCTGGGGATATTAGTCCGGGCGCATCAATCGTCCCGGTCCGATTATTTGTTTGAAGGGGGAAGGTTGACTGGTGGATTATGATACACGCTTCTGCATAAAGAGGTTTCTCATGGAACTTTTAGCTGGTAAATTCCTCATCAGGTGGATCGGTCCTAATACAGTCAAACCTGCTTTAGTGATCACCTGTCTACAAAGAACACATTTTTTGTTTCCCCGGTTGAAAATGGTTTCTCATTGAAACATGTACTAAAGGAACCTGTCTTTAAAGACCACCTGTCTACAAAGACAACTTTTTGTGTTTTCATTAGACGGTCGCTTTAGACAGGTTTGACTGTACTAATAGGCCACCACACTTCCCTTCATATAGATTAACAGATTTAATGAAGTCTTAAATAGTGGAGTGATACAATTTCTCTTTTTTTAATCTCCAATTTGTTAAAACCAACTTTATTTTCAACTTCATGACTGTAACCCCGAAATTATTTCAGTGTTCTTGTGACAACCATCTAGCGACCATGGAAGACGGTCCCGCAGACAGGGCACATCTTATGACGTGACATCAAGCAACAGATTAATCCGATTGGGAAAAAGAAAATGGCGCAGAGGATGCCAAACGGGGTGAACTGCTCGTGGAGGGCACCGATCTTGCAGTTGGGGCACTGGTCCACGATAGCCACCATGGGGGCCTGGTGTGAGGTGACGGTGATGGTCTGGGGAGCAGGTGGGACTACGGTTTGCTGCATGTAGGGGGCCCCGGCCTGCGGCATGCCCGGTTGGGGTGGATAGGCGCCGGCGGCTGGTAAAAAAAAGAAAAGAAAACTAAACATAGAAGAAGTGTCATGGTCGTAAATGGGTACCTGGCAGGAATTAATTCCTTGAGATGCTAGAGCACTGTAATGGCAGCTACTAAAGCCGGGGTAATATTAATAATTAAAGCGCCTCGGAATAGAATTTCTAGACAGACGGCGATATAGAAATGCCTATAATTATTATTATTATTATTAAAGCACTGAGTGAGCAGTCACGCCATTATTGTGGTCAGAACGATAGGGATGGGGGCGTCGGCATAACTCCATAATGCATGACAGAACTTTGCTGATTTGATTTTTTCTTTTTTTATCCTGTATAAATATGTCAAATAAATAAATAACTTTTTTTTAAAACATGACCCCAAACGAATGGTGAGAAAAAAAGGGTCCGCCCGGCCAGTATGCCCCAATGTTTATGATTGTCAAAATAATGGCACTGAGCATTATCGTGCCAATAATATAGGGGAGGGGGGGGGGAGCAATATATCCCCTCCTCCTCCATATAGCGGATAAATTTCGTTGGCAAATACAGGATTACATGGGCTTATTTTGCTCGGACTGCCCACGCAATTACTATAATTGCAGTGAATAAGTAACAATTTCGAGTATGACCGCCGAGCGAGCAAGAGCATTAATACTAAGTCAATATATTATTTTGACATAGTGGCAGTCGAAAGCTTGTTCGACCCAATAAACTGTCATCATTATGAACTCCCTAAATCATCAAAAATATGAAATCAGACCAATATCATTATTCGCTGTCTCACTGATTGACACTCCAAGTATATACTGAACTCAAAATGTGTTGATATTACGTGGATCGATCAGACTTCCAATCATAATTTTTTCGCTCGATCCTTATCTATCATTAATATTCCTTGTGTTTGGTTTTCTGTTAGTCATTGACAGAATAGAAGAACGCCCTTTAGTCTAGATCTCGTGGCATTGTAAGTGCAGGAAGGTGTGGATGCCAAAGTGTACATACTATGGGTGGTGAGAGTAATCAGCATGAGTTAATAATGCAGGTGAGGTAATTGTGCATATAGAGGAGATGTACCTGTGATGTTCATATAAATTCTCCTGTTACAAGTCGTTAACAATAAGATTTAATAATAATGATGATAATACATAAGATTTGTATGGCGCCAAATCCACTTGAAAATCAAATGCTCAAGGCGCAGCTTGTGCAAAAGATGAATATACACAAGTGCAATAGGAAAGGTACAGACATGAAAGGTAATGGTAATCAATAAGCTAAATTTAACAGATATTTCTTAAGATTGTTTTTGAACACTTCGCCAGAACTGCTATTTTTAATCCATTGAGGGAGAGTATTCCATAATGAAGGCCCAGCATAAGCGAAGGTTCGCACCCACTTTGTTTTAACCCTAGGAGTAACAAGTAAGCCAGAGTTTTGAGAACGTAGCTGTCTAGAGTAGAGGGAATCCATAAATTTAAAATATGTTGTATATGAAAATGCAGAATACAGCATTGATAGATTTAGGGAGGTGCATGGGGGGGGGGGGGGGGGACACATTTACTGGCATCTGCCGAACCCTTGAAACCCCAAAGGCATATGCTTGGCCAGAGAGTTTTGGAGAAAAAAGGATACCAAAACCAAGACATCTTGATGACCCCATTTTTTGCTAAGAATATGTCGCCCCCTCTTAAAAAAAAAATAATCCTGGACCCGCCCCTAGCATGTCTTGCCATGTAACTACTGTGCCCTTTACCAAGGTGATATGTATAGGCTACACCACTCAATCAATCATTAATAAGTAACATATAATTTTATGCCGCCTTTATGTCATCATGAAAATATGACTCTGTTCATTGTAATAATTATCAATCTTGATGTTTAATAAGGATGACTGTTACATTTTGCGGTAAAATGGCAGGGGCAGATCCAGCATTTTGTAAAAGAGGGTAGGAAGAACGATTCCGAAAAACGATTAAGTGGGCGAATGTCTGTTGTATATATGCCAGTTTCAGTATGGGTTTCAAGACTGGGAACACGTGTGTGGTTGTGCCCCCCCCCCCCCAAAAAAAAAGAAGAAAATCCGCCGGCGATCATATCCCATATAATAATCCATTAGATGCCGAAAAGTAGGCCATATTTTTGGAGTGCTCTCGCTGGACTTTCATCTCTGTCCATGTTTATGACTTAATTGATGCTTAATTTAAACGGGGACTTGATATTTTATTGGACTCATTATGTATTTGTATTCCCTTATGAACCTCACGTGAAAAGATGTCTGAAATGATTATAAATAAAATGTTTACAATTGTTTTGTATAATGCAACAAAACGGATATAATAAAATATAATAATATACAAAAGAATTTTACAAACAACAGCATCAACAACAACAGATACCAACTCCTCTCACAAGATCATGGAAATCAATTAAAATATATCTCTCATTATTTATGGAGAAGAAAAAAGGTCTAGATGACAGATTAGTAAATGTCAACAAAATCATTTATTCAAGGTGTTTGAAATTATGCGAATGGAACTGGGATAGAAATTAGAAGAAAAAACATGAAAAATGGACATGACCATGAAACCGCTATCCCATGCATGCAGTGGATAAAAACTTTGCCGATTTTTATATAGAGCGGAAAGAGTTGTCACCTGTTGGGATTTGTAAAAACCCACACTATATCATATGCCAAGACATATCTAATATATCTTAAAGGTACTATGTCCCATTTGCGGGCCAACAAAAAATTAAAAAAAAAAATTCCAATGGCATTTGAAAGATAATACTAATTTAGAACTTCTTTCAAAACAAATGGGCTTGAAAATGTCTTTTTGTGGGAAGATAACGACCGTTAGTTGTCAAATCGACTTTAGGGATTGCAGTCCTTTAAATACATAGCATAATTTTCAGACCCCTGTATACCGAATGGTCGTATGTTTTGTGATGTGCAAATATTCAATCAGTTTAATGTTGGCCACTAAAAGAAGTAGGTTATTGATGTAGAAAAATGCTCATGTAACCTTTACAGCTCATTTTATGTATGTTATTACCAAAGAAAGAAAAAAAAAGTCAGTCAGTCACTCAATAGTGTCTAACAATGAAGTCTAGACAATATATGGGTTTCCTTGCATAATTTGAATACTATCACTAGGACACTGCTATCGTTTAAATTCAACAGATAGGAGCTACACGATATATTCATAATTCCTGCAAAGTTTTACAGAATGTGATGTTGGCTGCAAAAGGGATTGGGTACACGCAGTCGTGTTAGGAAAATTATATTCGGTCCTCGCTTTTTAACAACATTTTGACAAAATGTAGGACAGTGTATACCGTGGAGGAACATGACTGTATTTGTTACCGGCTTGCATACCGGTCTATACCAAACGTTCCCTTAATTCGAATGCGTCATCGGTGGTTGACAAACATGATACTGCCCGTTTGTTACATTATAATGATAACAAATTCAAACGGACTTTGCCTTTTAATTCTTTTGTCCTTATAAGTACTGTTCTTCTCTCACCTTTTCTCTATAATAACGACTACCCGGACTCTCAAGAAACGATAAATTCGTGCTAAAATCATCATCATCGATAAACTTGTTTAACAAAATGATATAACTATTTGTCATCTTATAGGCATATATCACTCATGACTCAACATATTTTATGATTATGTTTATTTTATGATTTTGTTTTGTGTTTAGTTGCATCGATGTTATCCATCCAGCTTAGATTATATCATGTCAAAAAAGCATTAAAAAACGAACGAATCGTCCTTGTTAAACGGAGATGATATAATTATGTATGACGGAGGTTTAATATTCAGTCATTTAAATAATTGTTAAACATAGTTACGAAGACCCCATACATAATATTTTATGACTGATTTGATTGGTTAGTGTATGAAGATGTATAATCTTGATTATTCTTGATTGTAATTCATGACTCAATTAGGCCTATATGACGTCAAGACAGACAAATGCCCAAATACCATGACTACGTAAACACAAAGTACAAACCTGGGTAATAATCAGCTGGAAATAAAAGATATCAAACAGAGATTACTGAAAATTTATAAAAATGACATGACTTGCATTTCATATAAAATTATATATATTATATATAGACTAATGTGAGCAGTCCGATATAGTTTGTCAAGTCTTCCAAACTTCAATTTGATGAGATTATACTGAATTTTCATTTATCATTTTTATTCAAAGAGATATACACATAGTGCATAAAATTTAAACTCATCATACATAATCATATAAGTATTGCCTTAGCAGCGATATGATAACTTACTCGTCTTTTGGGGCATGTATGAAAGAAGGTGGAAATGTCAAATTACAAGCCTTTTGATTATCGAAGGACTTATTGATTCAATCACAATGATTTATGAAAGAGAAAGTCTCCGTAATCACCTAAAAACGGATGCATTTGTAATCACTGCTTCTTCCTCAACAGTTTTGCCACCGATGGTGATACCCCCCCCCCCCAAACAAAACAAACAATAATAACTGGAAATAGAATATAATAGAATATAAATATGTCAAATGAATTAAAGATGCCCACGGGCAAACATATTTTCCTGACACCCTTTGCCTATGTATTTGATTTCTTATGAAGTTTGTAACAATTACTGTCAATGGTTTTAAATAAATAATTTCAAATTTTGCTATTTAATTCAAAGTTGTGTAGCTTGATAATTAATTACGATTGAAATACTTACGATTAAAGCCTGGCGGTGGAGGGTACGGCGCCCGGCGGGAGGCGGGTACGGAGCCCCGGCGGGGGGAGGGTACGGTGCCCCGGCGGGAGGAGGACCCGCTTCTCCGGGGGAGTAGGGAGGGGGTGCCCCCATGGCGGCCATGTTTTCTCCATCAGCTGGTTTCTCCGAAGACATGACTGGTAGAAGGTTTGTCTACGGATACACGAAGTGATGAAATATGACTCTGAAATCTTATATCTCTATAGAACAAAGGTGCATAAATTAAGATGATCTATCGGTCGCAAATTATAGTTTAACCATGCACTAAACACAGATACCTGTCCAACAGAAGTATAATTAATTAGATCTTACTGGATCAACTCTATTGCTGAAACTTAAAAAGGGTTTCGAAGGTTTATATCCACTTTATTATCTCCACAAGGCAGATTTTTCTAGTCAGTGTCGACACTTGCGGTGGTCTTCTTAGCGCTGAACAGGTACAGGAGTTGATATATCGATGTAAACCGAAACTTATATCACGTATCCCGGTAGTTAAACAGCACCACGAAAAATATAGATGCTACGTGAAGAACGTGCTGAAAACAAAAGAAGTACCAATCCTGTTTATAGAACAACCGAAGGCATTGATTATGTGGCAATCATATTAATTTCCCCGCGTTGAAAATAGACTTCCGTGCCACGAGTTGGAAGTTGCTGTTGATGATTTATACACTCACGATTATTCTCGGTGACGTTCAGCTAAAAGATGAAATATTGTTACAAGTTGCTAGTACATGTACAAAGAATGTCTTTCTTCAATCCAATGTTAATAAGTTATTGCAAGACGATATGTTTTGATGTTGTTGTTGTTTTCTCTCGATCAGGCAATAGATTCCTACACCATAAAATAATTCGTTAATCCAGCTAGTGTAGATAAATAGTATACGTATGTAGCGATATAATTATGCTATATCCTCCTCTTCGATCATTATTCGCGTTATCGGTACTTTACACAAGAAGGCTCTAATGTCAATGACGTAACAAAACAGGTTAATGATTAATTATGCAAGACGGAGGGAAGGATGGGCAGTGGCTGTCTGAAGTACCACAATGTTTATAATAGATATTGATAAAGGTGCTTAATCATTAAGCACTTTAAAATGTAACTATACCTAATGGGGAGACATTCAGGCGTTTTCGTTGGCACTAAGTCTTTATTTTTACATGATCATCACTTTGAACATGATGACCTTGTAATTAAGATCCGTTTTTTGATATGTAGGATTACCTGTACAGCGGGAACCAAAACAAGTTAATGCGGTGCAAGAACAAATGTATCATTTTGTTTTATTTTAATTTACATCTTGAGGCTAGTACATGACCATTATAGGCCAGATAATCGTCACATGAACAAATGAAAGACAGCGATACATATATATATATATATATATCACCCTATAATATGAAGAACGTTTAAAGTGCATTCAAAACAATAGCTTTTTGTTTAATATATCAACACTTGCTGCATGGTATGCTTTTGTGTTATAGCAGCTAGGGTTCAAAGGGCATATATGCATTGTATGAAGAGGGTGTCAATCCGATCGACTTAATTAAGAATGCAATTAATGCTAGATAAAACCTTGAATATTTATGGGTGTGGTTTATAAGGTCAATGGGTAGGACATTTTTTTTTTTAGAGGACCTTAAACCCCTTATCCTAATTATCAGCCTCCTCTCGATGTGGGATATATGGGCTCGGGGGAAGGGGGGCACAGGGGAATGTGCCCCTGGTAAAATCCAATATGCCCTAAATGTCCCGGCAACAATTTTAGCCTTGAATAGCTACGAGCATTACAAACAAATTAATATTTTCTTTCTTGGTTGTTCATCATAGAAACTTTAGAGTAAAAAACAAAACAAAACTAAAATACATCTCATCAACATTGTTTTTGTTATTGTCATATTTATAGGGTTAGTGCCCCCAGGCCAAAGAACTATCCAACCATCACTGCCTTTCAAAGTAATTTAAACAGGTCGTTTCCAGACATACATTCGGACTTGAATCAGATAAAATGAAGACCTGCATCTCCTCAATTTTCATTATACGTCCACTAGAGGCGGATATTATTCGCGTCAAAGAGCAGATCGGGGCCAATATATAATTTCAAGTCATCAATGATTGAGGTTACTTATGGAATTATACATCCAATAAGGGAAATTCCCAAGTATATGGACTAAACCACAGTTGCAAACAAGATTACATTTTCAGTCACGTTCTGTCATATTTGTAATTAATTTTTTTGTTTCAATATTTATGTATTTCTTGTAATTCTAAAGCCTCCCCATGATCACTGGATTATGCATTGCTTATATCTTGGCAAATAATCCATCTGAGCAAATAACTGTAATGTAATGTGTACCAAGTCTCTTTGCACAGAACTAAAATGTTGATATCGGTTGCCTTTCATTTCATTCGACCTCTCTCTTCTTCTTCTTTGATCATCACCATCATCATCACCATCATCACCACCATCACCATCACCATCATCATCACCATCATCACCACCATCATCATCACCATCATCACCACCATCATCACCACCATCATCACCACCATCATCACCACCATCATCATCACCATCATCATCATCATCATCATCACCATCATCATCACCATCATCATCATCACCATCATCATCACCATCATCATCACCATCGCCATCATCATCATCACCCCCATCATCACCACCACCATCATCATCACCATCATCATCACCATCATCACCACCATCACCATCACCATCATCACCCCCATCATCACCACCATCATCATCATCATCATCACCATCATCATCACCATCACCACCATCATCATCATCATCATCACCATCATCATCACCATCCTCGTCACCATCATCATCATCACCATCATCACCATCATCATCATCATCATCATCACCACCATCATCATCATTATCATCATCACCATCATCATCACCACCATCATCATCACCATCATCACCACCATCATCACCACCATCATCACCACCATCATCACCACCATCATCATCACCATCATCATCATCATCATCATCACCATCATCATCACCATCATCATCATCACCATCATCATCACCATCATCATCATTATCGCCATCATCATCATCATCACCATCATCATCATCACCACCATCATTATCACCATCATCATCTTCAAATCTCTATCTCTTCATCTTCTTTCACTCATTCTCTATCTTTCTCTGAGATTTGAGGGTCGCACAGATACAAGTTAAAGGTTACAATAGCTACTGTATAGCTTCAAAGTTCAATGCTCATAAAAAGACATAATCAAATAGTTTTCAAACTGGATTGTAATATTCCAGTCATTTTTTTAATTCCTAAACATAATTTTGATATAATATAATATTGTACTACTGACTAGAAGTTGCTCTCACATTATGCATGGTAGAATAAATAACAAAAAACATTTTAGTTTTCTCCAAAGTTGCAATTTCAAGCATTTATTTGCATTCATTTTCTTTTGGTAATAGATGATAACAAAATAATATAGACCTACATGTATTTACATATTGCACTTCTCTACACTACACAGGCTACATTAAGTACATTTACAGAAACATGAAAATTATATCTTTTTCATGCATTCCTTCATTAGAATATAACATTTCTATCTTTCAATTCCATGCAAAACAATATCTGATTTAATTCAATTGAGAGAAATAAACAATATAAGAGTAATTCTTTTCACACAAACAAATTATTTTTGTTTGAAATAATTATGGGAATGATACATCAACTTTTATTTGGCTTCATGTTAGTTACTTGATCTGATTAAATATGAAGCGACAAAATCATACTCATTAGCATGAATTGGTGAGATTTGCTGCTTTTACATCATCAGGGATGTCTAATTCTAATTCAATGCTTTAATCCTGACAGTTTAACAGCTTCCTTCAAGTCTGTTGCATGTGACAATACAATGCATTCCTGATGTCATTGCAAAGAGCTGCTCATCAAGTCAACCCATTAATTAGCAAAACCCAAGATGCTGAATGAAACTGAAACAGTCTCCAACCTGCACATAGGTCACTGCTACTGTGCTACTGTGCTACAGGTCTTGATGGTATGTATTTACACAGCCAACTAAACACATAATTTATTGGAAGATCACTCCCATCATTACAGATAACAATACCTCTATAATGAAAGGAAAAAGGGAATGTGATTCATAGAGAGCTGGCAGACATTTGGTAAATTGAAATCAGAATGAAGTGAAAATGAGGAGACCTGTTTTCTGTTTCAACATGACCATTTTGCTGAATAGCTTTCCAGGTTTGTATCAGAAAAACATAGTATATAACATTTTACATATGCAATATCCCTCTAAGATAATAATAATCCAACATAGCTTTACAACAACAGACTTTGATGTTATGACCTGTTTTATAAAACAATATCAATATTTCATATACTTCAAAATCATTTCAGAATGATATGGACTCGTTCTTAATTAATTTTAAGACGTATCCATGTATGCCCAGTCTAAAAACAAGACCATGCCTGCTCAAGTGTGTAAATAGTCAGATTTTTTTTTTACAAACATGACAAATAAAATGCACTTTTCATTGAAGCAAAACCAGAATTATTATAATCAAATTTTTAAAAAAATACAATATATAGAACTTTGGACTCTCAATATGACTGACATTAGACTAGTTGTGTGGTATAGTATTTTGTTCAGGGATACATTTTTTATCTCCATTGCCACTATCTATCAAGAAAGGTACTTAGATCAGTCTAATGATTGTAAGTATAAATCAAACATATAAAATTTGGAGTGGAATATTAGGCTATATTATTATTATTATTATTATTATTATTATGAATATGTAGTTTAGTTAATCCTAGCTTAAAGGTTGCATTGTGAAAGAAACGTTGTGGAATCGATCAGAAAAGGTTGATCATCTAGCATCTAGCATCTGCAAGGTTCTGGAATCATCAAAATGATAAGAAATTTGGCCCATTCTTCGTAAAGTTACAAGCACTATACACAGAAAGATGTATATGGGACTACCCTATATCTCTCACAGACCATGAGAGAAACAAATTTACCAAATATATGAATTAGTAGGCAGTTTCCCGGCAAATTTTTTATCATCATGTATTAGTCAAAACATATTCTTTCACATGATTGGTAATGAGAGCTTCCATTTCATTTTTGAAATTGGGGCGTTTCCAATACTGGTCTTTACCTTTAAGGATATAATCATCTAACTTCTGTGGGTTAGATTTTATGTCATCTTTTATTCTCTTTGTATCCCTTAATTATAAAAGTTTTCTAAAGGTTGAATTGATACATTCTAGTTGTACACAAATGATCCTTCATGCTATTGAACCTTTAAAGTACAACATCATTGAGCAGTGTTGTAATTGTCACACTCGTATTATGCATTTGTACCCTGTAGTAATGCCAGAATTCCAAGGTTGACAATATTTGGATCCCATGCTACAGTTCATTTTCACTTGTAACCAACTGGAAAATGTAACTACTACATAAAAGTTTTATTTATAGGTCAAAGAATTTATCCAGAAGATCTTTGACATTGTCTGGGGTGTACTTGATGTATTTCTCTGGATTCTTGGTGAAGTTTGCGTTGAAATACCTGCAATTTTGAAATAAAAACCAACAATTTAGAGGAAAGTACATCAAATTTGATGCCAGAATCATGTCTGTTTAGCAATTTAGGCATTCTGCTCTCTGTGATACAGTTAAACCTGTCTATAGCAACCGCCCAAGGGAAACACAAAAAGTGGTCTTTGTGGACAGGTTCCTTTATCACATGTTTCAATGAAACACCATTTTCAAGGGAATAACAAAATATGGTCTTTGTAGACAGGTGTTCGCTAAAGCAGGTTTGACTGTATGTCCTTCATACAAAACCAATTTGGGTTTTGGGGTTCAAACCAATATAACATGGTAGCTATAAAAAAGCCCAAGTCTTACTACTTTGAAGTGAAGTGTGTTTGTGTTTCAAACTGAACAAAAATAAAGATGGGCATTGAAAATAGATTGTACGACTTATACTCCAGTGATAATCACACAGCATTCATATTTTGTTTCCTACTAACATATTTCTAAATTTGAACCTGTACTGACTAACACTATTAAGATCCAAAGCTAAAACCCACTTAAATCCCAAGCCCTATCTTTGATGAAATAAACCCTAGAGCAAATGTCACTGAAGCAAGTGTTGCAGGGGCAAAAGTCAGATCCACTATAAACAAAGGCGGCTAATATGAATGATTTAATTTGCAACTGTTTCATAAAAGCTACTGAAATCAATGCATTTGATTGGCTGAGAGCATATATATTATAGAAATGGGACACTTGTTATTGATAACAAGTTTTATGAAACGGCCCCAGCTGCGACATTAAAACAGGATCCCTTGAAGAGACTTTTAGTCAGGTGGCTTAGTGAAATTACTGTTACTTGTGGATAAAAGCACCATTTTTGGTACAGCACTTCCTTAGGACCTACTAAACGATATTAGGCTAGGAGCTCCCAACAAAAATGTCAATTTTAGGGTGTGGGGGCGGGGTGTCTTTTTGGAGCCCCCAAATATCATCATGTTTATGATTTATATTCCTAATTCTAAATCTAATTAAATGAAATGTAAATGTGACTTACTTGTCTCTAAACTGAGAGTACTGGGGTACAATGAAGTCCCTGTTATCCCTCCTCACTGCGTCTCTGAGGATGATGTCTGGGATGGCGTAGGCCCGCTGGGTCCGATGGAGGTCCTCAAGCTCAGTATTGAATCCCTGACAAGATGATTGAGATAAATTAGTAATAATTACATTGTCTAATTGTCTTCCCTTTTCTCCTTTATAATTTCCGATTGTCTCAAAATTACATTCACTTTTAGATATTTATTTTAATCAGACATTTGAAAAATTCTCACTTTATCAGGCACCTATCTATTTAGAAAAATGAAAATATTTTACTTCTTTTACTGCTCAATTTGTTCACTTTTATAAAAATTTGAGTACTCAAAATAGGGTTTTGACTAAATATGATATCACTCATTACTTTAAATCAATATCACAAATGATTTTACACATTCTCTTATTTCATCTCAATATGTCCTTAAAATAGGAAAACAATTCAAATTGAATATTTGTTCTCTTTAAAATACGGTATGTTAATTCCAGCCCACAAAGACTGATTTTCAGCAAGTCTAGCTCATCTATTAATACAAATTTCATAATTGTCAATAGGCCTGGATCAAATATATGAATATTCATATTATTTGAATACCTTGTCAACGATCGGTAATCTATGACAGGAATGGGTCAATATTGGCAACACAAAGGCATGAAAAGTAATGAGCACTAACACTGATTTTGGAAGCTAGTAAATTCCAGTCAAGATAGGATATCTAAGAAAATTACAGCGCTGGCATCACTGCTCATAGTTAACATTCCTATGGTCGTACCTTGAATTTATCCTTGATCTGTTGTCTTTCCTTGTCCTTGAGTTTGGCTGCATCCTGGGCTAGCCGCTGGGTACCCACTGGTTTGTTCACTTCTAAGATGTAGGCTAGGACCTTGTTCCAACTAGACATAGAAACAAAAATTAGATGAATGATTTGTTACATCTTTCTTTTCAATTGCCCTTTGCCATATAAATAATGTTAGTATGTTTCATGTAACTCAGACCAGAAAAAAAACATGGCATACTGAATTGCATAAAATCCCTTTAATTAAATAAATACTGATAACTGTCATTGTACATAAAAGGAAAATACACATCTATTCTTGTTTCTTTCTCTCTATCTGTCATTTTTGTTTTGTTACACTTTTACTTAACACCCTGCATAACCTTTCAATGTATACAGCAAATTTTGGACCACTTTTTAGTAATGTCCTACCTCCCATAAATAAACAAAGAGTAAGACAAACAAACCCAGCAATTGTTGTCAAATTATCAAGTAAAATATATAATGGCAAGACATTATTACGGGTGAAGAGGCCAAAGCAAAGTTTATTACAAGGGCATAAGATTGCCATTAAATTGCAGGCTCATAGCTATTTTCAAACTCCATGGTTCACCACGAAATAAGCCTTATAAAACATATCGGACCTTGGATTGTGCTATTGCAAAGACTGGCCATACAGAGCCTTTGCAAATAAATAATATACACATAGGTCATAATTTGAAAGTATTTTGCCATACATACCTGAACGAGTTCATTAGTTACTGATTAGTTATTTGAATAAGTAGGTAACTGACTCTGAAAGAGCATTTAAGATAAGATATGGTACACCAAAGTTCTTCAATTAATGTGAATAACTATATAAAAGTAAACACAAGCAATCTACCTTGTACTTTGATCTCTTTTTAAGTGGTAGATATGAGAGTAATTAGTTACTAATGAATTTTGAGAATGATGATGAATTGCATATTTATTCTTAAATCTGATTTGACTCAGTGGATTCTAGAAAATTTCAATTTCAAGAGGGGGCATGAGGGGGTGTGAGGGGGTGCAATAGCTCAGTCGGTAGAGCAGTGGTCTCGTAATCCGGTGACCCGGGTTCGAAACCAAGGCGATGCGCTAGTGCCCTCTGGTAAGGCATTAATCCTTGTTACCAGGTCCCTCGGAGAGGACCTAAAGCCGTCGGCCGTCTGGTTGCTTACTTACAAGCATTTATGCTTTCTTAGCAGTCAGGTAAAATAACCACCACCACCAATTACAAGCAAAATATAAGTGAGCCAATGTGAATCAATACTGCTCAGAAAATTATTTTAAAAATTGTTATTACAGAAACTTGATTTTGCTGGTATTACAGACTGATTTGATTCGGTGTAATGGATAAACACAACTTTTACAACATTGACAATGTGATTAACGTATTGGCATCATTACAACATACATATCAAGCAATCAATCCATCTATCCATCAAATAATCATCAATAAATCCATCAATCACAATAAACAAATCAATTAATTGACCAACGATCAACTATCCAAACAAATAATCAATCAATAGGCCAGTCATTCAGTCAGTCAATCAATCAATTAATAAACTAACTAATCAACCAGCCAATCAATTGATCAGTCAATTGACAAACCAATCAATCGATCAATCAATCAATATGCCAGTCAGTCAGTCAATCAATCAATCAATAAACTAACTAATCAACCAACCAATCAATTGATCAGTCAATCGACTTGTCAACCAACCGACCAACCAATCAATCAATCAATAGGACAGACAGCCAGTCAGTCAGTCAATCCATCAATCAGTCAATATGCCAGTCAGTCAACCAATCAATCAATAAACTAACTAATCAACCAACCAATTGATCAGTCAATTGACTAACCAACCAATTTGATCAATCAATCAATAGACCAGTCAGTCAGTCAATCAATTAATCATTCAATAAGCCAGTCAGTCAATCAATCAATCAATCAATATGTCAGTCAGTCAGTCAATCAATCAATCAATCAATATGTCAGTCAGTCAGTCAATCAATCAATCAATTAATACACCAGTCAGTCAGTCAATCAATCAATCAATATGCCAGTCAGTCAGTCAGTCAATCAATCAATATGCCAGTCAGTCAGTCAACCAATCAATCAATCAATCAATCAATCAATATGCCAGTCAGACAATCAATCAATCAATCAATCAATATGTCAATCAGTCAGTCAGTCAATCAATCAATCAATCAATCATTGTCAAAACACACACTGGATGCAGCTTACCTCCTGGAGTATTCCCTCTTCTGTTCCTTGATGATGTCTTCATAGTGAGTCTCGATATCAGGATTACTTAAAACAACCAACTTGAGTAATCCACTCCTAAAATGAAGAAAAAAAAATCAATTAAACAAATTACTATTGCATCACATTATATAGTAAAAATCCCAGTCACAATTCACAATGCAAATAAATATATGTCTCATTGTAAGGGTCCCTTGAATCAATCCCATTCGATACATAAATCATTTGTTTGGAGACAGAAGTGTGTTTATTTCTGTGTACAAACATATGAGTTAATTTCCTCTTCTGGCTCCAAACAGGAGCTGCCATATATTCACAGTTGCATAGCTCAGGCATAATGGGCGTAGCCATTGAGGGGGCACTTTTCTCAATGGGGTCCAGTCTTACGAGGTGGATGTATGGTGAGGGAACAAGGCAAACGAGTGAGAGGAAGGCATCGGCAGGTGTCATTTCATCTTCTTTTCATGTTGCTTTTTACCTTCTCCTTTTCTTCCTCTCTCTATTTCTTTTACCTCCCCCTCTATTTTTGTTCATTCGTTGTTGTTGTTTGTTTGTTTGTTTGTTTGTTTTTTTTTTTGGGGGGGGGTGCTTTTGCCATCTGCTGAGGTTAGGGTAGTGGGGAGAACAAAACTAGAATAAATGAGGGACAACACAAAGACTGAAGATAAAGAGGATTTGGCATTATGATACAGACTACATTTTTATAATATCAAATAACTTGCCTTTGGAGTGATTTCAGAATGTAATGGTAGTTATTGAGAAGGAAGAGAGCTCCAAGATACTGGTCTGAATAGGTCTTGGCCTTCTGGTCTAGGTTCAAACTAAGAGCCCCGAGAACTTTGCCTGAAAATAAGAAACACATTGCAAACATTTTAATGCAAATACTGGAATAATGTGAAGTTGCAATACCAAAGTAAAATGTGTAACTAAATCAAGCTGTTGTAAGTGTTTCCATTAAAGGCTAATGGTAATCTTTTTTCTTAATTATTTGGGATATTTGATTTGATATTTTTCCTCCCAAATTTTGTTATTGACATTTATGACATGATATTTTATGCACATTCAAACACATTCAAGATAGGAGTATAACAATTGGATACGTACATGAACATTAGTGAATCCCATGAAATCATCAGGTATCATCATTAACTAGGATTAATTTTTATGATTGCCTTTATATTTCAAATATTACTAAAATGTGAATACATGTAGGTAATTCTAGTTTTCCTAAAAATCACTCCTCACTTACCAACATATGTAGCAACTCTTCTTTGCTTGGCTTTAGGATCTGCACTACGCATTTGAAGGGTGGGGTCTGCAAGAATAATAAAAATAAAGAAAATACACATGATAATGTATATAAATCTACTGACATTCAAACAAATATATTTTGTATAAGAAATAACAAGGTCATAATCCAGGAAATGTACAACAAGATAAATAATTTTGATACATTTGTTGCACTTGATGTAAAGTAAGAAAAGCCTTACAATAAAAATTAAGAAGGGTTATATAAGACTCATATCCAACTGTTATTTTGTCATATTTCATCTTTAAATGGTTTCAGCGCACTTAGACTACATTTATATGGTGAGATTAATAAAATTCATTCCAAAGTTTGATTAGAAATTTGATATAGAGTAAGAAAAGGAATACAATGAAATTTAAAAAGGGTTATATAACACTTGTATCCAACTATTATTTTGTCAAATTTCATCTTTAAATGGTTTCAGCGCACTTTGACTACATTTTTATAGTGAGATTAATAAAATTCATTCCTAAGATTGAATATGAAGTTGTTTATAATTACCTTTCTGTGTGGCAAGCATAGCAGCTGCAGTTTCTACAAAATCTAATAGATTATCCAGGAAGATTAGTGCCTGTTGAGAAAAACATAAGTGGATAAACAAAAGGTGTCACTGATATATGCAGGATTTCTTTTTCTCACATGAAATTACAATTTTCTCAATTTTCCAAGATATCAACACAACAGAAGATTTCATTAGTGAACACTTTTAAGATTTAATTAAACATGGTTGTTGAATTCAATGAGGTATTAAAGATCTCAATTTATCCAAAAATAACAATTTATAATTCTACAAAGATTGTAGAAAGAATTAGCAATCATAGATGTAATGCTTGTAAGTTTTATCATGTTGGAAATTTCACATCCATAATGCAAAATCGTATCAATTATGAACGAAAAATTATGCAATACGTACTAATGATACAGCAAATCTGGATGTCAACAGGTTCCAAATAAAGTCATCTTTATTTTAATTTAAGTTGAATGATTACATATTGTAGGATGTCCCTTCATGTATTCCATATAGATTAAAGTTCACTCTACATTTATACAGTGAAACTCATCTATAAAGACCACCCAAGGGAGACAAGAAAATTGGTCTTTACAGTCAGGTGGTTTTCTATCCACAACAAGCTCTGCTTTTCCATAGGCTCCGCCACTATATCTCTTAAGTTCAACTTAATGGACAATATTCTGAATAGTGTGTACCGGTATTGTATGTACATGTATATTATAATCATTTTCAATATGTTGTTACACTCTTTGTAAAATGAGATATTGTGGAAACCAATAAACTATTTATCTAAACTATCTAAGTACAGGTTTCTTTAGCACATGTTTCAATGAGGAACCATTTTCAAGGGAAACCAAAAATGTGGTCTTTGTAGATAGGTGGTTTCTTAACCAGGTTTGACTGTACTTGCAGACTGGATTAGTTAATAGGATTTAGCATCACCTATCAGTGGATACGATTTCCTCTATAGTGCACAAATCACGTGGAGACATGGGGGGGGGGGGGAGGTGTGTTTCACTAAGATCTTAAGTTGAACTTATCTCTAAGTGAGACTTAATAATTATGGAAAGCCGCTAGCATCTTTGAAAATATATTGTAAAAGATATTTCAAAAGGCATAAAATGTTGTTTCAAATCATTCATATTTTCTTTTATCAAGGAGATTTCATGTGCTTAATGTGGAATTTATGAAAAGTCTAAAATACTAAAATTTTGCTTTTAAATATATTTCATTTTAAGGTTACAAATGACTCTCCATAATGTTGAAGTCCAACTTAGAGTTAAGTTTGACTTAGGATCTTTGTGAAACACCCCCATGCTTACATTGCTGGTTAATCCATGAACCGTTCCATCCTTCGGCATGTTTGACTTGTCAGGGTCATTCTGTTTGAGAAAGAAGACAGGAAAACTGATGATGAATGGTTGATGAAAGACAAAGTTCTTAGAAAGAGAAACCTTAAGGAAACCCTCAACCATGAAATCACTACCTGTAATAATAGGTACTGACATCTATTGCAAAGAAGCTGTATTTGTAATTTTTATGTGAGCATAGGTGAATTATTGTATATTTCCCATATTTCATGCAAATCACATTCACTTTAAACAAGATCATGATATCAAATAGTGCTCATTCACACATAATGAGATAAAACGCTGCAGTAAACTAAAACTATTTATGTGTGAATGTATGGCAAGTGGTGATAAGTAAAAGGCATTATGCACAGAACAAAGGCCCCTAACCATACTCATCTATCTGTGTGTTATAAGATATAGAAAATTAGATGTAAGAGGTTCACTATGCTCATGTTAGTTTATTTTTTCCACGATGATTCATTGAGGTTTTACGATGCCTTATGGGAAAGGGCTATATCAAATACCCAACAATTAATTACCTTGATGATATCGAAGAACTCTTCTAGAGCCTTAGAACCCGTTGACTCCAGACTTGTGATAAGACTGGGAAGCTTGTTGCGTGTGCTGGGTGCTGTGCCCTGCAACCACAAATCATGACAGCACATTTTATCACATACAAAATCAAGAAAGCATACAATATATATATATACAAGAAATATGAGGTAGTGCATCTTGCTTGGCCTCTCTGCGTATCAAATACGGCGAAACCTGTCTATAGAGACCACCCAAAGGGAGACAAGAAAAGTGGTCTTTGTGTACAGGTTCCTTTAGTACATGTTTCAATGAGAAATCATTTTCAAGAGAAACAAAAAACGTGGTCTTTGTAGACAGGTGATCTCTCTATACAGGTGGTCATCAAAGCAGGTCTGACTGTACATCTTTCTAGTCATTGATGATCCAGTATCAATTGATTCGATGTTACTCAGTCAAACCATCAAATGATATGTCAGTTGTGCATGATTGTCAGCTCTCTATTTTCCAAGAAACCGAGCCCTGACGGTATATTTCTCTGCATATGTTTTTTTTTGCACTCACCCTTCAAGTAACATTCTAAAGTAAAAAGTGACATGGTTCCAGTCCCCCACGACACTAATGTCTTTAACAAGACATTAATCTACATTTGCCACTCTCCACCCAGGTGAAGTAAATGAGTACCCGGTGGGAAGAAATTCCTTGAATGCTTGAGCGCCTTATTATGACAGCTCAGCTACAGCCAGGGTAATAATATGATTCTGTGTATTAAGCACAGTAGAGTATATTCATATATTAGTTGTGCTACATAAATTGACCTATTATTAATATAAAATGGAAATAAGACATATAAATTCATGATATCATCCCCTAAGATAGCACTTACCTGTAAAGCTTCATCAAAGTCTGGTTTGACAGAAAGAAGGTGCTTCAGGACAGGGAATATACCCAAGATGGCCGAGTATTCATGTTTGGCTATCGCTCTCTTAGCTGCACTAATGATTTGCTGTAGAAAATTATTTTTATAGATACAGTTAATTCACATTTATTGGGTAAAAGCACTTTTTAAGCAATATATTTCTTACAACAAAATTACTTCGACTTAAAATTGCAGCTTTACTTCAACTGGTCATTTTCAGGTATTTAATTTCTGAACAGTGCAGTATGATACAAAGAACTTGCCTTCACCCTGGTGCATACAAATCTTTGAATAGGCCAACACACCATTAAAATTCTTCATGTGAAGTGGGCTAGCAAGAGAAATTACAACAAGAGTGAAAAATTAATTGATTCTGGGTTGAACATGTACATACATTTATAAAAAATATGTACATATCTGATTAAAAGAGAAAACTCTCTGAACTTAGTTTCATTTTTTTTTGTACTGGAAACTGTTGCAACCACTGTTCAAAATAGGCAAGTAATCTAGAAGAATGAATAACACTTTTTTTATTTTGAGGAATAGAATACATAACAAGGCAGCCTGAAAGAATACAAGAACAACAATTGTAAAAAACGACAACACCATAATAATGAACAAATATAAACAGTCTCGGGTCATTCCATGTCAAATCACCCAATGGTTTTAACCCGACCATTTTTTATTTTGATGAAACTTAGTGTACTTGTTGAGTGTGATCTCACAGCACCAAATCCAAAATTTTAGGTCAATCGGGTGAGGGGTTTGGGAGATACGGCCCACCAAATTTTGAGATTTTTTCAAAAATGGGGGTGGCGGGCCTACCTTTGAACCCTTGTATCTCGGGACCTAATGGGTCAATCTTCACAAAATTTGTATTGTTGGAAAGGGTATTCAATAAGGATTCCAATTATGCTGCCATTTTGAAGATTCGTACATGTTGGGGTACTTTGACCTCTTGACCTCAGATTTGACCTTGAAATTGACCTTGTGGATCACGTAACTTTGACAACATTTTTCATGAAATGTAATCTCTGACATGTTCACTAAAACATGTAAAAGTTTCAGAGATATAATATTTTTTGTTTAGGAGGAATAAGGATTGAAAGTATTCATGCTCACAGATATTCACAATAAACCCTATTATAATGTATACAATACATGCAATATGCACAGTACAACATACATGTTCCACATGCTTTTTTGTCTTAAGCATATCCATCCTAAATGTCAGTAGTACTTGAATAGAAATAAAATGACAAGTTCATATAGGCCTAAAGAGTTAACAGGATGTATGGCTTTAGGCCTCTGAGTCGGTTCTAGGATAATTACCCCCCTGGAAAATTAACCCTCAGGAAATCCCCCCCCCCCCCTGAGGACAATTACCCCCCAAGGACTATCACACCCAGAGGATTATTACCCCCCAGAAAATTACCTCCTAGGACAATCTGTCCCCCCCCCCCCCCCCCCGAGGACAATCAACACCCGGACAATTTCCCCCTAGGACAATTACCCCCCCCCCCCCGGGAAAATTACCCCTCAAGAATAATATACCCCCAAAAATAAATCTGCTTTGATTAAAACCACCTTATTATCAGGTTGGACTTCCACTTTAACGAATAGGGGGGGGGGGGGGGGGGGGTAATTGACCTCTGGGGTAATTGTCCTTAGAGGGTAGTTTTCAGGGGGTGAATTTTCCAGGGGGTAATTATCCTAGAACCGACTCAGAGGTCTAAAGCCATACATCCTGTTAACCCTTTAGGCCTATATGAACTTGTCATTTTATTTCTATTCAAGTACTGCTGACATTTAAGATGGATGTGACTAAAACAAAAAAACATGTGGCAGAGGTATGTTGTACTGTGCATATTGCATGTATTGTATACAGTATAATAGGGTTTATTGTGAATATCTGTGAGCATGGATACTTTCAATCCTTATTACTCCAAAACTAAAAATATTATATCTCTGAAACTTTAATATGTTTTAGTGAACATGTCAGAGATTACATTTCATGAAAAATGTTGTCAAAGTTACGTGATCCACAAGGTCAATTTCAAGGTCAAATCTGAGGTCAAGAGGTCAAAGTACCCCAACATGTACGAAACTTCAAAATGGCGGCAGATTTGGAATCCTTATTGAATACCCTTTAAAACAATACAATTTTTGTGAAGATTGACCCATTAGGTCCCGAGATACAAGGGTTCAAAGGTAGGCCCGCCACCCCCATTTTTGAAAAAATCTCAAAATTTGGTGGGCCGTATCTCCCAAACCCCTCACCCGATTGACCTAAAATTTTGGATTTGGTGCTGTGAGATCACACTCAACAAGTATACTAAGTTTCATCAAAATCAAAAATGGTCGGGTTAAGATTTTCAGAATTTTTGGGTGATTTGACATGGAATGACCCTCTCGGCAAAAATGGAAAACTACCAAAAGAAATCAAATGTCTCTATTAAGCAATCCTGTGTCTATTCTACCTCTCCATCATGTAGAATGGTATCCAAAGGTTTCTCAATGATTCTATCAAAGGTTTTCTTCTGGTGCTCATCAGGTATGATAGTTGTCATCAGCTGGGATTCACTCTAAAAATGAAAAACGGAAAATAACGTTTTATTCTTCCTCACTCGTAATCCTTGCGTCTCATCTCTGTCTATAATCTTACTTTTTGTCTCTTTTCAGTCTATTACCTTACTTTTGAAGTGCTCTCTGTCCCATCCCTCTCTCTCCCCCTGTCTCTTTCTCTCTCTCTCTCTTTCTTTTCTTCTCGTCTCTTTCTTCTCCCCTCTTTTTCTCTCGATCTCCCTTGCTTTCTATCTTCTTCCTTTCCCCTGTATCCTTTTCTCTTCTCCTCCTTCTCTCTCTCTCTCTCTCTCTCTCTCTATCTATCTTTCTCTCTCTCTCTCCATTCTTCTCTTTCTCCACCTTTTACTTGGGCTGCATCTTCAACTCCTCCATATATTGCTTACAAAGTAAACATTATGAATGCCACTTCTAATTGTCAGGTCAAATAAATGATACAATATAAAAATAAGCAGATAACTTGATCTATATGCCCATAACCCCTCATAAAAAAGGCAAACTAGATATGAACTGGAACATACTTATAGAAAAGACAAGTATATTAGCATTTTAGGTATAGAAAGACAGATACAGTCAAACCTGCTTTAGTGACCACAAAGACCACACTTTTTTTTATTTCCCGTGAAAATGGTTTCTCATTGAAACATGTACTGAAGGAACCTGTCTACAGAGACCACTTTTGTGTTTCCCTTGGGCGGTTGCTTTAGACAGGTTTGACTGTATTAGATGAGAAAGATTTCCAGGTTGGTACATACCTGCATGAGTCTGATCAGACTAGAGACTCGGAAGAGATAACAGGCCGTCTCTGGGTCCAGCTGCTCATCCTTAGGAGTCATAGTCTCTGAGACGTTAGATCCTGTCCTCCTATGGCCTATACCAAAATCATAAATGCAGTAAAATCAGTCAGAATGTATCAAATATACAAGAGAAAAACAAAAAAGCATTGGTAATGCTTCCAGAACCACTTTCAGAGGGTAGAAGCATAAAAAACAAAAAAGCTACTTTGCTTATTTCTGTAGCCCTCCTGCATCTAATGTATGTTGATTATGCATTCAATATATTTGTTTAATTTTGTTTATTATCTGTATAAAATTATATACACTTAAAATATTGTATCAAACCATATTATGTTCATGAAAATGTATGATTAAAAAAAAAGAAAAAGATGCAGAAACCAATAAATCAAATCAAAACATTTATGAAGGTCTAAAAGGTCTAAAAACACTATAAATCACAATGGGCTCTAATCATTTGGCCGAATTATTATCTAATCCTCTAATTTCATTTCTAATTCAATTCTGTCTACACCCAGTTTGTCTGCAATAAAACTGGTTTCATATCATATTTATCAAACCCACATCCTATTACATTCATGAGTTCTACTCATCAGTTTGTACAATATTCACAGCTTAATTATCATTTGGTCTAACAATCAATTAGGTTGCTAACAGTTCATCAAAAGTAATAAAAAAGGGCACAATGAACTGCACATATAAGAAATTATTACAAAGCAGTAAATAAATAAAAATTGGCATTGAAAACAAAATTCTGACCATCCCCAAAAATGAAATCGATGTAAACTTACCCAACATTTGTGAAGATACCTTTCCTTTTCCTCCTCTGAATATGAGAGAAACAGGAGAAAGCAATGCGATCATCTTAAAATGTAACTGAAAGGTTCAAACCTGCTCTACACAATAAATTCTAATACAGTCAAACCTGCTTTAGTGACCACCTGTCTACAAAGACCACATTTTTTGTTTCCCTTGAAAAAAGTTTCTTGTTGAAACATGTACTAAGGGAGCCTGTCTACAAAGACCACATTTTTTGTTTCCCTTGAAAATGGTTTCTCATTGAAACATGTACTAAAGGAACCTGTCTACAAAGACCACTATTTTTGTTTCCCTTGAAAATGGTTTCTCATTGAAACATGTACTAAAGGAGCCTCTCTACAAAGACCGCTTTTTTGTTTCCCTTGGGGGTCGCTTTAGACAGGTTTGACTGTAATTAAGTAATATTGACTGCCTTCTGGGCAATACAACATATATCGCCCAAACCGAAGGTGAGGGTGATATATGACAAGTCGTATTGCCCTGAATTAGGCAGTCAATATTATTATTATTAACCACATCAGACATCTAGAGCAAACAAGAAACTCATACTATCTTATACTCTTAAATTATGTAGCCTACACTGCCCTGGGTTTCCTAACATTAGAAGTTGCAAAAACATCGTCAAACCAGCACTGTCCATCCAGAGTTTGACAAATTTTCGATACACTGCAAGCAGTGTGCCTAGGGTGTGATTGTTACGTCACAATAGAGTTCGCGCAAAGTGCGCATTTTCTTATACACGATGCGCGATGTAAATTACAGTAGCTGGTGCAGGATGTAAATTACAACTGGCTCTATATTATTGCTCAATAGTTTAACACACATTTTGCCATTGACTTTTCAGATCGAGCAATAATATTTGTTCATTAGTTTACTGTATAACCGTGTTGACCGGCAAATTATACACAAAATCCCATTGACTTTTCTGAGTGGTCAATAATATTTTTTTCGCCTGTTGGATTATTCATCAAACCTTGAGGGCAATAAAATTAAAAAATTGCCCTGCTCAGATGTTTGATACGGTTAGTAATACTCTTTAGTACAAGCCTTCATTGTGCAACTTGCCATTCACAAGGCCAATATGAAAGATAATGTGTAGAAATGGAGATAAATATCTCTCTTTAAGGAAATATGGAAATAGTTCATACCAACAATTTAAAGGAATTGTTTAACAATGTTAAACCTGAGATGCATGGCCCTACGTGTTATCAGTGTCTGCTTCAAAATGATCGTGTAGTGCCTGAAAAAAGTAAAATTTTACCACTCATTTTCCTCAATAGACTGTAGTGCTATAAAAACTGTTAGGAAAACAAAAAAAAAATGAAATTTTGATTCCCTATTGTAAATATCTTGAAAATCAGACAGGCGATCGATTTGTAAAAGTCATAGGATTCCTGACTGACCTAAAGGTCTATGATTATGATTGCAGCACGAGCTAAATCCAGGATTTTGTTTCAGAATCTGAGGCAATATTATCGAGTCACCTTTAAGCCATATTTGATTAACTTCAAACAGAGCTGTAACAAATCTGTAAATCCATAATACTTCTTGAGGTACCGTGTATCTGAAAATATTTCAGACTGTTCTTGTTTATTAAACACAACAAATGTTTAAACACTGAGCTTGAGCTTGAGAAAGAATATTTTGATAAATTGTAGCTAGCGGTACTTACGATCGAAGAAGATGATTTGCTCTTTTGATTGGCTGTTCTTTTCCTTTATGCAGTTTACCTCCTATCTGTATCATGCATAAATCATGACAATAATTAAACAATATAAATTTAGAAAGTGCTTTCCAACTGCCTTAAAGATCGTCACCACTACTGGGCCAGAAGGGATTAGACCACACAGAGAGCCATCAAGGTTACTGTGACAGGTGGCTATCTCATTAACTCAGCTCTCATTTAACATAAGAAAAAGAGGATCATGGGGGACCAACAGGCACCGATTAGGGAAGTTTTCTATATAGAGGGAGCAAGTAGCTACGAGTATGGCAGTGTGCCTTTAAAACTTAATTTTTATATCTCATTTTATTCCTACATTTCAAACATCAAACATCTTTAACAACATCGCCATCAATTATATATTGATGAGAATGAATGATACAAACCTCTTTTGAGGGACGTCATACTTTTGAAGGCAATGTCTTTATGCTTTAAATATCTTCAAACCAATCTCAGACATGTACAAGGCGCAAGTGAGAAATAAGCAACACCATTATAAATTTGTAATTTATCAACGGATATGAATTGATATGTACATAAGTTTGAACTTCTTATCACAGTCTGGGTTGTGGTGCATTATTATATTATACATTTTAAATCGTAGTACATTTCTGGAGTTATGAAATAGAATTAAAGATCAACATACACATACATTTGTCAAAACTACTCAAGAATAGACCAGTTCACGGTTAGCACATGTCCCAAATGACCCCTAATATCCACAGATCTTCAAAACAAGAAGAGGTCCCACTTTGTACATTTTGAAATAATCACTCCTACAGCAATGGAGGTGCTACATAAATAGCCTGTATACTTCCACCTGTGTATCATGGAGTGCACTGCTTGTGCATGAATGAATAATGATAACATAACTTTCATGAGTACGTATCCAGTATTTTGTTTCTGTGTTTTTCATGATTTGGTCTGCAATGACCTTTTTACCTGCTCATGCTCAGACTGCAACTATATGAACTGGGAATTGTGGAAGAAACCACTTACCACCATAGGGGAGTATGACCCACCAGGACCTGTCCCTCCTGATTTACTATTAAGGTGATCCTTGAGTCCCTCCATGGATTTGCGCAGTGTGGCCGATCTGGTGGAATGGTAGATCTCAATGAACTCTGTGGAGTGACCTTTGTCTAGCAGCCATTTTGCAATCTCAGAAAGCTCTTCTATGACATCATCTGAGAAGAAGATAATTCAAAGCCAATTTTTTTAAATTTCAATCAACTTTAAAGGCTATACTAACAATTGTAGCTAAAGAATTGTCCAAAACATTATGTCAATTTATGCAATGAAATGTACAGAATATCAAAATTTAGATACTATGCTTAGTTAGTTTATTGGATTTAGCGATCTTGTTTGTATTGTAAACTTCACTGTGATGGGAAAATTGAATAAAAAAGAAGAAGAACAGATGATAATGGTAATCATTGTCTCCTTAACAGCCAAGCTTCCAACCATTCACAACACTTATCAAAATAGCTAACTCAAAACTCTAATGCCAAACAGCTATCAACAATTTTTTTTGAAATGGCAATGGTTTCATATTTTGTTAAAACTTGTACATACAAGGCAAGACTCCATGAGGATGTCATTCAGAAACAATGATTAATATTTATGTGATGAAAAGTAGGATTCTGGGGTAAGACAAAAGTTTTTAGAAATAGAACACAAGCCTGGTTCTTACCTGGTAGTTGTTTTAGTGAGGCATCCTCTTGGGCCAACTCTTAAATAATCAAGAGAAGAAAAGAAAAAAAAATCAATTTAGAAACATTCAGATAAATAGACATACATGTACATTGAGAGTATCAAACAAAGAGAAATATACAAAAGAAATTTGAAAATCGACTAAAGGTTTTTATATCACTTAGCTTGCAAACCAGATTTTAACAAATGGAGGAATTTATATGAGTTTTACAGGCATTTTAAAACAATTTCACTAGTTGACTACTGAATTTTCACATTCGCCTGTGCTCAATAAATAGACCATCAATATCACATGAACAATGGGTTCAACAATAAGTGTAAGAGCTTCATTTTCAATTCAATTAATTTTCACTCATAAAAATAAACCTAGATAAACATGCATATATAAAGTGATAGATTATACATGTTTTTGTAAATCAAGAAAACAGAAAACTTCAAAGCTTCAATGGGTTACGGAAGAAATAAAGATTGGTAAATCTTGGCAACTGTTTGCCCCTGAATATACATGTAATATTGCAGATCCGATGGCTAAATTTTTTTAAAAACTCAGATTTTGTTTGATGATCTTCTTCTAAAAGTTTATACCGGTATTCGAAGGAATGTTTGTTTACCTTCGTCTGTTCCTAAGATATCTAGAATAGTGATGGGAGGGACTGGATTACTGTGTCTGGAGAGAATATTCCGGAATTCATGCTGCAGCAGTTCTTTCCCTGTATTGAAGATGGAAGTCTGCAAGAAAAAAGAAAATTAAACTTAACCTTAGAATAGTCTGGTCTTTCTTTCTTTTTTCTCCTTTTTATTACTATCCTTGTTCTGCATTTGCAAACCATCTTTGTAAATTTGTCGGTGAAGCAGTATTACATTCAAAATATTGCAAATCTTATTTATTAAAGTACAATTCTGGTGTCACAGGAATAGGAAAATCTCTGTTCAAAATCTCATTTTGGCAATGTGAAGAAAATACAAACTGTTTAAGGGCCATTCATTTTGAGTACCCGGTATCAAATTCAACAAAAATATTTGAAATTGTATAATAGCCTCACACAAATGTCTTTTCATACCTTTGATTAACCAATAAGTTAGTAAATCATGATGTTAATATAGGTTCAGCAATGACTAAGTCCATGATATAATGAGGATGTTGTACTCACAGCTTTGGACAACTCAGGACTTTCTGGGTTGTTCTTGGCAAAGAAGTCCAGAGCTTCCTGTATCTGTGCCATCTGGCTGAGGTACTTCTCATAGTTTCCACCAGGCCTGTACAAAGTCACAGAAAATGTTGGTTGTGATGTAAATTTGGAATTCTTTTTCTTTAAAGGCATTGTTTAACAATGTTTCAGTTTTACAAATCTGAGATGCATGGCCCAACGTGTTATCATGCAGTGTCTGTGACATGGTGTAATAATGAAGCCCTAAAAAAAATAGTGCTTCAAAACGATCATAAAGTGCCTTAAGAAAGTAAATATCTTAGTGTTATAAAATCCGTTGGGGAAAACAGTTTTGAAATTTTGAATTCCAATCAAAAATATGTTGATCATCACACAGGTGTTCGGCTTAAAAAATTCATGGGATTACTGACTGACCTAAAGGGTTATAATTATGATTCCAGCATGAGCTAAATCAAGGATTTTGTTTAGAATCTGAGGCGGAGATACCCAATCCCTTTAATAAATAACTAATAGGTCACCATTCTCCAATCTTTCACTCCGAAAGCTACTGCAAACCACAGTTCTTACAATGTTACTTACCGGTATCTGGGTGATTTATTCCATGAAAGAGGAAAGCATGAACACAAAGGAAATGAGCAAAAAGAAACAAATGTCTAATACATATTATCCCAATGAAGAACTGAACAATATTTACTACCAGATTCCAGAAAAATCTGCTTGTCTATTAGAATTTGATTCAAAGGAACAAATAAAATCAAAGGATATATAGATATGAAATATAACTTTTCCTTATCATTTTCAATTGAGGGCAGCTCAATATTTGAAGGAAATAACAGAAGGATTAGAGCCGCAAATGTGACATGCTGATTGAGAAAAAGAAAATGAAAATGAATGATGAAAAAGAAAGAAAAAAGATGCAGAAACCAATAAATAAATCAAATCAGATCAAATCAAATCAAACCTTATTGAAAGGAGGAATGAGGATTTACTAACCCTTCTTTGATAGTGTTTTCCAGTTCCCTGACAGCATCATGATAGCTCAAAATATGATCAAATGAAGTTAGGGTGCTTTCAATATCTTACATGAATGATGAGTTAAGAAGCACAAACTGAATACTTCAATCAACCTCAATCGTATTATTTCCAAACAAATATAAAGATTGTTCAAATGATATCATCATGTCAGATGTTCAATAAAACCTCCTGCTTTATGTTAAGAATATTTGTAATCACAAATATTATGGTCCCATGGAATCATACTGATGCATTTGAAATAATTTTAATAGCCCTCCCCCATCCCTAAAAAAACCCTCTGATTCAACTACTAAAATGCCAAGTGCAAGAACTACAGACAAGAATAAACAATCCTGCAATCCCAAAATAATGTAGTTTGTATCTTATATCTGACCTTTACACGATTTTAATTCACTACAATCAAGATTTTCCCACACTACTTTACACTAAAATCATTGTTTATTATTTTAAACACCCTGTATATTCATGCAATCAAAAGACTAAAATCTAAGTGTAAACACAATTACATTGTTCTAAAGGCTGGTTGAAGAAGAAAAAAAAAATCCCAATTCCTGGACTATAACAAACACTCTAGTTGTACACAAATGATTCTTTTATGTGACTGGTGCACTTTCATTCTAAAGCACTTTTGGTTTGTTTTTCTCTTAAGGATGGTGCTAAATTGCAAAGGATACTCTCTTGTAGTTTTTGCAGGGTGACAGTCTCCCTATGGACAGGTAGGATGGTTTCTTCTAGCTGACGAAGACGATTCTCAAAAGATGTCAGGATCATCACCTTCAACATAAACATGTCACAATACATTGACATCTTTCCTCTATTAAAGGCCTGTCTTGAGTATCATTAAATTGTATATAATTAATCCTTAAAACTGTATCTCTGATGCACAAATATCAAGGGAGTGCTCTTTATGTGACCTGGCAAAGAAGGTGATGATTTCTGTTCCTATTTCCTATTTATGTGATATCTGAAAACTGATATTAAGGTGAACAATCATACATGACGAACCTGATACTAGATGTTAATGCTTTACCACCTACTGTACATGTATATCGTTCAACTGGGTAAAGCACAGCTGATAAAGGCATTAACCTGTCAGTGACAATGCATTTTAATTTACCATTTCAAGGGCGTTTTGTTCAAAATGAAGTTTTTTTTTCTTCATTCAACAGGATATAATCAACCTTTAAGAGATGGTTGCCAACAATACTAAGTGGAGATGTACATGTATCACACTTTACTGAACATATTATACTGCAACCTAAAATATTATCTGAGCTTCTATCATAACTTACCATGTTTTGGCTCATATGCTGACTCTTGTGCAGATTATCCTTGATGAAAGTCAGCTCTTCTGCATCCTGGAAAGATATAAAAGCGAAACATGTAATGTCATACGAAATATACAAAACATGTTACTGCAAATGCAAAATCCTATTTTTTTTCTTTTTCAATACAGGATCGACAGAATATCAGGAATGTATACAATAATTAATTGTTGTAAATTAGATTGTAGACAATATTGTCAATTGGTTGACCACTAATATAAACTGCATATGATCAAAACAATATGTACTAAATAATCCTGAAGCTTGAGCCATAAATGATACAACCCTCTCATTCTCTCTCCTTATTTTTGTGCCTCTCTTGGCTCACTTCGTTAATGGCTGTTTTTTGTAAATTAAAAACAAATTTAGATCTAAATGTACATGTGTGTAATTGCATTTTACTCTGTATTTCTATGTATGATGTATGAAGATATTTCATGTATTTTAGCTCTTGAGCAGCGATATGGTTTTCAATTGCAATTTCAATTTAATTTATTATCATAGACAAAGCATACAGTTCATATCTGTAGCAATGGATAGGTTATTATCCTGACACAAACAAGCAAATTTGTCTACTTACGACTGCCAATTTCTCCTCTATCATCCGAATCTTCTGTGCTGTATCTTCCATATTTTCAGGCGACGTTAGCTCAACGTTGGAAGATGCCCTTTTAATCCTGGATGCTTTACAGTTAGCTACATCAGCTTGGCCTCTACAAGTTGTGAATAAAAAAAAAATTAAAAAATGTGAATTAAGAATTACCACATTTTACACCTGGAAGTCGACATTAATGGCAATTGAAAATAAATCGTCATGTGGCTGGAAGAAAGGCAGTAGTATTTTGATGCTAACGACTGTCTGCTTTAAAAAAGCCTTTATGCAATAGTACGATCTACATTTACCAGGTGGCACTTGCTCCCTTACTGTCTAAGTTAGACAGAAATAATCGTCTGGTATGTGGAATTCTTTAATAAAACTGACATTTGTGATTTGTCAACCTTCCCCATCCCCGTACCTTAAATACCTTCCCTTTGTACAGAGGCGGTCAATCAGTGGAGCCGGACTGCCCGGACCTGTAATTACGATAAAATCGTACTACTGGTTGGCATCTCTGCACTGTTCTCAACGGAACGACTGTCGATATCAGAATGACAGAAGCTGAAGCTTTCGGTATATTGGCTATTGCGCGTGTGCCGCAATGAAGCGCTACTGTGCGGAGCATATGGGGCTTCCTATTTTAGGGTAACGTGCCCAGTACTCGGTCACTTAAGGGGGAATCGCTCACATTAGAATACGTACCTCCTTTATTTGGCAAATACATGTATGGTATATCAAAAGAAAAGAAAAATTGGTCCTCTAACAGGCTTTTGAGTTTGTTACAGCTGTTGAAACAGCTGTCTGAGCTGTCTGATCGAATACTGGAAATTGACCTAGTAATACCGGGCGCGTTACCCTACTCAGTTTGAAAACAAGTGCCTATACTAAGGCCTACATGTATATAGTTAGCTCAATCATCAAATTGATGTCTCCTCATCCAATCCAATTCCCCCCTACTCACCAGTAGGGACGCTGGTCCGAGAATAAGGATCATCTGCATATTCGCTGACGACTCTCATTTCTGATCCTCGCGTTGGCGATGCGAAAAACGGCTTCCGCAATGATTTTCTATTTCACATCGACTTTGTAAAGAGACTTTCACATTTTGAGTGTTAAATCTTCAAGGCGACGGACAACCCACAAAAGTAGACAGTGAACTGGGGGTAGTTATTAATACGCTAAATCCGTTTTTTCGCATCGCTAACGCATGGATCGATCGGCCTGAATATCTGCAGAAAAAAAACGTCCGCGAACAATCCTTATTTTGGGGGACGCATTTTGTCTGCATAGACTATAGACTTTGAGGAAATCCTCGTTTTTTGTAGACGATCGTCATAGACCAACGCCCCTTATGATGTAATACTCAGATTCATGGTCATGCCATGGAATCATGATCACACTCACAGTCACTCTCACAGTCAGATCAGTTCAAATATCATCATCATGATCATGTTTTTCTTTTTGTATGCCATGGAAAAGTTGCTAACTTACACTCTACACTCAGCTTACACTCAGTCAATGAACAGTGCAGTGGCTTATTTCACGAGAAGGGGAAAAAAATATCTATCAACCAGATTTTACCGAATTACTAGAAACCAGTAGCAAGAATCAGCAATCAAAACTTCCGCCCATGATCGTAAACACGTCTAGCTAGCTACATACAGACTGCATGCATACACAGCCGTGCAGTGCAGTGCATCGTATACAGTACAAACACGCCCAATACCGTGTTCGTCACAAAATTGATCTGCTAATTCAAAACGGTAGCCTACGGAATTCACTGCATCTCATCAAATAAACACGGCAACCAATATCTACCAATGTAGATAATTACGGTGTCTGCAAACAAGCACAGAAAATTGAGAACATTCTGCTTTATTTATAGAGTGTCTTCAAATAGTAAAACTAGTCACAGCCTCACCACGATCTTAAATGTAGGTGCCTTTTCGGTCCGAACGCTTATCAGAGGGCCTTTGAACATGTGAACACAGTTATATAGTGAATTTTTTGTTTGTTTGTGTAGGCCTATTTAGGGTATGCAATATTTGGTTTTTAGGGGTTGTTACTGGTATACTTCCTTGATCCGTGCCACTTTATAAGTCTTGCAGGGTTTGGATGATAATGATATTGTAAGCATGTAATTCGCAGAAAATTATGTTTCCAATACATTCCAAAGGAAAGTTCATGTTGAATTGCAAATAGTCCCACAGGGTTGCTAAAATCATTAACAAATGTGAGAAGTGACCCGTTTCAATGTAGCAATTATATAATGCGCCCTAGCTTTGTACTTTATTTTTCCCCTGAATAATGATGACATAATCCTAGCTATTTCCAATCATTTAATTCTTTGTGGATTTTCCTTCACAGTACCCCCCCCCCCCCCTCTCCCGGAGAGAAAGGGAGAGAGAGAAGAGAGAGAGAGAGAGAGAGAGAGGGGGGGGGGGCAGAGTGTGTGAGATAGGATGTGCGATTACAAATGAAAATAAAAAAATAATAAATACATGTACGGATGCATATGTTTACAGGAAATAGCACTTGTATTCTATCATCAACATACAGAAATGCAACTTGGCTGCAGATGTCCGTGAGTCTTAGACAGGCATTAAGTTATCCTCATTTCTCTCCACTCTTGTCACATCTTTTTTCTTACAAAAAACGTCTTAGTAGATTAGTCCTCCACCTTCTTTAATACTAGACACTTTCTCTCCACTAACAACCATACCATCAAATCAATACGACTAAAACTTAATTAAACATAATCATTTACAAGCCATTCATAATTTTATATATTCATTTTTAATGTTATACATTTCATTGATATATACATGTACGGCATGAAAAATATCACATTCCAGTTGGTGTCTAAAGAGGTTTTACAGAAAGCAGCATAAAAAAGGTAATTCAAGCAACCACAAAACGAGGTCAATGAAAAAATAAGTGAAAAAAGAAAATCTTTCAAATCGGGTATGATTGTCAACACAAGACATAATTTTTCTTTCAAAGGATGATCTTGCCTTGGATATAAGATATGGGTTGCATATTTAATGCTTTTGGGTAATGTTGCTGTGCTGACAATAAAAATCAACAAAATTTGTTTCAATGTATCAACGGTTCAAAACACTATTTGAAAAAATATTCTAGATCTATACACAGTATTGTAAATATGTTTGCTTCATTGACAAGAAAAATACCAAAGGGAAAAAAAGGGGGAAAATGCTTGAATCAGGTGCACATTATTTTATCTCTAATCGTCATTGATTCTAGTTTCCAACTCTGAACCTGAAAATATAAACCTTGACTGACACTTGGTACTAAAATTTTCAGCAGCATTGGTTTCATTTCATTCATCATAATTTAAACCGGTAATATACATGTGTCTGAAACCCTCTTAAAGACATCGCAGATGTATTAAAGGCATCATTTAACAATGTTAAATCTGAGATGCATGGTCCTACATGTTATAATTGTCTGTGATATGGTGTAATATTGAAGTCCAAAAATAATTGATCAAGAAGTGCCTCAAAAAAGTAAATATTCTTGAGTGGCCGGTTTTAACTCGTTTTCCCCAATAGACTGTAGTGTCATGAAAACCGTTAGCAAAAGGCAAAATTTGATTTCGATTTCCAATCATATATATCTTGATAATCAGACAGGCGATCGGCTTGTAAAAGTCACGGGTACCTGACTGACCTAAAGGTTTATAATCATCAATGCAGCATTAGCTAAATCCAGGCTTTTGTTTCAGAATCTGAGACAAAGTTACCTTATCACTTTAAGTGCTACATAAACCCAGAATTCTATCATTACCGGTACAGGGTTGTATACAGAATTGGTATAAATTTTACCAAAATGACAATATTATAAGTCAGTGGAACAGCCACGACTCTTAAATATTTGTTTACCTGCATGGATGTATGTCATGCATTATCTGTGTCTTCTGCGTAACAGATGAATGTGACCATGTCTCTAATATGCCTATGCCTACATTCATTTAATTCATCATTCCAATTTTCTACTACGTGTACATCAGATCACATGAAACAGACAATAGGAACGTGATGGAGATGTTGTAAGCAATTATAGTAAATGTAGTTAAATAGCTTTGCTACTAATTTCTGTTCCTGCATGAATCGTAATCTTCATGAAACGGTGAGGCATGCTTCCTGCATTCCCTCAAATCAGTCCATATCAGTACTCTGAAAACAGACTCTAGTATTTGTTAATCTATGAGAGGCACACAGATGTCACGTTGTATCCTGAGATGTACTGGTGCTCGCTAGTACTGATTGCACTATCCTCTGGATGGCTTGTGATGAAGGGGATGATGGGAAGGCTTCAATGAAGCTCTGACCGACCTCGGAGCAGTTCGCCAGTTGAGGGTCTAGCGGAATGTTACCTGTGGAAAAGAAAAATAAAAGATACATATCTTGTACCGTTTCATGGAGTGATATTAAGAATTTTCATTAAAAAGGTGATTTCATGTACTGGTTTGGAAGTTCAAATGCCTGATAATTCTTGTGGCTAAAATTCTTCTTATTCCTTGCCACTTCTGTCTTTACTTCTCCTTTTCTCTGTATCCTCCTACTTTTCCTCTAACATTTCCTTACTTTTTTCTTCTCTTCATTTTTCTTCTTCTGCTTCCTCTTCTACTTTTTATTTGTTCCTTACCCCTTCTGTTCTGCCCCTATATAACCTCCTCTCCTCTTTTCCCTTCCTCTATTCATCCATTTCTTTCTTTATGATTTTGAAGATGTACATCACACCCCGTAATCTGACATTTGTTCCAGGCATTCATAACAAATTATAGGGGGAACCTTTTTGATTGGGTTTAAGGTTAGGGTTACGTAGAGTTTTGAGTCCATGAATGAACTTAAGAATGTGGTTACTGAAAGAAACTGACTGCAGAGCAAATGTTATTGGAGCACGTGCCGTAGTTTCTAGAGATGGATACCTACTCACCTAGATAGGGTACTTGGCACTCCTTTGCCAGGGACTCTCCTCCTCCTTGTGAGAACACATTGGAACATTCCTGCAACAAGCAAGTTATAATAACAAACATTGTCAAAATACATGTGCTTCAACACAATGACTGAGAAGTGAATTAAAGAATACATTTATCCTAAGCATAGGTAAAACTACTGCCTCATTTGCATGATATATAAACATTGTGATAATTTTCAACTTCTGTTTACCGGTAGATTACAATATGATATTACTGCATATACTGCAGTTACATGTAGCATACAAGCATACAAAACCTTTTAAAAACTACATTTTAAAGGGAAAATGTTGGGAAAATATTAATCTATTCATTGAAAGAGGAGAAAAAAAAAGAGTAGAGTTTCATGTGATTATCAATATTCACACATCATTCCCAAGAATTATTTCAAGTAAAATGTGTGCCTACTGGATATATTAATTTAACAACTGTTTGTAACTGCATATTTTTCTTGAAACGTATAATAACCTCTTTGATTTCTTTACATGATCAGGCTATAAGTTGTTTTGTTCATATCTTCATTCAATGTCATAATAGAGAGACTTACTGCACAGTGAGGGCAGACAAACCCGCTCATGTTTTCTACCAGTCCTAAGACTCGAAGCTTTGTCTTCCGGCAAAACGTCAGCTCTCTTCTTACATCTCCTACTGCTACAGCCTACAGAAATAACAAATTAGAAAAGAAATCAGTCTACAAATCATGTTCATATAGTATTTAATGCATGCGACAGTCATTTATAACTATAACGTACCATCTTCAAATGATGACAAGAGCTGTTATTTGATTCAATCTATTTAGTTATGATTGGTGAATGGAGGTACAATGCTCAGCTGTGAGAGATATCGAAAAAGGATTTATAGCCTGAAAGCATACTTTCCATGCTTTACAAATGCAGAACTCATAATACCCATAATAGTAATAAGCATAATCATTCTAATTCATTACACATAATATTCATAATCATTATCATTTTAATGCAAAATATGTATACACTGCATTTCACATGGACACATTTTCTTTCCTCTCCAAGCCCTGAAAAGGAAATATCTAATATATAGCACATGGTATTCCTTCAAAGGTAGGATGAATAGGGAATGCTCAAAAGAGAACCATTCTGGAGAACCATTGGCAACAGGGGTCAACCATGTCAAAGAGCACATCAATGACCTTCTCACCTGAGGAGTTGTAACAAGGACAGCGCCATCGGGGTTGTGAGACTGGAGATTCTCCACCACTGTAATGTGTTCATCTGATGTACCTATAGAGATTGTCAACAAGTTGTAAAAGGTTGGCCGACGCTCAAATCAGTCGATAGCTCTATAGAGTCAGTAATTGATGTAAAATTTTATATGCAAACATTATTATATTTTCAATTACTTTTTTAGTTTTCATATCTAAGTAAGCTAAGCAAATGATTCATATGTACACAAAAATTCTTTGACATGTTAATGTGATACCTCAATGCTCTAATAGTATGTCCAACTTGTTACTGCTTTGGTTGACAGTTTCTTACAATGAATGGTGAACACGTTAAGTATTTTGAAATGCAAAATTTTAACTTTTGACCTCCTTATCTATTCCAACTACCAAACAACAAAGATTAGAAGAGATATGACTTGTCAGGTGATAGAAGAAATTTGGGTATAAAATCACTTATTAGTAATGTCAATACAATAAATTGAATGAAGTACATGTTAACATACCGGTATTTAGTGAATGAATACAATATCCAAATTGGTAAAACTTTATTAGGTAAAGACTCTACTTTCTGAATTAATCACGATTAAAGATCATACTAACCTGGTGGAGTATCTATGATAAGGTAATCCAACTCTCCCCACACAACATCAGTCAAAAACTGCTTTATCATTGCTGGAAGAAAGAAATAGAGCGAGAGGATAGATGAGAAAAAAAAAGTACTGCTACAACCAGGTGCCCCTTTACAAGATAAGCCTTCACATGATCATGAATACATTTTTGGGTTGAATACCGTGTCTTGCTTGTGCTTTCTCACGCACAACATTTTTTCATCATCATAATTAAGATTGTATTTGTTATTCTAAATAGATACTTGATATTTTGTAAATCTTTTTATTCTTTATTCATTTTGTAATACTTAAAAAAAATCAATGGTAACAAGTTAAAGCCATTAAATCCATACTACTTGATGCAAACTATTTATTATGTATATTTTTAGCATCAATACATGAGACTTCCAAACAACATGAAACTCATTAGTCATTATCCCAAAAATATAATCTTTTTAATGATATATTTTGTGAGATGAAAAGTTTCTGTTAACCATACCATTCTTCTTGGGGCCTCTCCATACCACTGCATCATCTTGATTACCTAGAAGAAAACTAATGGACATGATCGCTAGATTGGGATCAGGATAGACTGGAACCCACCTGTGGAAGAGGTACAGTATGTTGATAAAAATTAATGATTAACGGTACTGAGAAATGCAACCACCTCGAGAGAATAATCAATTCTATACCTAATCATGTTTTCTTGATCTCCGTCTATCTTTCTATATCATCTCTGTCCCCTCTTGCTTGCCTTTGATATTCTTTTCAGATACTTTTTATCTTCACCTGATTACTATTCTCTTTAAAATCTACTCTATTTCTACCCCAGATTTCTTTCTCTAGACACACTTTGTTTTCACCCTTTCTCTCAAAACCATTGAAAACAAGAAAATCTGTTTTTCCTTTTTCATATCAAGCCCCCCCCCTCTCTCTCTCTCTCTCTCTCTCTCTCTCTCTTTATCTCTCCCTAAATCTTCTTTCTGCTGTTCTGTGACATCTCAAACTTTCTAATGATTTCTTTGACTTTTGGTTACTCATTAGATTTTTAAGGAAGGGAGTGAGCAATGTAGGATCAAAATTGCTAACAAAAACAAAAACTTCCATAGATTTTCAATTCACTGACAAGGAGAGCACTTTTTAAAATAAAGGTCCTCATATTTTTGAATCTACAGACCACAACTGTGACATGCCTTTTGAGGATCTTAAGAATTTGAATTTATATCACCTCTTTCTTTTCCCTGTAGCAATCCTCCTTGTACTTTACCAATTCATTTTTAACCTATCCCAGCCCTCCATACTTCAGGGTCCGCCCACAAAGATTTACACTTTTGGGGTCTATGTGCATGGGACCCTTGCGTAAATTGGGGTCGCGTGTCCACTGGACCCTTTTTTTTGTCGACCTCCGCATATACATCTTCCTTACCCTTGTGGACATTGGTGTACATCATGTCCCTCCACTCCTACCATACGCGGTATGCTTGGTCCACATAGATCAATATCCAAGATTCCAACCTGCAATATGAAAAGAGATACAATTTATTTGTAAGGGAGTGAATATATCCAGTCACTAATAATGGGATCTCACCTTTTTCATTGGAAAGACATCATTTTCGTTTATATGAACATTTATATACAATCAGATTCATGACATTGTTGTAACAATCTAACATTCAGTACTCCAATTCTCTACACACTTTTATGTGTAACAGGCCCCATCATGGCACTTTCGCACCACCACTGGGCATGTTTCATTCTGTCACAGTATGCATTGGTTTCCTCATTATCACTCCAGAGACTTTACACATACCAGTAACTAACTATCCCAGTACACAATTACGTTAGCCCCGTCAGTTAGGCCCATTTAACTCAATATTAAGTTTCCTGTCCGTCCGTCTACATTACGTTTTTTTCGCTTGCATTCGCAATTGAAAATCTGAAAATAGACCCCTAATAGAGTAAAGGAGCCCGTAATCGGCCAGCTCCAGTTTTCGGCCGATTGGTTGGATACAAGGTAAAATCACTGTAAAATACATCGCATAATAGCATAACACATATCCCACACATACCATACCATGCCAGTGTCACTGAAGAACCACATTTGCAATGGAAAATATATCCTAAAATATCACATTTTAGCGATGTAATCGCCGGTCCCGCTACCCAAATCTGAAAAATCGAGTATCTTACGCGTGTCTGTAAGAAATATGGGTACCATAAAATGAGCTTTATTTCAAGTATTTTTCAGATTTAAAGCCCGATTTTGTGCTAGTCGCAAGCTCAAAAGTATGTCATCGCATGTATTAAATCAATGCAGCCGCACACCGCGACGCACACACGATATCTCTGTCTAATTCAGATTCCAACTTCCGATCACCGCTGTGCCCGTCTTCGGCCAGGCGAGCACCAGGGAGCTCCGGCGTGGGATACCTGCTCCGCCCGCTTGTGCTGTACATCAGCGCGGAAACGCACGGCGCGCGCGAGCGCTTCCTATTGACTTTGTACATGCGGCCATAAACTGAAACGCTCGGCCGATAACGGGCTCCAAAACAGTGAAAATTGAAATGAATATTGTCATGGCAATTCGTGATTTTTTTTCTGGGATTCTTTTTTTGTTTAAATAATAATAATATTTGCTTCATGATTTGAACAATAAATGATAATAAATAGGAAGTAAAGAGTCCTAAAAATAGGATTTTGTCTTAAGTGGCCGAAAACGGGCTCCTTTACTCTAATTTATTTTGAAAATTCCATAAAACATTGTTTTTATAACACTTTCAGTCGATTTGTTAACAAAATTACAACTATATTTACATAAAGAAATCTTGCAAATAATGAATAATGAAATAGTTGCCTCATTATGAGCTGGAAAAAAAGGGAAGGAAACCTCGCAATTCAATTGCACAACAATCGAGTTTCATTGGCCTTTAGCTTCAGTAAATAGGATACCACACAAAGTTATACACGTGGGGCAACAGCAAGGTATATGATTCATCATTTTTTCATTACCTATTTTGGGGAGAACTTCCTTACCTTCTTTCCTGCATTTTTAAGACCAAGTGCCAACTGAGTTGCTACTGTGCTTTTTCCAACGCCTCCCTTTCCCGACAAAACAAGAATAGTATGCCTCACATTCGCCAAATTATTTTTGACTTCGTCCATGGTCGAGTTGGTAGAGTGGTATCTTCGAAAAGGCGAATTTTAATTGAAAAGGTAAAAAGCTTGCATTCTATATCCAACTTAGTATATCCAATTTAGTGATTTTAAATCGGAATAATTTATTATGTAGGATATTTCTTCACAATATCTCATAACTTGAGATAAGCATAAAAATTTGAAACAAAAAAATCATAACAAACTTTGCTCTATCTCAAGTTTCGATCATTGTTCATTTTATTTTTAGTTTGCATTTTACGAGATACCGTAAAATTTTTGGGCATTGTGCAAAAGAGATTTTACATGTTTATGTTATGGATTTCTCTGCAATTCTGGCTGTTCACAATTTATGGCGGATAGGGAATTTGTTCATGGCAATTTTCTTCTCTCTCGCATCATATGTACAGGTATGTATTCTACTTCAGATGTGTGTTTCAGTTGTTTGTACCCCGGTTCCTTGGCATAGTTTTGTTCTCTTCAGTCCCACATGTAATAAAATTGGGTTGTGTCTTGTGATGATCTCACTCACTCTTTAGACAGTCGGTGTTAACTTACATAGATCTAGATCTATATTGGCTTCGTCTTTCTCTGAGTGATGTGGTTTTCACTCATACTTGTTATTTATCGAGTTATGAAACTTGGAAGGCAGCAAGCCATGACAAATAATTGTGAGAGACAATCCAGGATCAGCAGTAGATGTAGAAGAACTACGGTAGAAAGAAACAACACATAAAAACTGATAAAATAGTTTTCACTTTATCATCTCCTGAAATCTGTAGAAATTACATTTATTGATCCTGTTTTTTCCCCATTTTATATCTCGTCTTTTGCAGCATAATGATCCTGATGCAGGGATATGGATGGTAAGTAAAGTAGTCGTAGACCCCCAACCCCACAATGGGCCAATCTCTATTATTATAATTTACTTTTTTCCTTTTCTTTTGTTTTTTTTTATGTTCTTTTTCTTTTCCTTTTCTTATAGTATGATTGGCTCTGGTAATCTTTAGATCTATATTAATACATGTGTTAAGTTTCGGATTTTACTTAAAAATGGATAACTCAATCGATGAGTGAAAAGGAAGTAGATAAATACATATAAAATGTCAATATGTTGTGATCAGCCTATTAAAAAATACATTCCACAAGTTCTTTATAGCACATAAATGTACATACCAAATTAACCTGACCAGATATGACTGCTGTTCATATTCAATACCGAATGAGATTCAGTAGACTTAAAGAGGTAGGATCTACTTTCAACTTTATTGTTTGAATACCATCCATCGTTTTTTTTCTTCTTCAAATAAAGTATTTCATTACTAGTATATGTTTGACTTTCGATCATTTCCTTTTCAGGTTGCCTATGGTATTCCAGCATTTCTATGTGTAGCACAGTGTGTGAGGCCAAGCATATCTGGTAAAAAGACAACCTTAGGAAGTAATTTATATTACCCAAACCATTTATGATGGTTCTGTACTGTGATTAAAGATAAACTTTAGTACTGGTAATGCGATTGCATTGTGAAAGAAAAGGTGTGAAAGGATCAGAAACAGTTGATCATGTAGCATGTAAGTATTGGTGTGCACTGCAAGGTTCTGGAGTCATCAAAATCATAATAAATTTGACCGAGTCTTGGTAAAGTAACAAACACTCACATAGAAAGCTATATATGGGACAACACACATGGTGTCGGGGATGGTACTACCTTGGTTTCCTTGTCTTTCTATGCTCATTACTCAGCCAGTATACATTTTCTTCCAAAATTGTTTGGCACATGTCATTTATTTGTAATCTTGAACATTCAGTGTAAGTTTCGTTTGATTCTGTGAGAATTTATTTTTATTTTTTTACCAGTACTGGAGTTTATCTTTAAGTATACCGGTAATGGGTTTGTCTTGCTGTGTTGTGTACTTTAGGAATGATGTACTTCAATTAAAAGTTCTATTCTCTGTGACAAGAAAATGCTGACACAATTTACTTTATCACAGCATTCTGGTGAATTTTTAATGTAAAGGGTCTTCTCTTTTAATTTCAGTAGATGAATGAAACTATGAAACTTGATTCTGTTAGCTTAATTCATAACTATTTTTATCTTGCTTTAGTATTAAAATGCTTACTTTTCATTGTCCTCTTACTCTAAACTGCAGACTTTCACATTTATTTAATGATACCTGCACTCACTCTCTGCAACATGAATTGTTTTCATAGGAGACAATAAACAGAAACTGCATAATATGTATTTATGACATCAATATCTTGACATTTCTTCTCTAGATAATGTATTATGGCGTTACATGACAGCGTTTCATCTGGTGCTTTGTGCCTGTGGAGAGGGGTATATTCTCTCCCATATCTACCTGACCAGTGGGGCTGCAGGCAAGCACGCTCAACAGTGGTTTGAAATGGAAGAAGCAAGGTAAAGATGTGTTGGGTTTTTATAGAGTTTATTCTGAAATGAATTGGCATCGTGGGTGATGTTTGTTATTGGCTGATATATTTCCATTATCAGTTAAGAAAAGGATTATACTTTATGTTGAGCGCAGTTTATAAGCACCGTTTTTATTATTATTTATTATTTTATAAACAAAGATTGCCATTGCCTATACAGGAACCAAATGGTACCTGTATAAAGCGGATAGGAATGAGAGAATTATGACTGACAGGTTAATAGGCTTTGATTATTTTTAAAGAAGCCAAACATTTTATGCTATTTTATTTGTACAATTTTTAACCCATTGACTCCTGAATGATATTATTCCCATAGGCTTTATACAGAGGCCACTTGGTTCCCCCTTTGCAATGGGTTGATATTAACTAGACAGTTGATTTCCAGGAATTGACTTACGTAAGAAAACTGGCTTTTTTTTAATCCCCTACCTTCTTCTTTAAAGACCGTTATTATATTTTGCAATTAACACCAAATATATTTTCTGTTGCAGAGAATTTGCTGGGCTTTTTCTGGTCTGTGTATGGCTGACTTTATGCTTTCTACAAACCAAGTAAGTTAAAATTAAACATGACTCTCTTTCCTGACAGCTGAAACTTTCATTCACATGTATGCAAAATGGTCAGCTGGATAACTTGCCTGGTTTATAAAAATCACATGTGCTTAACAACATGGAATTAGTATAAATGCAGTAATACAGAAAATTTGATATGAAAAGCTTATCTCAACTTTGATTGTATGGATGATTTTGGGACATATACTTTTATACAGTAATACTTCTTGAAATCTGAAGTTCTAAACATACATGTACGTGCAGAGCCAAAATCACCTTTTAACTCTTTTCACTGGTTAGCTTTGTTGTCTAAACTGGCCCAAGTGATGCTTCATAAACTCAGTAGCAATTATCATTATATCACATTGTTAATCTGGAGTTAAATATTTATTGCCAACCAATACAGGACAAATGGAATGAATATTTAAAATAGAATTCCTTTTACAACAAATTCAACAAGTACAGTCTTTGTTAAGTTTTTTTCCACACTTGTTAAACTGACCAGGAAAAAGTCTCTCAATCCCACTGGCAATAATAAGTTACGTCTGGAATCAATAATTTTTGATGACTTTGGATATTTTCCTTCTCCTTTCCATCCAGGACAAATGGAATGAATATTTAAAATGAAATACCTTTTTTTCACAAATTCAACAAGATCAGTCTTTGTTAAGCTTTTCCTCAATTTGTCTAAACTGACAAGAAATAATGATAATGTCAATAGTATTTTTAGTATGACTTTGAAATATTTTCCTTCTCCTTTTCATTCAGGACAAACGGAATGACTAGCCCTCCCCGGCTGGTGGTATGGCTCGCTGTCCTTCTTATCATAACACCCTTCATTCTCTGGGCTTCCGTGTACTTCAACAAAGACTTTAATCAAATTCAACCAGATCACTGCAAAGGGTCGCTAAAGATGCCCAGCTTTCAAATGTGACAAAACTGCATTGGGAAATGAGAAAGACTGATTAAGCTGAAGGTGTTTTTTTTGTAATCTTTAATTTTGTTTTATACCACCCCATGTACCAGCAGCAATAGTCTAAGATACAGCAGGTCTGCAATGATCTTGATGGATCGATCAAGGATCGGGGCTAACTCAGCACTTCGGACAACTCGCCCTCACCGTATTATTATATTTTTGATGACGTGGATCCTAATAAAATGATTGGTTGAAAGCGTACACGTGACTAGGCATTTATTTTGCCTAACACGTAATTTTGGATAATGACCGGTCATTATCCAATGGTAATGACCGGTTATTAGTAAAATCATGTTATTAAAAATCATTTTATAAAACAAATAAAACATAATCTTATAAAACAAATAATACACATCATTTTGTTGGCGCATTACTAAAATTACCCACACTCCTCGGTACCTTCAAAACTCAATTTCATGAGGTGAATTCTGCGCAACATGAAATTTATGGCTATTTACAGGTCCAGTGTGTAGCTGGCACTACATGTATTGAAACCTCACCGCCGCACGACACAGAGTTTGCCCTAGTGCCGAGTTAGCCCGACCCATCGATCAACGATGTTTGTTTTCTGTTTTTATACCACCTCTTGTACCAAATGGAATAGTCCACCATATAGCAGGTCTGTATGAAGTGTGAATGGTGCTATTAAAGTATCAGTAATGTGCAGGATATTTCTTAGATATATGTTTATAAGATGAGGAGTTACTACTGATTGAGAATTTGAGATATAGCTTACTTGAATTAATGGAATTGTATTCACTTTCAAGCTTTATAACCAGTTTAAGCCATTCTTTAGGTAAACATGTAAATGCCAGTATTAAACATCTCTTTCACTAAAAATTGTTTCCACCAATCTATGGAGAATGCGCCTGGTAATTAAAGCCCTTCTGCTAGGCAAACGACACATATCTGAAGTTTCATGTTGAATAACTTTGCATTTCATCAACTCATTAATATAGCAATGTAAAGGTTATTCACGTATACCAACTTTTATTCATTACTTATTATGCATCCAAGGACCAACATATTAATGACCAACATAATTTTTTATGCATAAGATTTACAGAGGCATGTTCCAAAGTTTGCCCTACCTTTCAAAATATTAGAACAATGTTATAATTATTTTATGTTTTTATTTGCATTCAAGGACCAATATACATGTATTGTTGACCAAAAGCTATCTAGTGATTGTTTAAGGCAAATGAGATAAGACATAATTGAATATTTGCCATATTTTGATAATGGATAAGAACAATTCCTGTTCACAGTTATCTTGCCATGCATTCCTAACTTTCCCTACATACTTAATTTATTCATCCAGAAAAGATTCCAACCTAAGATTTCTCCCCCTACATGTAACGGAGATGTAATGGGTGTGCTATAAGAGCTGTTTACAAGTTTAAATGTTTAATTTTAACTAACTGTATTAGACACAGTGAATGGAGATGATATTTATTTGTTTTCGTGTAATATTATTCATTTCTATCATAATAAATTTACATGTATGTTCATTATTTTATAGTACATTTTAACCCAATCATATACATGCACAACATATGCAATGCTAGTGAGTCTTTTAATACTATTTAAAGGTAAAGGCCAGTATTGGAAATGCCCCAATGTCAAAAAATGAAATGGAAGCTCTTATTACCAATCATGTGAAAGAATATGTTTTGAATAATACATGATAAAAATGTTGATGGGAAACCGCCTACTAATTGATATATTTGGTAAATTAGTGTATCTCTCGCCTGTTGAGAGATACAAATGCACGTGTCGCGCACGTGTGTGTAGTCCCATATACATCTTTCTGTGTACAGTGATTCTAACTTTATGAAGACTTGGCCAAATTTCTTATCATTTTGAAGATTCCAGAACCTTGCAGTACATCTATGCTAGATGATCAACCTTTTCTGATCGATTTCACAATGGTTTCTTTCAGAATGCAATCGCATGACAATAACTGGTCTTTAGCTTTAAGTGTGCTATCACTTCTGAGAATTCAGTAAAAAATTTGCCATAAATCAGAATCAACTCTTAAATAAATTTCTAATAAGTTTTTTTAATAATAACTTTACTTGAAACATGTCTTGTTTTTGTGCATAAATGCAATAGGTAATTGAGGATTTCTTCTGTATTGAACATCTAATGGACATATGGTTTGACAAAGTGCATCTGTAGCATACTAGCGAAAGTGACTTATGAGAGTAATTCTGAAAAGTTATGATAATGATGATGAATAAAACTAATAAGTATGAGACATTAATTTATGTGATAAAGAGCAATCAAATAATGAATGGAAAAAATGTGTCTCCAAATACAGAATGCTGCCACTTTCCAAGAACGAGACAAAAAAGCAATTGATTTGAAATCCAAATAATTCATTTATTTACATAAGAAGTCACCACAATTTCAGGTTGCATACATGAATATCTATGTCAAACAATGGCATTTTTACAAGTTAAATTGCAGTGATAGGAGTTAAGAGGAGAAAATGGAATGCAGGGTTTAGTCTAGTTTTAAAGGAACTGGTCAAGTCAAGAAGGCCTACAATAAAGTTGATATATCCTCCAAAATATGTGGCAATTAAAACATGCTTGGTCCAGATATGAATTGCCCATTTTGATCACAATCAAAATATCTCATGGTAATGAATGTGTTTTGGTATCTCCTGCATAGACTTTGAGATATAATTTGGGATTTTTTTATCGAAGCACTCAAGTTTACTTCAAGTTTTAATCAATTTTGACACTTTCAAATCCATTAATGAAGATGAGAATCACATGAGAAAATTTTTCAGAAGTTATGAAAAATTTAGACAGTAGATAGAAATTATTTAAATAGCCTTGGTCTCACAGACCCCCTCCCCCTTCATTAGTTTTCTTATGCACTCTCTCTAAGAATTGAAAAAAAAAATTCACTATTTCACAGGAGTTTTAACAAAACAATGATATGAATGTGTACAAGGTACAGAAAATTCTCTGCAAAATGAAAATTGCACTAAAATGAATAAAATCTTCACTTCAAGGTGGTTCTAAAACTTATACACTTTGGATAATTAAGAATACAAAATGCTTTTATTTCTTAGCCTCAAATAGCTTATATAACATTCATGTGCACTCCTAATGACATGATTTTTTTCTAACCAGTGACTCGCATCTGGGAATTGCATATGACTGTCACAAGTAAATGAAGTAATCATGTATGAGGTGAAAAATTATTTTGAATATTGGTATGTGCTCTAGATGAGAAATGGCACTGGTAACCCTTCAGTGCTTTTTTTTGTGATACACTCAATTTTTCTTTTCTTTTAATTCTACAACCACTGGACACAAAATGAAAAATAAATAAGATAAAGCCTGTATCATCTAATTGATATTGTGTTCTAACAAGGTCTATGTGATATCAACTGACTTTAAAATGAAGTACTGAAACTCCTTTTCAAAATAAAGTTTACATCACTCTCAGTCAGCATCTCATGCTGATGATAAAAGTTGAAACAAAAGTCAGTCACTCGATTACTTTCAACTTTCAAATTGCATTGCCAGCGCCTGCACTGGCTGCGCATTATGAGAGATACTATCAGAATGACTGTTCTCACTGCAATATGTAACATGTGAAGTAAGAGTATATATATATATATAATACTTGTACAATGCTCAACTTGGAAAAGATGCAAACCAGTCAGTTTGCTCTACAAACTGATATTATAAATCACAAGAAGATTATACACATACGCTTAAGTGCAATACTGATTGATTTGAATTTGAGGGAAAAATCTGATGGAAACGGTTCCCATAATCTGACCAATAACAGATATCACTAATGCTCTAAAGTGGATTCGGGTAAAAACTTGATATATTTTCATATCTACAGCATCCAATATGGTTATATCAATGAGAGAAAATGCCATTTGATTTCAAAATGCAATAATGGTCGCCTTGTCACCATAGCAGACCATCGTCCCATCCATTTAATGGATACTGGATTTTAAAATCATGGAACCTTATAAAGCAGAGCATAGTAACAAACTCACTATGACAATGAAGTCTTTGCTGGTAACACTTTCTTGTGTCCTATTGTGTTTGAGCTGTGTTTAATCACGTTTCAATTTAACAAGGGGATTTCCTTGGGACCAAGATGTCCACTGTAACAAGGCTCCACACTCCACAGTACAGGGTTGTGTAACCCTACAATGACCAATGACATCTATATCTCACATTAAGATACATAAACCACAGTAGATATACAGGCCTCCCACCGGAGATTGACCAGTGACCTCTACAGCTTACAATTGCAAGGGATGATAAGCTCATCAGTTTGTTCAGCTACCTTGTAAAGTTTTGGGATGCGAAGGCCTGGGCCTCTGCAATTCTGCTGCGGCTGCAAGTAGAAGACAAGTCATACATAATGACAATCAACTCTGGTGATGATATGAAATAGGAAAATCTACAGGGTATTATTATCAATTGGAGTCATTGCACAACTATTTCTGACTGCCTAGCAAAGTAAGAGCCCCATTGTTGGCCTCTGCCGGTCCCTTTTAGTGCATGTATCATTCAGCATGTCACAGCTCAGTAGATCGTCCATGGTCTGGGGTACATCTAGTGGGTATTCACTTATATCTAATTGTCTTCCGAGAACCCTATTTCTTTTTTTCTTCTTTTTTAATGCATTTTTAATTTAGCTTCATTAAAATGCTAATGCAATTTCTAATAGAAGCAAAAATTGAAATGAAAATTGATGCATTCGTATAGTATGGAAGGATGCCAGGTTTCGAGCTTTTGCATAATTTCAGGCTTAATATTGTACAGAACATATGGGGCATCAACATTATAACATTTTCAAGCTAATTGGGAAAAGAAATTGGTGTAATTGGTGTTGGCATCCCAGAGTATGGACAAATGCCCAAATCTAATTTAACCCCATGACTACTGAACTCTTTCATTCCAATAGGCTTAATACAGGGACTACCTGGTTCCTTTAGGCAATGGGTTAACTTATATTAAAGGTGAATCTAGTTTTAAAAAAAACCTGCTCTTGTCCTTCTGCTTATCCCTTTCTTTCTGAATAATTTCAATAATTTTCCAGTCCTTACCTGTTGCACCTGGTCTTTGGTCTACCGTCTGACATGGCGGACACGCTTCGTATTGATAGATCATCTGAGAATCCCGTCATGGGTCTCTGCCTGGGAGGCTCGCTGGGTAGGGTGTTCAACACGGTACGGATGTTGGCAAACCTGACAGAAGACGAGATATGATTGAAGGGATATTTTAGATGGGGGATGCTAATTTGTCAAGATTCAGTTGTACAAAGTAAGGATCGAGATTCCAAGCCATCTTCAAAAATGAATACAATCCATCCCTCCATTCATCAATTCATTCAGTGGAGAATGTACTATAAATTACCTACCTACAATATACAGGTAGTCCTACATTCAACCATCCACTTAAAGGTATTACAAAGTTTTGGTATGGGGTCATGAATTTGGTTCAAATTAACATATTGTAAGCATATGTGTTCCAACAATATTCATTGATCGTTGTCACGGTTGAAATCGAGCCTAAAGTTATGAAATTATACATAATAAACTCTTTATGTTGTATAGCTCCCTCTCAAGGTCAAGATATTAATTTAGCTATGAAAAAATGTTTCTTGACTAAAATCGACCGATTAGCTATTCCCGTTTGGAAATTATATATTACAACTACATATTCTGAGATTTTCATGGTCGCAGCTACCATTGTACGGCCATAGGCGTTATTTGAAATTTATCAAAATTTACCGGGAGCACCAGTAAATTTTTATATTCAATTTTTCTCGAAAACATAAGTGTTTTAGGGGCTAATTTTTTTAGTGCTTATAATACATCCACAGGGGTATCCAAATATATCAAAATTGTAAACATTCACTATCCAACCAATTTTCAAAATTTCCAAAAACTTTGTATTACCTTTAATAACTTGATCTACCAATCCATCCTCTATTATAGCTTTCCATCTATTCATCAATCTCTTTATTTATCCATCCACCTACACAATTATAAATCAATTCCTTTATGCATACATGAATCAATCCATTCAACTAAACCTTCAAATCTCCATCAATACATTCCTTTATCCGATTATTCATTCATCTAACACTCAGAGTCAATCCAACTATTCACCAATCCTTCCAACCACACACCAAGTTATCCTTCATACCCATGCATCCATCTACTTATCCATCCATCCATCCATCCATCCATCCATCCATTCATCTACCAATCTTCCACCTACCTGTTTGAGAGGCTGGTCATGAAATCAGCCAGGTCTTGGTCTGAATGCTTCAGCTGATTCTCCACCTGTCTTGCACTCACCACTGTAATGAGAATAGAAAGAAATACACAATATAAAAACCTTTCTTCTGTTTAAGCTTGGTAATTTATATATCACATTTTAGTTGATATAAAAAAGCCTATAAATCCTATGTAAATTATCAATGCTATATTTGCTAATGACATGGTCTAAAACCTGAATAAGGTACATCATTCCGTGAACAAAAAAGCCAATGTAATCAACATTCTTCTCACAAAATACATGTGAAAGCCATTTACATTTTCAAAGACCTTCAATACAATGTTCCTTTTTATGATTCATAGATGCACATAATGTACATGAATTGTATTTCATATATACATCAACATTCAAGATGTTGGTGTTAGTGAATCTGGTTCTCTTCTAAAGTTAATACCCATTTATATCACATTAAATCTACTTTTTTTTTAAAGATACATAGATTTTTCTATTGTGGTTCCCACAATTTACATAACACTGTAAAACTGCAATACAGACAATTCAATCAGGACTAAGAATTTGTTGATATTATCAGTACACCAGGGGAGTGTTTCACAAAGAATAAGATCAACTTTAAGTTGGACTTAGCTATGACAGGTTGTTCATGCCACTGTTTGCTCTCACCATTATGATCTTTAGATAATATTTTTTCCTTCAATAATGAATTATCAAAAAATGTAAATTCTGTAGATATGTGACCATGATTTGTACGTCCCTTGAGAGACCAATGCCAGTGAAGGGTGAGGACAAACAGTGGCATGGCCTGCCTGCCATAGTGAAGTCTAACTTAGTGTCAATGTGAAACACCCCCCCCCCCCCTTTAGCCTTTAATCATACCTGTTGATGCTGACATAGGTCTCATGATGGGGGCTGTTTTACTCCCTGCATTCCTCTTAACCACAGCTCCATCTAGAATCTCCAGACCCAAGAGAGTAGCCTGCAGCTCCTGGTGATAGCTATTCAAAAATAAGATAAACACTGTATACAAGGCACTACATTTCCTTATCATACAAATACAGTGTACACAAAAGGAATGACATTTTAACCCATTTTCTATGTTGGCAATTGATAATCAATGTCAAAAATACAAGTAGATGGATGGTAGATGAACAGCGGAAAAGGATAGTTTAAAAAAAAACTTTATGAACATAAACATTCATATCATTAAATGATGCAACAACTCTTTAATTTGCCATTTTAGAGTGTTAAAAGCAAAATCGCGATCGATTACTTATTAGTGAATAACAATGGTAACTTGTATAGCAAAAATAGATATGCCCATATATTACTCAATTAAGAAATCAAATCTGAAAGACATTAAATAATTACCTTGGTTTTTCTCCTTCTGGTAGCGTGAAGGGATTGCCTTGAACATAGAGCTCTGACAGACACTGACATCTATGGAGAGATAGCTGCATGATATGGTTCCAAGCAATATATGATTATTAATAACCTCAGATGATTAATTATAAGTCATTCAGGTAATTGCATGAATTAAAAGAAGAAACAATTAAATCATTTTTTTGTTAAAATATAGAATAAAAATACATTTATGTATACAATGTAATACATATACAAACATGTAAATATTACAAGGGTTCGGAAGAGTGGTTCAACCATAAAATTTTCAATCAAAAGATTTTGAATTCTAAAATAGTTATGTACATGTATTCTGCTCATGTGCTCTTTTCTGTCATCACAGAACACTATATTGATAAAGGTTGAAGGAGTAATAAGATATATGATCCTTATCCTATTGGAAACCAATCATGACAAGATGGACTTATGTGTACTTTAAAGCCCCTCGAAAGTGTTGGGAGCTTCAAAAATTAGCTAGCAAACTTTCACTTAAATTGTATGATGTAAAAGAGGTCATTTGTCTTACCACTGCCTTCCACCTGACGATCCTGTTGTTTCTGACATTGAGTACTTCAAGGGCGGGGAACTGATCTACAAGGAAATCCAATTCAGTGAGCTTGTTGTGGGAGATATCTATCGTGTGTAGCGCCCTGGAAGACAAAATATTAGGACACAAGATATTAATACATAGAGCTCAAGACATGTAAATGGGATATGAGGAAGCACAGCTCCACCTTCCCATTCCTTTAAAATAGTCAACTAGTAATTCATCTACTACAATGACACAAGTTGTAATCAATCTGGGAGTTATTATCCTATGCAAGACGTGTCTAGAAAGGGGAGGGTGTAATACTGTATGATGTATATAGTAGTCCAGATAAGACAAAATAGTATTCTTTAAGATGTGCCTATCCCTATGATACATAATCACGAAGTTTCTCTGTAAGCACAATAGTTCATCATTTTTTTTTAAATGAATTTATTGTGATGTCATAGTAACAATTAGATATATGGATGCAAAGGACACAATTTAATGGTGAAAGTAAAGAGAATAAAGAGATGAACTTACCTTAGCTTGTCTACAGCTTTCAAAGTGTCAGAGGTCAGCTGATTGTGAGATATCATCAGAACCTAAAAAGAAACAACACAGAATATGAAGGATGACCAACTTGCAAATCTCCAGGTACAAATCCAACATGGTATGTTAACTAAAAATATTGTAATATTTGTCATAGAGGGATTATAAGAAAATGTGACAAACAGACAATTAAAACTTGGAACAATTGGCAAATAAACATTGACAAATATAAAGGCTATGAGAAACTACAAGAAAGATACACATATTTGGAACAAAATTCAGTCAAAAGCAAAATTAAAATGGACTATAAAACAAAACACTTTCAGGTGATGAAAAAAGTCATAGTGTATGTATGTTTTCATGTAAAATAGAAAAAAAATATCAGTATTAAATCCACAATTTAAAAAAAAGAAGAAAATATCTGTTGCATTTTTTATTCTTAGTCACTAGTATTTTCTCTCTCAGACAAATGTTAAAGTACTCACAGTCAGGTTATGAAGGCTCTTGAGTCCACTTAGATCTGCTATCTTGTTGTTGGATACATCAAGCTCTTGTAGCTGAGATGACAAAATACAATATATTTCATTATTAGCATTTGTCTGTTTTTCATTGTACAGTTATGCAGCACTTATCCTTAGTTTTCATCATCCCTTTCATCTTGAACTTCAATTTATGATACGTTAAAAACTGCTCCTAGGTTTCTCTTTTTTTCTCTCTTCTTTATCTCTTTTAGAAGAATACTACTTTTCTGTCATCTATATTTTCATTTCAACCAAATTTTAATTTCATTAATCATCTCCTTTCTCTGTCCTGCTTTTCAAGTGTCTTATTCTTAAACTCCTCCTCTGTTGTTTCTATAACAATCCTGTGAAATAAAAGTATTTTTTATATTTTTTAACTCACCTTACGACATCTCTTGAGATCTGTAACAGCTCTTAAAGAATTGTGTGTTGCTCTGAGCTCTTCTAATGATGACAGGGCATTCAAGGCCTAAAGAAAAGTATACAAATTACAATTAATCTTCTCTGACCATAAAAATGAACACTCAGGTCTTATCAATGAGTTAGTAATACAATCACATGCTTAAAAGACTTCCATAAACAAGTAAGAGAAATGTTTCAATACATTATTATGCATCTTAAGAGCCGTATTGTAAATCAGAAAATTTAGCCTACGGTTTCCTTTTCTCAAAGGCTAAGTATTTTTATTTCAAGATAAAAATGATCAAAGATTAGAAACAATTCAAAACAGAGAACTTGAATCCTATCTTAATGTTGCCAATAAATGTCACCATACTCCAAAGACCGTAATAGAAATATGGGAGACAAAAATTAATTCAATTTTTTTTCATCAGACAAAATAGTTTCCATATCTGATATAATGTATGTCTGGCATATGATAGATTCATCTTGGTAAAATACATGTTAACCATGTAAGTACACAGAATTTTACTACACTTTTGAGTACTCACAGATAAGCTATCAAGCTTGTTGGAGCTGACATCTAGATAGGTGAGTTGTGAGCATGCTGCTAACTCCCTGGCTTCTATCTTCCCCAAATAATTGCTATCTAATCTAAGAATCTTGAGCTTTCTTGATAATGCAAGCCCTTTGCCTGAAAAGGAAAGAAAAGATATCATGTTAACTGATAACATTCTAGCTCAGTCTAAATGTATGTCACCTCGTACAGAGTGAAGTATAACTATCATTTTTGTGTGCATCATAGAAACTGTTATTATCTGTCATATTTTTTTGTTCACTAACCGGTATATCTTTTGTTTGGCATCAGAAGTTCACAAAATGCAAAAGATCTATGATCTATGATTATACATAAATGCTTGATATAGTAATTTTCATATTAGGTTAGAATTACCAACATACTTTATTCATTTCAAAAAGCATTCTTCCATAGGATATAATAAGTACAAGGTATTACAAAACATATCGGACACATGAATTCAATGACTGACAAACCATGAAATTATGACAATGATTCTTAACTTTCTTACCTATTGTTCTGATTTTGTTGTGCTGGAGTTGCAGTGAACATAACTCTTGTAACCTGTAAATAGATAAGATCAACATCACATCATAGACAGTTAAAAATCTTGTTGCAAGCATTTCCAGTATGGTTGTAAACTTTTAACCCACCCCTGTATTTAAGGTCAGTGATTAAGGATAACGACTGAAATACTATGCACACCTAAAATACTGGGGTAAACCATTGTCACATTTTCATCAGCAATCTAAGCACCAAATCTAATAAGCCCAAGAAAAAGGTGCATATTCACCAGATATTGTCATGCTTTCTCACATTCTAGCCATTCTCTCCCGGCGCTAGATGGAGCACACTGTCCAAAACATCAAGATCATCTCTTTCTTTGAGAGATCTACAAGTTCAGAACTATACCCACAAAATAATTATTCAACAGCCCTTCTGAGGACTACACACATGATGGACCCATTTAAGTTTTTCTGACTCAAGAAAACAATAGAAATTAAAAGATACCTTCAAACATAAATTATCACATCCATTCCACCAAAATTAAAAAAAAATTAAAAAAAATTGCTCCTTGGTATTAACAAAACAGACATGATAAAAGCAACCCACCTCTCAATGTTAGCAATAGCACTGATCCTATTATCATACAGCTTCAGTTCTCTCAGATCCTGAAAAACAAGTCAAGAACAAAGTTTTAGGAACAATTCTTTAATTGAAAGAGAAATAGTTAAGAACTGAAAATTACCACGATTTTCAGAAGTATTTTAGTCAATATTCAAACATGTTGGGAAACATAAACATTTTCAAATTGAAGAATAGGAGCAGGGTCGACTTGATCTACTTTGAAACTAAATATCATTTTGTATTTTCCATTCAAATTTTTTGATATAATGTATGTTGTGATGGCATCAAAATGGGTGAAAAAACAACCTGTGTGTATTCATCAGCCGCGTGATTAAACATGATATATTTCACAGAATTATAAAATATGTTTCATGGCAACCAAGTCCTAAGTAGCTAATGTAAAGTTTCTTGTCACTTACCTTGTTATTGGCAAGATTCTCAATATTCCTGATGCAATTGCAGGACAGATCCAGTACTCTCAGGTTTATAAACTGAAAACAAAAGGGGGAAAGGAGCTTCCTCAATAATGATATGTTGCACTGTTTCAAATAACTAACAAGAAAGTAGTATTCATAACATTTTCTCAGCATCTTTCTTTAAATTTTTTATTAATATAAAAACCATTTACATCTGAACAGTGATGAATTAATCAAGCTACTTGATTCTCTTTCTTTCATATGATAGTACACTGGTTCTGTTCTGTCTCCATTCTTACGACAGAAATATCGATAAAATCTTACATTAAGAAAACCAAATATACATGCAAAAAAATAAAAAAGTGGAGAGAATTATAAATAAAGTTGTCATCAACAGTTCAAACATTATTTTGGGGTTACTTACCATGTCCAAATTTTTGATGGTTCCAATGTTGACTCCATGAAGGTCAACGTCATACACCTTTGTAACTTCACTTTCTTGACTCTTTTCCAACTGTTCCAGAGAAAAATACAGTAAAGAATGAATTGATCAAATTCCTACTTGTGAGCTGGATACTGTGCTTTCTTCGCATACATATATGGCCACTGGCATCAAAAAGTTGTACACTGACAGAATTCAAAAACTATAAATAAGGATTAGGAATTTGGTCCAAATTATAGCATGATATTTGACGTTGGGACAATAACTCTTGCTTTAATGTTTCTGCACTTCTTTCTGTGAATTAGACATCTACGAATGAATTGAATAAATACTTTAGATAAGCCTTTGAGAGTATAGGGGGGGGGGGGCAGGGGTAACCTATGCCAGTTTCCACAATTCATTTGTATCATCTAACTTAATCAGTATAGAATTTAAAGTGCACGATGTTAAAACAATATCTCACAAACCTTAGTTTCACTGGGCAGTGTGACCCACATAAAACTGAGAGTATCTTTAATGCATCTCTGAAACACACACAAACAAAGAAGACAGAAAGACAGCGCAGTTCTCCAGAAACCTTCAAAACGGTTAATACCGTCTTTTCAGTCAATTTGGAGTTACCCTGTTAACTACTGATCATCTATTTCCCATTGGCATAACACAGGGACCACTCAGTTCCAGCAGGCAATGGGTTAAAATGCTCCACAGCTAATTACATAGCCCCTTACTCCTCACTACCTGGGGCCCATTTCTCGAAACCGTCATAAGTCTAACTTCTTGACTATCCCATTGAAACGCGTGTTAATCTATAACACACGTTTCAATAGGATAGTCAAGAAGTTACGACGGTTTCGAGAACTGGCCCTGGTACTTACTACATCTCTAGGGATGATCTTGCCAGCAGGCGTATTTGTTCCTCCTGCCCCTTCATGGTCCTCCACCCCTCCATTGACCCATGCACTGACCGCCTCCTTGTTGGTAAATACAATGCCGTCCGGTTTGTCTGGAAGTCTCTGATGTCTTCCATTGACACTGGCAGCCGATGGAGGATGGGAGGAGGAAGAAGAGGGCGAAGGTCTTCTCTGCACTGGAGAAGCTTTCCTGGCTGAAGTGCTGAAATGAAAAGAAAATAAATATTTTCAATACATATCTAAGGCAAAATCACATATATATCTATTTCCTTACTTAACTAAAAATCTTTTCATAATAATTAACAGAGTCTGGATCAACATTGCCATTCATCAAGCAGTATTTCATAATTAAAACATTTACATTACCGATTTCGAATGAATTTTGTTGAGTTTTGTACAGTGGTGTTTGATAATTTAAAGACTCAAAAGAGGGTGTTTTGAAAATTTTCCTACACACAAAGTGATGACAGATTAAGGAAGACTTCAACATGTTCAATTTCAACCAAGGATGATTATTCAAGTACTCAACCACTCAACATGGCGTGAATTTTCCTAATTGAATGATAACGCTTAAAAATTAAAGCAACAACACTCTCTGACTGAAGAAGCTGTCACAGTTTCTGAAAGTTAAATTCACAATTTTCATGTTAATATTTGCATCATTCATTTTTCAGCTAGCTAGCTCAGTCACATTTGAACTTTGTGCAAAAGTACCTGAGTGTATTCGGCATAGATCTAAGCATGAATTAGCCGGCTCAGCCTTCACCTTGCATTGTGTCATAATGGACCATCACAGAACTTCACAGAGTAGAAATCATCAACAGATCAATGACCACAGAAACACAACAGATAAATGATAGAGTGGGACTGAAGACAGAACAAAATTATTCAAGTACTCAACCACTCAACATGGCGTGAATTTTCCTAATTGAATGATAACGCTTAAAAATTAAAGCAACAACACTCTCTGACTGAAGAAGCTGTCACAGTTTCTGAAAGTTAAATTCACAATTTTCATGTTAATATTTGCATCATTCATTTTTCAGCTAGCTAGCTCAGTCACATTTGAACTTTGTGCAAAAGTACCTGAGTGTATTCGGCATAAGCATGAATTAGCCGGCTCAGCCTTCACCTTGCATTGAGTCATAATGGACCATCACAGAACTTCACAGAGTAGAAATCATCAACAGATCAATGACCACAGAAACACAACAGATAAATGATAGAGTGGGACTGAAGACAGAACAAAAGACATTAATTTATGCAAAATGCATTTTATTACGAAATAAATTACTTCAAACAGATACATATGTGAAAAAGAGAACATTTCTAACTAACCTCTGCTTTAAGTGTGGTTGTCGGGAAGATCTGTGCAATTTTTCGTCTTTTCCTTTTGCTTGGAAACCGTCAACAGATCCATTTTTAACGACAGTCGTCGTTCGCTTCTCGGTAGAAACGTCGCCATTTCTAGAAATATGAGACTTAATTGACGACAAAGCTTTGCGATTATTACCCTTGATTGTACTAGATGCAGCTCTGCTGCTTGAAATCTTTCTAGCAGCACTCATTCTGAAGATAATAATGTAAATTCCAGTGGCATTTTAAATAAATTTCTCGCAAGTGATAACCGGTTGCGATACGTTTCCGCTATGGTACGCCAGATGTTATCCACAAAATACGTAGACAAAAAGCGCTCCATAGACAATGCAATGATACATGTATTTGGACTTTCCCAGTTGTATCCACCCTTAACCCCCTTTTTAAAAGTTAAAGTAATGAAAGTAAGAGAATTATGACAATATAGGGAGTGTTGCAGCTCAATTTAGATTTTTTTTTAAAGAACATGTATATTCTTAAAGAACAAAATTATAAATGAATAAGCTTGTTCTTTGTTCCTGTCTTTGTTTGTAATTGCTGTTGTGTGTGTGTTTTTTGTTGTTGGGGGGGGGGGGGGGGCTTGGCTTAGTGTAATATATTCACATGCATATCAATTATTCTTTATTAATCTACTGGTCAAGCTATCATCCATTACAGTCTATTCATGGACTTGTATCTCTCTGACCCTTATTATTCTAGATCCCCCTCCCCACTCTCTCTTTCTCCTCTCCTCTCTCTTTTGCTCCCCCTCTCTCGCTCCTTCTCTCCATCTCTCTTTTCCCAAAGATTAAAGAATCATGATAAGGAAGTCAACCTATCACTCCATCATTTGACCACTTTCTCTCAATCAACCAATGAATTCACTTCATGTCATCATCAAAATGATTTATTAATTTCCTCAAAACTAACCAATATGTTGTCAAAACATCAACATTTCATTGGACATTTACTCATTCAACTAATTGCTCACTCACTCATGAATTAGTTTCATAACTTTCCAAACACACATAAATGAAAACAAATGCAATAATAGATATTCATGTTCAATTTATTCTTCATATAAGTTACAATTAAAAAAAAATCACATTTCCTTCCCTTCATATGGATCTGGGGATAGACATATGAAGCAATTTTTAAAATTAAAATTGAAAAGATGTTAAACGTAGTAATCGACTTTCACTGGACTAATATAACCTGTCGAAAAGAACAATCTGCATTACAGACCATAAAAAGTGTATTTCCTGAAGCATACAAGAATAATTATGAAGACAAGTCTAAGCAGGGAAACAAACAAAAAGAAAAGAAATAAAAATAATAAAAAAATAATTACAGATGGCAGTTTATTGCTTTAATACCAAGAAAACTAGTCATCTTGGAATACTATTTTCTCAGACAGAAAGAAATTATAACGAATCTACATGATTTTATAAACATCATTGAAATATATGTGGAAGAAGATGCTGCCGCCTCTCCTGGTTTGGTCATCCTAAATCAGAATTCAAGGTCATCTTCATCATATTCACTTGGCTAGGGTTGACTCCATACCAGTCCTATTCTTTGCCATTAATGGTTCAAGAGCTCTCTGCAGACTTGGGTACAACCTGTGAAACAACAACTCCTGGGCTGCAAGTAGATGCATGATGTGGTGATCAGAATTAAATCAGAATTCAAGGTCGTCTTCATCATGTTTCATCTTGGCTAATGTAGACTCCATCCCAGTCTTGTTCTTTGCCATGAGTGGTCTGAGTGCAGTCTGCAGACTGGGATACAACCTGGGAAATAACAGCTCCTGGGATGCCAGCAGCTGCTTGACTCGGTGACGCTCCTGTAGAGGATAGCAAGGGTAATAACCATGAATAAAAGTTTTAGAATATACAAAGAATGCTGGCAAAATGTTTAAAGCTCAATGCAACAACAAAAAAACGAAATATGAAATTTAAATAAAAGTAGAGCTGTAAAAAGCTGAGTGACTCATAGCTCATCTTCATCTTCCTCCTCTTCTCCTCTTTCTTCTCATCCTTCTTATTTTTGTTCCATTGTTTACTTTTGCCTCATCCTGTCATCCGTAGTAACCTAATGATTTTTAAATTCAATTCCTACTTCTCATCACTTTTTCCATCTTCTTTCTTCTCCTCATTAATCTTTAACTTTTTATCTTTTTAATTTTCTCCCGTTTCTTTTTCTTAGAAATTACATATTACATTGCAGGTACTTCATAGAGACTAGAAATAGTAACATCATAATATTTCCAGACTAGACTTTTTCATTACCTTCGGTGCTTCAAAGCAGGCCGGGCAGTTTTCTGATATTACAGGAAGCTTAGCCTGTTGAAGTTAGATACAAATTTATGAGATATTTAGGGAAAGAAAAATATTGGGACTTTCATTATTAAACATGACACTCACAGAGTAATTACATGTACATAAATTTTTCCTGTTTTCATTTCATAAAATGCAGTTATATAATTTAGTGGATGCTTTTTATATACAAGCTACCTCTGGATACATGATAAGCACCTTAATCGCACGATACTCCCAATATAACTTGACATAATCTTCCACAGTCCATTAGTATTTTGATGATCGATAAATGTACTTGTGAATCAACGGAACAATCATTTTCCCTATGTCTCTCATATAACATTTCAATTCATGTGGTGTGGGTATTAATGAAAGCACACTATCTGAGTTTTGAAGCAAGAAAAGTTATGTGTACATCAAAAACAATCAGCAGATAATTTTTGTTTAATAAAGTGAAATGGAAGCTTACCTGATCGGCAAAATCCCTGAGGTCTTTCTCTCTGACATACACAAATGGTCTAATGACCCTCAGATCACCTTCCCTGTGGATTATAGAAGAAGAAAAATTGGAGAAAGGAGACAAAAATTACTAGGAAGTCTTCAAATATTATTTTCTTCAAAACGTAACTGCCAATTTTCTCCTGGCTGCATGATCTGTAATGATACTGGATTGCAATTATTATGATCATATTTTCAAAATTTGTCAATTTAATATCATGTCCTGATCAATGATTGTTACAACTTTGAGGTATTAGCTATAAATATTTGCTAGCTGTAATGCATGCTATTTTTTAACATTTAAAAAAAAACTGGTAAAAGTTCTTGTGCCTGGTTATGAAACAACCAGTATTTTGTTTCTACTTACTTGACCGTGTAGTTGGCTTTCATCGTTCTCAGAAAACCATTGTGGAACGCGGACATCAGGAAGCTAGGAATGAATAACAGCAATAAAATCTTTACTTTCAAACTGAAATGATATTGAAAAACCACATAGAGGTACACAGGTGTATATGGCGAGATGAAGGAGAAAACATGCCATCTGTGTACCATGGACAAAACTCAATACAAAGTCTTGAGGATGTTGAAAGGAAAAGTAAACAAACTTTAATAGTCCAAAGTCAATTTGTGAAGGGCATTTGAAAAATACATCTCACAACAATGTGCAGATGTACAGTTAAATTTCACTTCCCTTTTAATTTCTGATGTTGTATTCACAAAAACATATTTTTATCTTATAAAAGGCAATCATTCAAACTGATTTAATGCTTATTCAGTCCTAGCCCATCGTTGAGCTACTGCACTGTTGAGCAAGTCACAACATCAGGGGGGTATTTCACAAAACTTGTCATCAGTGAAAAATGACAGTTTTTGTTATAAGCTACTAAAATCCATGCTTCTGACTGGTTATAAGCAGATTTGTCACTGATATTTGTCATTTGTCTTGTAAAAAGGTTTTGTGAAACTGGTCCCAGAAATGATGCTCTCCTTTCATGTTTTTACAGGACCAGCTTGGCAAGAAGACACACCATTTACTATCAATTTTTTTTGTGTCTGAATTTGTCTACAATAAGCAATATTTCTGCTCATGTGAGTCTTGCTTGTATACCTTTCAGTGAGGTCATCTAGATGTTGACCCATCGCAAGTACGTTGTATCCCTCCCTCCTTGCGCAGGCGTAGAGTCTGCCCCGCTTCATACGGGAACAGAAGCTGCAGATGGAGGCACAGCCATCAGGCAGGGAGGCCGCTTGATCAATGATACCTAGGAATGAATACACAGGATCATATTAACCCATTAGCAACTTGAGATTTTGTAAAAATGGCCTTTTACTCACTGGAAGATGTTGCAAAATTGCTCTCACTTTGACATTGTTCCGAACAGTATGAAACATGCACTATTTTCCTATGCAGAATCCTATTGTAGACATTGTAAGGATTATGCACGTATAACTTTATCATGGTAGACCATAGAACGGATACTATAGCGCGTTGAAAACAGACAAAAACGGACGGGTAGTTTTGGACGGTTCAGTGAGTAAAAGGAGTGGCGTTGCGAGCGGTTTAGTTGCTAAAGGGTTAACCCAAAAAGCAAGGTAGGAGGGTATATCACAAATTACAAAAATTAAACGGCATATTGGTCTTTCACAGATAGCTCAGAAGTTGTGCAACACATGCTTCAGTGAAAACTGCTATGCGGTAAATATCCTACACTGACCAAATACTGGACTTCATCCCTGAAGCAAAAACTGTACCTAATCCTAACCCTAACCCTAACCCTAGCCCTAAACTTGTGCTCAAACCCAACTACATTCCTGGCCTTGTTGTTTTGGTGCAACAAAGCCTGGAGCAATTGTCACAGAGTATATGTCAGGTCACCAGCTCAGACATGTCAAACATTTTTGGACTACAAGACAACAGGAAAGCCATGCATTTTAAATGATATTGCATTATATAGAACATGACTTTACATGAACACTAATCATGACATTGACCACATGTTGCTTTGAAGTCTTTGGCAGGATAGACCTAGGCCCTAGATAGGAGAGTCCCTTTTTACTTTGACTAATGCATCCTCTTAATCCCAGTAGCCTAAATATCTGAAGCTCCTGGTTCCCACAGTCAATGGTCCGAATTAACCCATTACTTGCCTTGCGCACGTCTAATATCAGACATCTGACTGTGTCACGCTTATTTTGCGCTAACTTTAGACCATGGGTTATGTAAATGAAGATTTAAATCATGGGTTAAATTTAAAACTTTTTTGTGAATTAGGGCCAATAGGTTTAGCATGCTTTATCAAAGAGTTTATCATGGGTTTTGAGATACTCACATTGCTCTTCATAGAAGTAAGGCAGCCCCAGTTTAGCGAGGTATCCAATGAGAGGCCTGGGATTGAAGGAGGGGGTCTGAGGGTCAACGGTCACTGCTCCCAGGTCAAAGGTGATACCCTAAGAAGAGGAAAAGATAGTTTTATGTTAAATAGCGACTTCATATTAAGCCCAAAAGATTATCAACCATACCTGTAAAGTTGGTCTAAAGTATTTGTTTGTCTTTTATTTTAACTGTACCAGTCAAAATAAATAACATTCAACTTTTGGTAACGAATGGCTTGTCACAGCCAGAATTTCATGAAGTCATAACTCAACATAAATGTATGTATCTTTTCATTTTAAACACTATCATAAATTGGAATATATATAGGCAAATGATAAAATCTAAATAAATACCAATATGTGCTCTATAAGATATTTAAAAGTACTGGTATACAAATATAGATAAATATGTAAAATCCAAAGGGAATATCAGATCATCAAACTGATGTTCAAATTTAACAGCCACTTCTTTAAATTTCATCATTTACAATCAAGTCTTGTTCATTATGGGAAACTGCATTTACAGCATGTCTCACTTTATCTGCCCCCCCCCCCCCTTTCCTGTGTAACACACTATGAATATGGCGGACAAAGAAAGCGGACAAAATATACAGTTCCTCAGGTAGACAAAGGAACATCCCTTCACTGCTATTATGTAAAAAGGTGAATATGGATGTGACACCTGTTCTACACATTTTTAAATAATAGCAGTGAAGGGATGTTCCTTTGTCTAACTGAGGAACTGTATATTTTGTCCGCTTTCTTTGTCAGTCATGTTCATAGTGACAGATTCTACCCACCTTTTTCTTGGCAGCAAACTGATACTGCCTGAGACAGTGAAGCAGAGAGAGACTGTCCTTGCCTCCTGATAAACACACCAAGACACGATCTCCATCCCTCAGCATCTTATACTCATCCAAGGCCTAACAAAACATCATTTAAACAAAAAATGAGTGACTTATCAAGGTCTTGTCAAGAAGTGGAACTGTGAGATTCATATTGTAATTTTGTCATCATTGTCAGTGTTGGAAATGAAAATAATCACAAAATTATTGTATTTCTGTAATAAGTATATTTCATATAACAGAAGTACATTTAACTCTACATAACTCTCAGTCACACAGGTCTAATTTCCAATATAAAGTCTTACCAATTTTCAGACAAAATTATACAACAGTACAACACATGTGTTATTTACACTTCCTAAGTCAAATCTTGCATGAGTTTTGCTATCTTTTAACGGTCGTAACAGATTCAACAAATGCTGAGTCAACTGTACATGACTCTTCATTATTATCAATTATCAGCAATGCTATCAATAACTATCAATATTATCACTATTACTGCTTGTTGTAACTGTAGAAATGGAAATATTAATACACTCATTGGGATAATCATCTTTAACACTGATTATCTCATTGTCTTACTAATTCTAAGATGTAACCTTCCTTACCTGCAAGGTAGGTTTGAAGATCTTTTTCGTAGGCACTTTGAACTTCACAGCAGGTTCGCCCTTCCCATCATGCCTCTCACTATTTGGCTGAACAGCTTCCTGTTTCTGACATTCACCGTTAGCCCCTGAGTTGTCTCTGCTATGTTGGAAAACTTGTGCACTTTCAGATGATGGTGATATGGTACTCTGTTGTTGACATGGTATGCAACTGTCTGAATTGCCAGAATTCACATTGTTAAATGTATTTTCCTTCTGCTCTGGTATATCAGAGTTGTGCTTTACTTTACCTATGGCACTGTTCTCCTCTGTTCTGTGCAAAAGGGAACCATCTTGGCTAAGTGTAGCATCATCCATTATACAAGGGGCTTTTTCACACACTGATTGGGTTCCATTAGTCAATTCAACTTGGTCACTTAAGCTTGCAGTTCCTACATGTATAACTTCAACGTCATCTCCATTTCCATTAGCTGTCCTTTCACCAACATCACCTGCCAGCACACCGGATCCTTTGTTTCCCGATTCCTCCTGTGCTATCCTGTTGTTGGCATGTGACTCACAAGTATCAGGTGACACATCAGGTGACATTGATGAAGGGTCATGTGACACTCCAAATCCTTCATTGACACTATCAATAAACCTCTGGGCATCACCGCTCCTCTGTGGAACATCTTCACTAGTCCTATCATCCAAGCTATCATCTTGTCCTGCATCCTGACCCAACCCTAAGGCCACACCCATCTGATGTTGCTCCACTCCATCTCCAGATGATGATGATGATGAGTATCCGTTGACTGACCTTTGACCTTTCTGGACCTTTTCCTGAGTGCTTGTGGAAGTCACAGGAGGCTGGCATCTTTTGAGATGTTCTCTCCTTCTACCCAATTCTTCCTCACTAAGCGGGTAGGATGGAGGTTCGAAAGGGAGACTTGAAGCTGGGACGATCTTCTTGTTTTTGTCTTTGAGTGCCTGGTTGGCTTCACTGGGAAGCATGAACCATCTCAGCTTGGATGTTTCTTCGGCAAACAGGAGAGTCTGATCAGGGAGGTGGATCTGAGTCTGAAAGCAGGGTTAAAGGTTGGGTGTCGATAATTATAGGGTCACACAATAACAAAGAAAACAAGAGAGATTTTGAAACAGATATATGGATAACACATCCTATACAATTTTTAACATAACTAAGTATGGATTGCAATTTCTTTCTGTTATGTCATGCAGAGCAAGTTTTCATATATTTTTAGGAAACATAATCACCACAAGCGTTTTATAACACTGTCTCAATAACAACTTACATTAATTCATCAATGCAGGAAAACTTGCATGATTTTATCTCATGCTAATTTTGAAATATTCTATTACACTACTAATACAACTTTTTTTTTTTAAGGGAACACATTGAAGGGTGTCTTCCTTACCTTTTCCGCCTTCAGGAACAGCTCCTCAGCTATCCGGAGGCAATGCTGTAATGTGAGATAAGAAAGTATTTCAAAATAATAAATTTTGTATTCCTGGAATCATTTTCACCATCACTTTAGGCTTCTTCTTTCTCTTTTCTTTCTTTGAACAACCAATCCATGTGGATCTATTTCAAAAGTATATGGTTAGGGATGTGATCAAACTTTAGGTTAAGTTGAGGATAAGGGTTACGGTTAAGTTCACATATAGTGTTGGGTTCAGGGCTTTTAGGAATTCAGGTAGTGTAGGAGATTGACCACAGAGCATTTGTCATAGAACCATAATAACTACAGGGATACCAATGGGTTTCAACCAGTGGGCCTGAAATGAGACTCTGACATGTTGTGCTGTACAAACATGAAATCTGATAAAGCCTGAATGAGGAGGTGTCTGGATTTGAAAACTGGTATCTCTTCACCTACCTGGAAGTCGGTGGGAAGTGGACCTTTCTTCTTGACCACACGGGGTTCAGGGTAGGTCATCTGACCGGAGGCGTAGGAGATGGACCCCAGCCAGCGACGGTCCTCAAAGACTTGGTGCCTCTGCTGCTTCCATTCACCGGTTTCTGGGTTGAACATGTACTGGAGAGAGAGAGAGATAGAATGAGAAATTGAGAGAGATTAAGAGAGAGAGACATAGAGAGAGAGAGAGAGAGAGAGAAAGGACAGAAGTGAATGGGGGGGGGGGGGGGGGGTGAGAAATGAGGACAGAGAGAGAGAGAGAGAGAGAGAAAGAGAAAGGACAGGATTGAATAAGGGGTGGGGGAGAGAAATGAGGACAGGTAGAGAGGGAGTCAAGTAACAAATAGAAAATAGAAGAAAAAAATCTTCATTACTTCTCAAACACTGATAAAGACATGCACTAAATTCCAGGGAGGTAAAAGATGGGGACAGAAAAAAAGGTGAATTTTTAAACTTACTTGTGGTAGAAGTTTCCATCCATTTTCTGCAACCATGGCAACAGCCTCCATGACAAAGTTCTTCTCTTCCTCACTCATAAAGAATGGGAAATTTAGTCTTGCGAAGCCAGGTCTAGAATAATGAAACATGAAACTTCATTCTTTCACATATCATGAGAAATAAATTCAAACAGCTAAATCTAAAAATTAAACTTTACCAAAAGATTTCTTAGGTTTCATTTAATATTCACAGCACAGTTCACTTCACAGTTTGCTTCTAGTATCAGGTTTAGGCTGAAGGAATATCCAGGATATTGATATATCACATCAATGCAATTTTAATACCAAACTTTTTTTAAATAATTAAATAATATCAAATATGTCTTTTCTAGTTATCAATGTAATCAAAAGCAAAATACCTATCTACATTAATATAGTAATGGGATATAATTTTGAATGTAACTGAACATCAAGGATTCTATTCCTACCTTAGAATCTCTTTCTCTGAATATTCACTGTACCTCCTCAGGTGTACCCTATCCAAACGACTGGAGAAAAAAAGAAAAGAAACAAGAAATAAAGAAAACATTCATTCATTTTCTATTACATAGCAAGGCCTGAAAGACATTCTTTTTACATACACTCCACTTTATACTTTATATTAAATTTTGTTGAAATACTTCAACTTGACTAAACATATTTTCAAAGACACATGGACATGTTTCTAAGAGACAACCATGAAAGGTCGTAGACAAATAAAGTTAAACAGATTTGCAGCATGTTGCTCTTACTGATGATAAGTCAACTCACTTCCATTCTAAATATAAGTAATTTTCTCTCGTATGAATTTCCTCTAAGAGGACCCCTCCACCATTTCCACCATCACTTCATTTATTGTTCCCCTTTTTGTTAAAAATGTGAACATACATTCTAGTCACATACCTGTCTTCAAGCAGCATATCTTCAAATCTCTCTGCCAGTTCTTCATCGATACCAAGCAAGTCCTGCATTGACAGAAATAGGATAATATCATTATTGTTACTAATATTTTATCAGTACCATGTTTCATGTCTCAATCCATGCTGTGGTTTTCTTTTCCTAAACAATTCCTTAGAGAAAAGATTGTTTTGACTCCAAGAGCCTCAAACATCCTGATATGTTTTTTGTTGTTTTTGTAATAAAATAAAAATAAAAGACAGAAAGTAAATAAAGAAGAAATAAAAAGGTGCATGAAATGAGACAACTGTAAGAAAACAAATCTGTCAAAAAGCTTCATAATTTCTCAAGCTCATTTCATACCAACTTATATTTTCTTTACATGGTAGAGAGGATGAATATTGAATTCTTCTTTCTTTGCTTGTAGGCATGCCTTACATGTTGCTCTCTGAAATACCCATGAATCATTTTCAAACACATAAACCAGAAGTATCCAACCTACATCAGAAACAAAGAATTGAGGAATGTATCTTCATCCTCTCAAATTTACCTGAGCATAGGGTCCGGCGCAAGCACAGCCTCCCCTTGCCTGTATCCCAAACACATCATTGAGCAGAGCACAGATGAAGTTATGATGGAGGAACTGCCTGGTGTGAGGATGACGGATGAGGAAGGAGAAGATGGGAAGGCGTGGCCGGGATGTGCTCCCAAGCATTACCAGGTTGGGGCAGGAGGAGAGACGTTGCATGACAGAGCTGGACAAAAAAAAAGTTTAGAGAAAAGAAATATTGCATAAAGTTCAGTAATTAAGTAAACATGAAAAACTTGGCGAAAGAATTTCTACTTCATCTTTCTTAATTTCTCCATGTGTTTAAAACCATTAACATAATTGCTGCTGATTCGCATTATCTTCCCTATTATCATCTCATTCTTCTTTTCTTTCTATCATCCCAACTGGAATGAAACAGAAAAATTTGAAACACTTGAATTATTTCTGTTACTTTTGAAACAGTTACTTTCAGACCTCATTTCTAGGAGCTTATATATTTTTCTGTGTATCAATTACAAAATAAGATAATTTGTTCACATTATTAAACGTAACAACTGATGTAGGTCTGGAGAAAATCATGACTCATCATATATACAGTCAAACCTGCTGTAGTGACCACCGATATAGAAGACTACCTGTCTGCAAAGACCATATTTCTTGTTTCCTTAGAAAATGGTTTTTAATTGAAACATGTACTAAAGGAACCTGTACATAAAGACCACCTGCCTATAAAGACCACTGTTCTTGTCTCCCTTGGGTGGTCTTTAAAGACAGGTTTTACTGAATCTCTTACCTGCATATTTCCTTCTCCCTTTTCATAATCACATCATGTCCGATGGTCTCTTTGAGCTGCATTACGAGCCCTGCTCTGATAGCGCCAACAACAGAGGGTGTACCACCTTCCTCTCTTATCTCAATCTGCTTCAGATACCGATGACTCTCTCTCCTTACCTACGAGGAAAGGAATATCGGTGGTGTGATTGAGTATTACTGACAATCTGAAGGGTTAGTCAAAATAACGGTTTTACGATGCTAACAAACAATTTTCTAAATCAGAAATTACATTTTCACTGGTTATTGTTTGCTTAGCCATATTTGCTTTGATTTTGCATTTGACTTTGACCTCAATTGACCTCAAGCACACAAGTAATACAGTTTGACTGGATATTATAATTAACTCACTGTCTCCAACTTAATTCCAAGTTTGATCGGTTCTCATAATGAAATAAACGTCTTTGACTCGATCTCATATTTGATTCATTGCTTGAGTGTATAAAATTCATATCCATGAGAATCAATCTCTTTGAGTTTAATTGACTTGATTAAATTACTTTTGATAGTATTAATTGATTCTATCTTGATGACTCATATAACTGTATGTAAAATTGTAAATTTAGTTTTTTATGTACCTGTTAAATAATACTGTTCTATATACTTTTATGGAAACAGGACAACACTTCATACAGTTACACTTAGACTATAACAAAATACAATCCTCTTTTAAAAAGAGTCTCAAAGATTTAGAATGAACAAAATATCATGGATACTCACATAGAAAACACTGCCTCCGCCACCACCGGTTGGTGTTGGGCTGACAAAGAGGGCCTTCTTTGCTACGAGTATCCCAGGGGTCTCCACTCCACCCACAAATTTATGAGGAGAAAAGAAGATAGCATCTTTGGAAGCCAGAGAAGGAAGTATTCTAAAATGCATGACACAGGATACAAACTTTGGTAAGTCATCAAATATCAAGCTTTCATCACAGCTCAACGACTTTTTAATTTGCAAAGGGCGAAAAATCACTCTTATGATCTCTATTGTTTTAGTCGTAGTACAAAATATATGAATGAAACCTCATTACTCACACAACCATGCATCTATAAACAACACAAATGAAGAAATATAACCTCAATAACATCTTGTTACAAACATAAACATAATGCACTGAACAATTCAATGAAATTCACACAAAAAATATAAATATTGAATTTGTAAACCTACCCTGTCACAACTGGATTCATGTCTATTTTCACATATGGTCCTGTTAAGAACAACAGATAAAGAAACAAAATTAAGAGGAACATCTAAATATTCTACATGACAAAGATTTTTTTTGTAGTGAGCTACAATACAAATGAATAAAGGTTTTATGTTAAGAAGCATTTGAGGATGCGTTTATCGTGTCTTGCCACTAGATATGTACATATCGAACCCCACTATTGAACCCCACTATCGAACCCCACTATACGACCGTGATTTGCGGGATGTCACGTTTATCGTCTCTTCACGATTCAAATAAAGGCCTTGTCTCTGCGCAGCTGCTTTGCGTCGTTTGACCCGGGAAGCAGACAATTTCTCGGAGGTCAACTAGATGAACGAGTACACACACATGCTTGTACAACAACACATGGCGCGCTATCTCCGAACCGGAAAATAGCCTGGGAAGGTCCGATTTGTATGTGGGGTTCAAAACAGCTTTGCGTTTATCATCTCTCAGAAACATGATTCTGGCTGTATGTCACATTCAAAACACACCTTTTTGCGTCTTTAAATATGCCCATATCTAAAGACGTTTAAAAAAGTTTATCACCTTCAAATTTGCCTGAAAGACGTTTGAGAAACCTGATTCTAGGCAAAAATTCGGTCAATAAACGCGCCCTATGACAGGGCCATTTGATCTGAAAGAATATTCAAATGCAATAAAGTCACTAGTAGAAGGGAAGAGCTTTGGGGAAGATGGCATACCACCAGAGGTTCTAAAAAGATGTGACCTGGATGAAATCATTCTGAGTTTCTGCAACAACGCTCTGATCAATGAAGAAAAGCCCCACCAATGGTCCATACTGAACATTGTACCAATACCAAAGTCTGGAGACCTGAGCCAAGGAGGAAACTATCGAGGAATCAGTCTAAGCTCCATCGTGGCCAGAACTTTCAATAGATTGATTTTGAACAGGATCAGACCTGTACTTGATAGTCACCTGAGAACCAACCAAAATGGATTCAGAGTTGGAAGGACCACGGTGGGACATATTTTGGCACTTCGCAGGCTTATAGAAGGAGTAAAAGAAAATCAGCTCCCGGCTATTATCACATTTATTGACTTTCGCAAAGCCTTCGATACCATCCACAGAGGCAAGATGTTGAAGATCCTTACTGCATATGGCATACCGGAACAACTGGTGAATGCTATTGGCAAGATGTACGATGACACCAAAGCAAAAGTAATATCACCTGATGGAGAGACTGACCTCTTTGAAATCATGGCTGGTGTGCTTCAAGGTGACACGCTTGCACCTTACCTATTTGTAATAGTCCTCGATTATGCCTTGCGAGCAGCTATAGACGGCCATGAAGAAGAACTTGGATTCCAACTAGAAAGAAGGAGAAGTAGGAGAGTTGGTCCGTAAATCATAACAGACCTAGATTTCGCCGATGACATAGCCCTGCTATCTGAGGAATTAGAGCAAGCCCAAAAACTCCTGAGCAGGGTGGAGACATCGGTAGGCAAGGTCGGGCTCCGGATGAATTCAGGCAAAACCAAGTTCATGTCATTCAATCACAGGGGGATCATCACTATAAAAACAAATGATGAAATTCAGTTGGAGAATGTACCTGATTTCAAGTACCTGGGAGCACTGATGGTGAGCACAGAAAAAGATGTGAAAGCTCGTAAGTCAGCAGCATGGAGAGCGTGTAGCAAGCTTGGAAGAATCTGGAAATCTTCTCTTCCTAGGCAGTTCAAACAACGTTTGTTTGTTGCTACAGTTGAATCTGTGCTTCTATACGGCTGCGAAGCATGGGCAGTTACAACAAAGCTGGCAAAAGAATTAGATGGTTGCTACACCAGACTTCTTAGGACAGCATTCAACGTGCACTGGAGCCAGCATATGACCAATAAGGAGCTGTACGGGAATCTACCAAAAGTATCAGAAAAGATCAGGGAAAGAAGACTACGTTTTGCAGGCCACAGCTGTAGGAACATCAATGAACCAATATCTCAGCTTTTACTCTGGAAGCCTAAACACGGGAAGAAGAAACCTGGAAGACCTCATCTTACTTATACAGACCTACTCAAGAAGGATACGGGACTTGAACTGTCAGAGATAAAAGCAGCCATGCTGGACAGGAATGTGTGGATGGCCATCACAGCTCGGGCAGTTGACCCGACTTAAGCAAGCAAGTAAGCATGTGGATTCTAGACCTCATATATTAATGTTATTGTAGTCTAACACAACTCTTACAAAAACACATTATTTATACAATGTATCTTAAAAGCGATAGAGTAATCTGTTAAAGCCCATCTGCACTAGTTTGGCCAGCGGGGATTACAACTCCCTGCAAGGTCACTGACAGGTGGTTATCTCATCAAATCAGCTCTCAATTAACATAACAAAAGGCGGATCATGGGGGACCAACAGGCACTGATTAGGCATTGTTTGCTATACAGAGGGTGCAAGTAGCTATAAGTAGTGCAGTGGGGATTTAAGACCAGATGAAGCTGACTTACCAGCTGTGGCATAGTCCCAGAAGGCAAGGGCGTTGTGTCGATGGAGGATGGTTGTTATGGCGACCGTATCTACCAGGATGCCAGTCACATTGGACGCCGCTGAGAAGCAACCAATCAACTGTCGGTCTGAGCTCTTCCATGCCTGGAAAGATAGCATAACAAACAATAAATGTCAACATCTTACAACTGGGGAGTGTTTCACAAAGACTAAGATCGACTTTAAGTTGGATTTCAATATGGCAGGCCGTTCATGCCACTGTTTGTTCTCACCATTTACTGGCATTAGTCTCTCAAGGAACGTATAAATCATAGTCACAAATCTACAGAATTAATATTTTTTTGATAATTCATTATTGAAGGAAAAAATATTATCTAAAGATCATAACGGTGAGAGCAAACAGTGGCATGTTCAGCCTACCAAATTTAAGTCCAACTTAAAGTCGATCTTAGTCTTTGTGATCTTTTACTTTAATGTGTACAAGTTGTGACATAGTAATGATAACACCCTTTTTTGTGATGAGGTACTTGATTATAAATGAAAAGACAGAAAAGGCAGTGAATTTAAATCATAAGTGCTAATCAACTGTCGACCTGAGCTCTTCCAAGCTTGAGAAGAGAGAATTACAAAGCACACAAGACAAAATCATAAGACTGGTCTATTACGTTGTATATACAGGCAGTGAAATACAGTCAAACCTGCTTTTATAGTGACCACTTGTCTACAAAGACCACATTTTTTGTTTCCCTTGAAAATGGTTTCTCATTGCAACATGCGCTATAGGCACCTGTACATAAAGACCACCTGCCTATAAAGACCACTTTTCTTGTCTCCCATGGGTGATCTTTATAGACAGGTTTCACTGTACATGTACATCTTTATTTCAGGTGAAAGTACTTGCTTACTAAGTGAATGTGAGTCATATGTCCAATGCCAACTCATTGGTGCTTTATATCATTTAACAAAAAGTAGGAACAGAGAAAATAACTATGACCAAGATGGGCTATTAACGAAATAAAAAGCAGATGTATTCTCACCTGTAACTGCGTATCTAGTAAAGCTGTATCAACCAGGCCATCAGCATCTTCAGGTATTCTTATCATCTGAATCATTCAATGGAGCAGAGAAATAAAAAATGATAAAACAATACTTCAAACTTACTTCAAACCAAATACAAATGAAAGGAAATCACAATGTACTTATGTTTTCATGAGCATATCTTGATGTATACAGATATGGATACCTCACCACCCTTGCATAAAAAGTAAATAATGTTAAGATATATCAAACCCTACTGCTCCAATTAGATCAGGATGTTTATGTGTTTTAACATTACGTTTATATGTATTCGCCCAATTTACATCACTCAGATGAGAAAATCAACTATTTTCAGTTATGAGAACCAAAGAATAATTATGGAATAATGCTTACCTCTGCCCCTGTCTCTCTCCATGGTAGCAGATTTGAATGATGCTCAAATGGTCCTACAAACACCACCTTACGACACAAAAAGATTACAGACAAAACATTATATGTATCAAGCAAAAATGTGATAATTTTCATTCTTTTCATACATACAAATGTAAAAGTTATAAACAGCAGTAATGATAAGCAGGGCTTGACACTAACTTTATGAAAAGGAGTCCACATTGAACTTTTTAACATCTTTATGCACAAGCTCTATGAAAGATTATGATTGTTTCATGTTACTTTTGTTTGTATATATATATTATGTTATGATTTTATGACTAAAATAAATGAATTGAATTGAAAAGATGTTCAAAATTGTGTGGGTCTGGACTTAGGTTTTGGGCATCCATGTGTCCCGGAAGCCTGTTAGAATCATCATTATCATAATTTGTATCAATATTATTATCTTTATCCTCTAGTTATTCTATTTCCTTTTCATTATCAATCACAGTCAGGCTTGTCTTAGCAGCCACCTGTCTATAGTGGTCACCCATATTGGAACCCTCTTGGAAGAGATGTGTGTTGTAGGATCTCTCTAGAAAGGCCACCTTTTGGGTGGCCTTTATAGACAGGTTTGACTGTGTTTCCATCCATTAACCGTCTGGTGTGCACATACTAAGATGACATCCCATATTATAAGATGGGTAGAAAAATCCCTGCAATCTGATTGGTCAATTACCATGTAATTATTTCTACTGGATGCACGCGATATCGGCGATAGATACAACCGATATCCTTTTTTTTTTTTTAATTCTCATTTAAAAAAAAAAAATTTTAATGATTTTTTTTAATGATTTTTTTTGATAATTTTTTTTGGGGGTGATAATTATTTGTTTTTTGATAATTATAATCTGTTTAAATCTGTTTATAATCTGTTTAATAAGTTAAAAATCATGCCTCCGGTAATTACCGGACGCATGATTTTGCCATGCATTCGGTAAATCAGTAAAATAACAACATTTTGTATTTTTGACAATTTTTGGGGTCCCATCTTACAAAACAGATGATGCACAGGTTTAATTCGTGGGTCGTTGGAATTGTGTGCATGTGGTACCTTTGAATTTGGTCTAAAACCAGTCAAAGGTACCTAGTGCACACAATCCCTACCGACGCACTCAAACCTGAGCTTCATTTGTATAATGTACTTACCGGAGGGCTGGTGAGATGAAGGGCATTGACAAGCTTGTGAATGGCCGCTGTACATCCAGTCCCTGTAAAGATGACCGCATCATGCTCACTGGCATTCACAGCATTCCGTACAATATCTCTGAACATACAGACAATATACAGAAAATAGACAGCAAATAAGAAAGAAAAAAGTAATAACAGCTAATTTTACTTGGTATAGTTGCATGTTTATGGAGAATTCCATGCAACACAAGCAGATGGCAAGAATTGTCCTGAAAATAAATACTTTGATTCCCACATCTGAAATGTTTAGTACCCTACGATGGATTGACATGGAAAAAAGATGGGAGTTTAATAAAAGTAAATTAATGTATGATGTTATGAATAATAGTGCCCCATCATATTTATATGATATGTTCACCCTGTCCGCCCATACTCATAGATACTCAACAAGGAATGCTGACAACTTGGGCGTCATTATTCCAAGAATTAAAACAGAATGTGGAAAACGTGCCTTCTCAGTTGATGGTGCTCTTCAGTGGAATAGCCTACCCCACTCAGTTCGAAATGCCCCGACCAAGAATAATTTTTGTTCTCTCTATTTTAAGCAGCGATCTTAAAGATAAATTTGCCTTTCTTTCTTTATTTATTTCTTTCATGAATATTTACATAAATTTCTCAATATAATAATTTGTTAAAATCTAAATAGATCATTGATAATAATCAGAGTATATTGTTATCGATTTGAAATTGCTCATTGAAATTTATCATTCTTACTACGGCTTTGTTTCATTATCCACTCTTACTCTTTACTCACTTTCTGTTATATGTTGCTATGTATTGATGTTTTCCATGATGTTTATATTGTTCAAGTAATTTGTTTCTTCATATATGTTCATTTATGTACAGGGCCCCCTGGAAAACAGTACTTTGATTACTGACGGGGCTACCCTGTTAAAATAAAACGGAATAAATAAATAAATAAATAAATAAATAAATTCTGAGTCATCACACCATGAAGCACATGGTACAGGGTTCAAATCTTTGCCCCAGCAGTAGTGTCCTTCGGAAAAACATAAACAAATCTATACTTGCCACTCTCAAGTTCTCAACCCAGTTAAAGTAGATGGGAACATGTTGGCAAAGAATTCTGTGCATGCTTCTTGAGTGATGATAGTAGCTCAATTAAAGAGTAGTAATGATTGCATGGCCATTTGGAGGAACAATATCAATACCTCTGAGGTCACCCTGGGTAAATGAGACATTAATTTTACTATCATATTTATATTGTCAACAATAATCATAACTTTATTTACCCAGGGAGGCCACATAAGAATCAGCAGGGGTCTTTCTTGAGGGCCCTGCATCCATTACCCCAGCAATTGTCAGATACCAATTTACACCTGGGTGGAAAGTGGCAAATGTGGATTAGTGTCTTGCCAAAATACATTGGTGCCTGGCTGAGATTCAAACCCTTAGATTGAGAGGCAAGTGAATGAACCACTATACCACATCCCCTCCACAAGAACTTACCTTGCTTCATGCCTGAAGAGAGTTGTTTGAAGTGATGTCACAGAGGTGGTGGTGTGGGTGTTGCCATAGGTGGGTAGAACCCTCTCCCTGATGTAGTCTTCAAGGAAACCTAACGACCTAGGAGATTAGAAGAAAGTACTTTTGCATTCAGTCAGTGTTCATCTGGGTTTTCAAGCAGAAGTAAGGGTTTATTCACATTATGAGAGCATGGGGTATGTGCCCCCCCCCACCCCCCTCTTCCCACCAAGCTGTGACAAGAAAGACACAAGGAAAAACCAAAAGGGAGACAGGGGAAAAGGTGAGAAAGAAGATGCCTGGACCACATTTCGCCCCCTTCCTTTAATCAGTAACCTTGTAAAACTGCATTTCTTTTTTCTATTTAAGACTGGTGCCCCCCTTCCCCCCCCCCCCCCCTCATAGCATACATGCCCCTCAAGGCCTCAATGCTTGATGGATGGACTCAAACTTCACCTTTGAATAAGAATAACATCAATCTCTGCTGTTGCAAAGCAACGGTACACACTTAATGACTTTGATCATAGCATACATGTAATGTAAAGATGAGAGAAAAAAAAATTATAATTCATAATGCTATCACAAAAAGTAACATTACTTTTAACTAACATGTGCAAGAAGGAACATCTACTTACTTTCCTGATGCTGTGTAATCACAATAGGTAACTGGAGAAAGGACAAAGTAATACAAGCATTATTAACCATATTTTATATTTTACTAGACACACTTCAATCCAAGCAGACCTCTGTAATAATATGCATGTTTAAAATATTCCAACTACTGGTATAATTATATAAAGGATACATTCTAACTCTTTGTAGAAGTAGAAATAGAAGAGGAAAAAGTAAGTTGTGCTGTATTCGTAGATTTGAAAATTTAAATCAGCGAATCCAGACCAGAGTCTGTTTTTCGTCCACTCACACATTTGCAAAGTTTAAATAAATTTGTATACATGTACCACACATCTGTACAGCCAAGAATGCCTAGTTCTATAGGCTATAGAGCTAGGTCTAGTAGTAGGCCCATGAAACATGTGAGAAAGTCTAGAATTAGTCTAGAATTAGAAATAGTGTTTTTGTTTTTACGAAAAATACTCCAAAAGAGATAAGAAAATTGACACAAAACACTTCAGTTCAAACAGGTAAGAAACATAACAACTTTTAAATTATAACTATTATTTGAACAATTGATGAAGATTTAGTTGATTTTTTGGTATGTTTTAGTAGGGTTTCTCCACGCCAGAGTTACGTGTCAAAATGGATTCGGAATACACTAGCGCCGCCAAATGAACAGGGAAAACCCCCACATCTGCATCACTGCATCATGGGTCACATTCACAAGATCGAACTCGCGGTGATTATTTCGTTACCTTTTCGGGGTCCGAACGGCCCTGAAAATGTCAAATCATTCCCGATGACATTATCCCTAATGTATTTCTGGAATTCCTCTTCATTTTGCTGATGCAAATGTCCCACAGTTGGTTTCCTTTCCCTTGGAAAAGTATAAAATATTCGTGAGCCATGGGTCGACGACTTTTCATCACAGGGCGCTGCCATGTTGTTACATCACTCACATTCATATTATTTCGCATAATACTCTTTGTTATTTCTACCATTTAAAATAAAATTGAGTCTTTAAATATAAATATAATAAAATCTTGAGGCTAAAATTTATAATGTTATTTGATAAATCATATAATTTCGTAAAATATTTTATATATAATGTAAAATACAAAACTAGTTTGCACAAGCCAGGGGAATCCCGGAGTCGCAGTAAATTGTATTGCACTGACGATTACGCTCTTTCATCATTATACTCGGTGCATGTACATGTAGATGCTACCGCTTAACATCAACAACCTACTACGACTTGTCTATAGGCCTACTAGTACTAGACTTGCAACAGGGAAGCTACATACATGGACATTATTCATGTTCAAAGTGTTTTGAAACTGAATTTTCAAGAAGAAGAGCAATAATTGCCAATATGGATAAAGTTCTATCAAGGGTAAGACTAGACCGAATTTTCCGTCTCTTTCGTTCGTTAGCCTCTTATTGGGGTAGGGTCGGCTCTCTCTTTAGAGCCGACCCTACCCCAATAAGAGGCTAACGAACGAAAGAGACGGAAAATTCGGTCTAGGGTAAGACCAAAAGGATTTTAAAAATATTTTAAGTATTAGATTGACAAGAGTCGAGAGCTAAAGTCTCTATCTAATAATGATAAATCTAGAGTTAGACAGTCTAGTCTCTGATATCGACGGTTGTTCCGCTGAGATTACATCTGGCACCTCTGACCGCCTCTGTGAATAGGGAAGGTTGACAAATGTCAGTTTTTATTTTATTTTCGAATTTATATCGAGTGCTTGTAATTTGTTCTTTTTTACCACTACCAGAATTTTTTGTAGGAATGGAGAATTATGACAAATGTGAGTTACATGAGTGTACAATTATTTCTGAAAATAATTGTGTAATATATCGGACTCTGATCTGAGGTATTTATTGGCAATGGTGTAAATTAGGTGGACTAATTATTGGCACATGACTTACGAATCTTTGGATTTACTGATCCTGATCCTTGAAGCGGGATATTGTTGACCAATAAAAATGTTAGTGTTCAAGAGAGAGAAAGTGTGTAGTGTATTTAGTACATGCTTTAGAAAGTTGAGAGCAGACAGAGTTGCATGGGCAAATCAAAAGGATATTGTCGAGGTGCGATAGCTCAGTCGGTAGAGCAGGGGTCGCGTAATCCGGTGACCCGGGTTCGAAACCAAGTCGATGTGCTAGTGCCCTTTAGTAAGGCATTAATCCTCATTACCAGGTCCCTCGGAGAGGACCTAAAGCTGTCGGCCGTCTGGTTGCTTACTTACAAGCATTTATGCTTTCTTAGCAGTCTATCAGGACCATCACTACTACATATGAGGCCTTAATTCTAAAAGTGTTAACAACTTCAATATTATCAACATTTTGTTCAAGATCCATGAATGTTTAGTAATTGTCAAAGTTATAATTGTATGTTGATATTCGTTTTGTAGTACAATTTGTTCTCTTGCAATCAAGCTTTAATATACATGTATGATGTATCTCTCTTTGATTATTCTACCCCAGAATGTTATCATGTGCTACAGAAAGCTGCTAAGTCATCATCATCACCAGTGCATTAGATTCAAACAGCTTGGGTCACTTCAACAAGTCATAGCTGGAGGGAGTCAGCATCAACCTAGACAGTGCCATGTTGATGCTTCCAGCAAGGGATCAGTACAAAAAGGGTTAATACAAGAAGATAATAAAGGCAAACGAAAAGAAGGAGGGAATGACATAGGAGATAATGGACTCACTCCATCACCTCAGAATAGAAGTGTTCAACCACAGTCTTTAACTGATAATCAGGGAAATATGACAGAGAATTCTGGAGATGATACTAAACCTACAGGATCAGTATCCATTGTTGAGGACTCTTCAAGCTCACTAGCCAGTAGCAGTAGTAGTGGTGCTGGTGGTAGCGACAAGAACGACTCCTTGAGTGACACTTCGGAAAAAACACTTGCCAGTGATGATGAGAAATCTAGGAGGAAGGAGCCCCCAGTGGCCCCCGACCCTGAGACCTGCTGCGAAAGTGGTTGCGTCAACTGTGTCTGGATCAAGTATGCAGAAGAGGTCAAAGACTACTACCCAGATGGCCAGGATCACCAGGAAAGACTAAAAGAAATTTTGGATTTGATCGAGGATTATAACGTCAAAATGTTTGTCCGGATGGAACTAGGGATAAAGAAGTAGTCAAGAATGACCTCTGACCCTGAGACCTGCCGTGAGAGCGAAGTAGCGAAGTAGGCAAGAGTGATGAGCATGGATTGGAATAGAATGGAATTGTTTTTTATCCACTCTTCTTGAGGAAAGAGGCCCTCATTCACATTTATTCTTGATGCCCTCCAATTGCTCACTCATCTTAGTTTAAACTGATAAATTTCTCATATGAATAGAAATTTATGCAAAAATATAGGCCTTATATAGCTGTTAATGGGGAATTCAATATATTTTCTCTATGATGGGTGGCTTGGAATGACTTATATTTATGTCTAATGTGCATATTTGAGTTTATTGCAAAATGTGCACTGTGCAAATCTTATTCAGAATGAGAGATGACAAGCTACAATAGCATTTTAAAATTAAATATGTCTTGGGATTAAAGGAGCCTCATGTATAGCCAGTACTTCCAACGTTGCTAAATTATTTTAACTGTGTGCTCCATGCATTAATGTGACAGTTTTGTAAAAAAAGAGGTCATCAGGGTACATGCATGTTATTTAAGATGACACTCAGATGTTTTTGCATGTTTATAATATGTATTAATCGTTAATAATTTAACAAACACTTGCTTGTCTTTGCATGCCTTACAACCCTTTAACATTATTTGAAGGAATGCTGATGTATTGTTAAATACGGTAAACAATTTAAAACAGTTAAAGGTAAGGTTAGCGTGTGTCCTAAATCTAGAAAAGGAGGTTTCTCTGAAATCATATTTATGTAAGTAAATGCTCTTTAAAACATATGTGGTTTCCAAACTTCCAATAAAGTAAACTACAAATGTTATATATCAAAGGAAATCTTTGATACTATATTTTCAGAAAATTTGCAAAATAATGATATGAATTCCATCAACTCATTTGCAATTAATATTTTTTTCCAACCGACTGGAATCACTTTGTTACAAATATTTTTAAGGCAAAGGCATCTTCAACTTCATTGAGAACAAAGATTAAATTATGTGTTTTAAATCCCTGAATAGAATTTAAAGAAGTATTTGTCTTCTTGCAATAAACAATGAATGTCCTGTCATTCATAATCATTAACAAGACAAACCATACAATTCTATAGTTTTAGTAAGCCCTTGGTGCCGTTTTTCTCTGGGTCTATGCATTCAATATATATATATGCATTGGTAAGAGCATGAAAGTTGAAGTAGAGGACCAAGACTAAGTCACTAATGACACTTTATAACAATACAGAGTATCGTTTTGACAAAAGGCTCACAAGTACAAGTACGCCAACATCCCACTGAAACAAGTGTATTACAATTTAACATGCGTCTCAGTGTGGTGTCAGCAAAATTGTATTTGTGACAGTGTCATGAAAGGCTGCCCAGGTTTCTTATTTTTAATTTCCAGGCCTTTCCCCCATTCTAAATGTAAAGCTTTGTGTAGAAGTATAACGATGAAGTGTGCAATATTTTGATTTTTTTTTTTTCTTTCTGAAAGACAATCTTTGATAGACAGCATTGATAGGCAGCATATTTTTACCATTATAATTTTTTGTGATTTATTGCATAACTAACTATGCAAATGGAAGCACAACAGAAATGGTGGTATGTGCAATCAAGAAACAACAATAAAAAAAAACAGCTTCTTGTCCTGCATGCCCACCTACTTTTTATTAGTATTTACTATTTTACTATACATGTTTTATTACTATATTGTTACTATTACCTCTTTGATAATAAATAGAAGAAGGAGGAGTGACATACAGATGACTAAATTATTTATACGGTATCATACCTTTATAAATACATTTTTTTTGTATTTTTTAAAGTACAGTGTACATGTATTTGAAGAATTGGAATATTTTTCTCAAGAATATGACATAGAAAGGCTTACTGGTACTTCTAATTTACAAGGGGTATGAATAATTCAGTTGGTAACTCTATATGTAAGGAATGAATGGTATTACTTCTCCAGGATGTATATATTACAACCTTTGGAATTTTAGTTTCGTGCCAAGCAGAAAGACCCAAGTCACTTGAACATATATATTGTGGTCATATATTATGATTTTTAATAATCTTTGTGAAATGGATGGAAATATTATGTACCAGTAAACAAGTTCTCACCTTTCACTGTTTTCAATGTAGACAGTGTAAGGCCGGATGAAACGACTTATGTTGATTATATGGACATGGAAATATTTATTTAAAAAACTTTATAATGTGTTTTTCTGGAACAGTAAAGCCAAAGGACATGATTCCAAATTTTCCACCCTTTAGTTGGTCTCACATTGATATACCAGCCATCTTTAATAAGGGTTTTTAATGCTTAGGGAAAAAAGAAGAATATTAAAACTTGGAAAAGGGACTACCGGTAGAAGTTTTTTTTGTTACTATATGTCATTAATGCACAAAGATGACTTCAGGTTTAAGATGGTGCTTTGCCATGGCAATATATATGAAAACTAAGAAGCTGTCAAATATATATATGTGCTCATTTGAATGGTTTGTTTATTTATTATGGAATTAAATATATACATTTGTATGACTGCCAATTTGAAGAGTCCTGTTGTATCATTGATGACTACCGTACTTGATTTGAGTAAAACTGGGTTGACACAGTGTATTGACAAATTTTGAACTGAACTATTTCTTTCTGGGCCCTGTGATTATCAAAATATCCAAAGGTATTCTTAAACTTGTATATTTAGGAAGTGCTTCAATATGCTATCAATATTAGTTTGGTTTACCACAAGTTCCCTTCTTTCATCGACCAACCCTTCAGCAATCATGTTTATTCTGTACCTAGATATACATTATTATTCTGTGTTATATTCAATGACCTGAATGCCTCTTTCTGTGGCTGTATGTCTGTCCTTCTGTCTCTCTTTCTCACTCGCACACGCTATCTCCTCTTTCTAACTCTTTCTCCCTCTCCCTTACATACACTCTCTCTCTCTCCCTCTCCTCTTTTTTAATCTTATTACTTTTCTTATTTTTCATTTTCACACTCATCTCACTTCTTTAGTCTTTCCTACATGTACAAATCTCACTACCGGTAACTATTATTGTATTATCTCTCATTCTTCTTCCTCTTTCCCCATTTTCTTATTGCTTTAAATCCTCTGACACATACATGCTTCCCACAAAATGATCCAAAACACTAGTCGAGTTGGGGTGTTGCTTTTTATTCCATTTTTGCGTCATATTTCTCTCTCCTCATCCTCGGAGATCTCTGAAAAAGCATATGAACAATTTATATGAACAGCTTGAACATGTACATAGGAAAGTGGAAGGCCACAAATATATTCATACTTTATGTACAATCAATCTTTTACAGTTCTCCTTTAGAAGCCTAGATATAATACACGTAAATGTTCACCTTCAAATATCAAATTATTATCATCATACATAATATCGGCCACGTTGCAAACAACATATTACAAATTAATCTTCTTTTTATCGTACTATTCTTAAGAATAATAAAGATATGTTCTTCACTGTCGGGAGATCTCTCTGTACAAAGCAATTTAAGTTATACAAACTTCAGGTCAATATACATATAATATCTATATTACTATCATACACAAATGTATTTTGTTTACACAATTCTTTCGATACAAAAATGTTCTCATTTACAAGTAAAGACTGCCTAATTTAGCATGCCTCTTCCATTTCAGGAACTTGTAATGATATTATGCTCTACAACATAACGATTTCAAATAATACAATGCACCATCAAAAGCAGTTCAAAAGGATATCTTTAACAAAGCTAGTAACAGCCTTGCCCAGCATGTAACAAAACAATGCAATGATTCCAAACAGGATTATGTTTTTAAAAAGACGTTATAGACAATCATGACTTGTCCCTTTACAACAATCATTTCTATAATCGATGACCAGAAACGACATATGATATCATACACTCTCGGCACTTCATATGTCTTTAATAATCAAGTGCACATGCATAAATACTAGACACAAATTCGCTGCGAATGGTTTGCAAGAAAATACTAATGAGTTATTATGTAGTACGTGAAGCAAGGTAATATAAGGGAAAGTCCATCATCGATATAATTTATTGCTGCAATGGCAATCCTGCCAAGTGTATACATGTTATAAGTATACCGTATACTATCTTTAAACCAAATAGATATACTCGGTATATATGTATATATATATATCTCTCACTTGCTCTCTAAAAATAATCTCTTGTTGCTTTCTCATGCCTTTCAGGAATATTATGGATTTATGAAGAACATAGAATAAATACAACCCTTATAATAAAGCAAGGAACCACATATGTTTAACTCTAAAGCATATGGGTAATCTTCCTGGTGAAGTTAAAAAAAAAATTAGTTTGATATTCTGTTATTGACTTAAATTTGGCTTTCTATTGTAAACCATTAAGGCATACATATAAGTACCAGGACAAGCTTTCAATGGTTATAGTTTTCTGATATAACTCTGTGATATAGATCTCTTGTTAGTTGCTCAAAGAGGTAATAAAAATGTGAGTAGAATAAATGGAAGAGCACAATATTTTTTACCGTAAATATATAATATTCTTTTTTCTAACAAATCGTTTAACTCTGTGTCTGTATTCTCTCCAAAGATAATTTTATGTTGACACTGTGATTACCAACAAACCTTTTTTGTATGAACCTGGAAAGTATAATTATATAAATATTCAATCCTACTTTTGATTTTTAAAAAAAAGGTTTTAAAAGTAATTCAAGGTATCATATACAAAGACATCATCAATAAAATAAATGGATGACAAGAAATTAAAGAATAGTACATAAATTTCGCAGATAATTATCATCCACAAAATTGAAGACATGATTTTAGGACTTTGACAAAGTTTTCTGATGATATGTCCAATCGTATATAAACATGATATGAAAAAAAATACTGGTAATTGTAGTACTTCCAATAATTTATCATTCACAGGTTATACATTAACAATTTTAACCAATATGTTGGCTGAAGTGAATTTAATGCTTCACTTGTAATTACAAGAAATTATATCACACGTTGATGTACAGTGTACATATTGTTGCTCATTTGGTCAAGCAGTACTTCAGCGACAAATATGCTGTATGTACATTCCATAGTCGAGTGGTTTAAGCACTTGACTGGAAATACAAGGTTACGGGTTCAATCCCTAACACGGCACTAGTGTCTGTTGATGAGGCATTAATCTACATTTGCCGCTCCATACCCAGGAGTGAAATGGGGACCTGTTAGGATGATGAAAGCCTTTGTGATAGAAAATGGCGACCAAATGGGAAGAATACTCCCCAGGGAGTGAAAATTGTGCACACTGTGCATGAATTAATTCAATGACCGGGGTCAAAATATCTGTTTAGTGTTTAGAGACGGTATATCCTGTATTAGGCGCTATACAAATCCAGATTTGCGTATTTATGTAAATTGAAATTTGGAACAAAAACAAAACGGCAATAAAATGAGGAATTTAAAATGCACTAACTTTGAAAGCTGATTAGGCAACATATAGCTACTACCCACAATGTTTTTATCTAAGCGATTCATTTAGTCCCAGTTCAGTAAATTGAGTCATTATTCTGAAACCATGGATTAGTTTGCCAAATCAGCATCAGCATAATGAGTACCAGTAACTACATCTAGGCTTACTAGTATCGATCATTCTCTTCAAACATACAAAACACTCCAAAATCCCTAAAACTTCAATGAACGTCATTAACCACATGTACCTTCATAATGCCAACAATAAATATGTTTTTGAGCAAGTACTTCCATTCATACAAGCATTAGTCTATGTTTCTAAATTTCTTTTGAAGTAGTCATTCAGATTTGTCAAGGTGTCAAATTCTTTTCAAGAGGCAACACATTTTGTTCAATAATACATAGTTGTCTTTTGTTTTTTTAAATAAACAACATCAACAACACAAAATGAAACAACATGTACCCTTGACAATAGCTGCATTCAAACAATGTCATCTAAAAAGGTTTAAACAGTTATCATTTTCATCTCTGTCTAAAACCTGACATGTAATCCTTCAAAATGACCCAATTAAAACTCTGTTTGAGTAGTCATAAACCTCTGATAAACATGCATCATCAAATACATGAATTAATTCTCCTACAATCTCAACTACAACACCAACATTGTGCGTATATAAATGCAACTTACTAGCAAAAGGTCAGTATCGATGTGATGAGTGCTGGGGCTGTGTAGATCGCAAAAACACATTTATAAGCCTTTTTTTTTTTAAATCCCCTAAATTTATAAGTGAACACATCTGATAATTTCTTCAAATAACGGTGTATCTGTACAGATGGTACAACTCTATGATGGTCCTAAGCTACGTTCCCTGAGGATTAAACAATCAGTATCAAATGGAAGAAATCAAATTGGCAACAACGAAACAAAAATAAAATATTAAAGAAATAAATTATTCTAGTATATTTTATATCCCTTTGGTCCATGATCCAAAATATATAAAAGAAAGGAAGAAAAATATAATGCAATTGCAAATAAATTATTCAAGGAAGCAGAAGCTCATTATGTACCTTTCATTAACAAAAAAGAACAAAACAAAAAGGAAGTTGCCGTGCAATTTCCAAATCACTGCTGATTCGATTACCATGCATAGAAAATACACATATTCAAACTTTGAAGCCACTACTGCACAATCTCCCAACAAAAATAATTGCTTGTAGAAAAGTAAATCATTGGGTTAAGTCGGTAGGTCTGTCCAATAATTACAAAAGGAAATCTGCTTCTCATGAAACTTATTTGGTATCAGTATCACCGGTAGTAATCTTGGATATATTTCCTAAAAATGACACTGATTGCATACCTTGTGTTTATCATTACATGGAACATTTTACGTCGTCCATGACTAAATAAATTTATACTGGTTCAAATATCTTGATTGCTATTGTTAGTAAAAATTATCTGGAGTTTAAATAAAGTAATCGTACAATCTGAGTATTTTTATTTTGATGAGTTTGAAGGTTTATGTCTAGTTGTCTACTACTTCTTTTAAACAGGCATATCACTTGGAAGTATTAACAGAGATATAGACTTTAAATACTATTCCATGACATAAATGTATATACATGTACTTCGGAGAAAGGTAACCCATTGGCTATGGAAACCGGGTGGTTCCTGTGTTAAGTCTATGAGAACTAGAAAATTCAGTAGTCAAGGGGTTATCAGTGAAATTTCAAAACAAAAACAGGGACCTGTTTCACAAAGCCTTTTTCCAATGAAAAATGACAAAAATCAGTTACAAATCTGCTGATAACCAATCTGAAGCAACGATTTCAGTAGCTTATAACACAGAAAACTGTCATTTGTCACTGATGACAAATTTTGTGAAAAGGGGCCCAGGTGTCCCTTTTCTTTCTAAATGGGGAAACACCTAACAAGCAATAATGAAATAGATAAAGATAATGAGATGAGAAATAAAGTCGAGGTATTTTTCTGATTGACAAGGCAATGGCTTATTTAAGAACGTACAATCCACCACTTTAGCCAACCATCTTCAAAAAGAAAGATATATCAAGCGAAACCCCCACATTATTTGCACTCGACATCGTCATCTACTTTTGCTCAGTTGTGAATGTTCCTGTATGTGGATGTAGATTGATATATCATCTAGATTCAACTCATTACGTAAGTGTCAGAGACAACTATTTATCAACTGCATCTCGACCTAAAGGTTGAATCCCCCAAATTTGCCCCAAAGAAAACTATTGTGCTCTCAATTACCAAAACTCATGCACCCCTTGCTAAAATCAACATTATTATCTATCAGGCTTTGTCAAATGCACATAAATTATTTTGATATGAAAACAGTTAGTTTCGCGAGTGAGTGAGTGAGTGGATTATAAAGTAAGATTAGGCTATTGCCACAGAATGTAAAATTATTGAGAATTTTAGCGGTAACGCAAAAACTCAAAACCATACTTAAGATAATCAATCACAGAATTATAATGAGACAATAAATCACAGATTTTCATTATTTGTGAATGATTTTTTTGTTGTTTAAAGAATGTATTCCCTGCAGAGTAAGATATACGAAAAACATAAATAAAGATGAACGTTATGGCTGTTCAGTATGCTGTAACACACTACAACATGTGCAGAGCAGGTTTGTTTTTCACGTGGACTTCTCCAGTCGTACCTTAAAGGGAGGAGATGGAACAAGTTGGAACACGAGAACCGCTTGAAGATCATGGTGAAGGTTCTCGGTCCCAAATCTGTATTGCTCTCATCCATCCGCCCATCAACGAATGAAGCCCTTCTTAATCTATGACCTGAAGGATCGCTGCATTCATGCCCCAAAGGTTTCCTCATCAATGTACTTTCACTTTTATGTGCGACCACAGATAAGCTCCTAATCCTCCAGATTTCTATGTGGTTAGGTCTCTGGCATAATGCAAGTCGATGGTGTGGACGAGAAATCTTTCATTGAAGCAATCCTGTATGGTGTTCTTGAATTTGATGTTCATATTCTTCTAGCACCATTTCGCACCCCCGAAGCAGTCCTAGGTGACCTTTAGAGCAGAGATGGCGGGCTCAGGTCAGATTGTCCCCCTAGGCCAAAGGTGATAAGTGACTTTAGAGGCAGCAGACATGGTGGGCTCATCTCATTCTGTCCAAGGTTCGATGGCCAAACCAGCTCCTATCAAAGTGGGGCGAGGAGACCCTAAGCGGTGTACAGCATCGAGAGATTGTCCCTCTAGATAAGCCCTACGCCAAAGGTCCAAGCTCCCATCAATGTTGGCGGGTGACCTTCGGAGAGATCTCATCTCCACTAGCCCATCATGCTGTCCAAGTCCAGGGCTAGATTGGCAAACATGGACTCGATGTCGTTGAAAACCTCCTTGCCATCTTCTCCTGATTCCTCACTGTAAAAGATCAAACCAAATTTCAACAGAAAATAAGAATACAATGGATCTCTTCCTTAACAGTTCTGCAAGATTTTGGAGGAGAAGTGACACTATCTGAAATAGTTTTCTATACTCAATATTATCCTAGCTTCAAATTTGACATTGACATCCTTCGGTTAGTCCCCTACATACCATGGACAGCTTATCTGACTCTCAGATTTGACTGAAAATAGCTTATGCTGTCTTCTTCTATCATCCAGACAAGCACATTGTAAAGATTGTTCAGTGCATATATTCAAAACAAAATTTAACTATGAACAAATAAACAACAGCAAAGACAGCCACCCCCCTCCCACCCCCAAACAAAAAAGAAGATATAAATAAATAAATGTTCCGTAGACAATCCATCTCTACAAAATGAACAAACATCTGGGGCACGTTTCACAAAGCCTTTTTTCAATGAAAAATCACAAAAATCAGTGACAAATCTGTTGATAACCAATCAGAAGCAAGGATTTCAGTAGCTTATTAACAAAATAAATTTGTCACTGATGACAAGTTTTGTTAAATCCCCTCAGGAATGGGTGTGGTCTTCTTACCTGGTACTAGCTTCCAGCTCTGCGGGTGGTGGTGGTAGCGGTGGAGACGGTAATGATGGAGAGGTTTGGAGTTTGAGGACTGGAGCTGGTGGTGGAGTCCAGCTATCATCTGCAAATTCTCCCATGGGATCTTCCATGGCCATGCTCCGTAAGATATCCTCAAGTTTGATGGTGGCTGTAAATGCAAAAGGATGGAGGAAGAAACTTTTTTGTAGATGTACTGGAAAATAACCTTCCAAATCAAATTAATGTGTATTTAAACACAAGAATGAATGAGAGTACTAAATATTTGGAAATTCTTAAAGACAGAACACTTTTGTCTAAAAAAAAATTGAATGAAGATTCCTTCAACATGTACTAAGTTACCCAATAAGGAAGCTGGGGATACCAATATAATTCATGTGATTACAAGTGGTTTGAGCAATATTTTTAAGTACACAAATTTAATTGATTAAAATACAAGGCAGATTGGACTTTTTATTAGGCTAAGTAATCTTATTGCTATATGCCAACTCTAGAATCAAGGATCAAAAGTCACAGCTTTGTTAGCACAAAGCCATAACAAAACAGTAAATCAAATTGACTTTAAAAGTTGTCTTTGTTTCTCATCTTTAAAATTCATGGACATGTACATATTTGTATATCATTCTGGTTCATACTACAATTATAGACTTTGGAAAGATTAAGTACCTTCACCAAGTGAGTCCGCATCTGCAGCAGCATCTTCAACTGGCTTGTAGCTCATGGTGGCCGGATTCTCTACAGGGAATGAAGGCACAGATGCTGCGAAAATCTCTGCACCATAGGAGCCACTTTCTCCGGCAGTCTGTCTCCTAGGGCTAAGTCTTGTTGGCTGTTTCTTGATGGTGTCTGTATTTTCATTCTCAAAACCGGTGAGACCAGTCTCAAGGGTATCACTACTCTCACTGCTATCTGAGTCCACCACCTCATCGTGATCCTCCAATTTATCCATGTCAGATGAGAAGATGTCTATATCCTTGGGGTCCTCGATGGGGACAAGCCTGTTCTTGGGCTCCTGGATAGGAACCAGTCTACTTGTTGGTTCCTCAATGGGGATTAGTCTGGGTGATAGAGCGTTTGTGGATGCTGGGGGAAGTGTCTCTTGAGGTTTTGAAGGTTTGGGTGGAGATCGAGTCTTGGGCAGGACTACTGGTGGCACAGCCCGTTTCTTCACCTCTACAGAGGGTGGTGACGTTGTCTGTTCGGTTGGAGGAGGTGGCATCTCTTTTGAGTCACTAAAAGGTACAGCTGCCTCTTCATTAACCATTTCATTGGGAGAAGGTGGTTTACGTTTTATAGTGTCCGAGTTTGATTCCCAGCTCTCTGATACTACTGGCACCTTCTGTCTTTTCTTCTGGCGAAGCTTAAGTTCAGCCATCATATCGACACCACCACCACCGATGTCACCCATCATCTTTTTGGGTGCACTGCTACTTCCTTTCCCATTCACTGGTAGCACTGCGGTTGCTTTCCTGCTCTGTTTAATATTGGTCAGCTGCATGTTTGTAGGTGGTGGAGGGGCAGGAGGAGGGGGCGGCTGTGAGACAGCTGGTACTGGTGGTGGTGCTGGAGGTGCAAACGCAATAGGTGCAGGTGGTGGCGGCATTGGTGGTGATGGTGCTGAAGAAATTGCAGCTCGTCCCATTGGTGATAATGGTGGTGGGGGTGGAAGGGCAGGTGATAAAGGAGCAGGTACCCTTACAGGAGATGCATTAGGTACCTGTACTTGAGTCTGAACCTCAGGGGCGACTGGAGGTACAGAGTTGGGTAATACTGGTACAGCTGGAGGTGGACCAACTGGGGGAGGAGGGACAAATGGTGCTTGCATATAAGGTTGCCGCTGAGGTACAGACCCGGGTACCACTGGAATAGGAACTGGCTTAGGTTGCTGGGGCTGGTTCACGGTTGAATGTCTTGGTGATGTTCGAGGACTTGACTTGTTGAAGGAAGACATAAACCGATCATCAATTTCTTCATACAGTCTAGGAGATGAGGATTCCTCCTCTCCTACAGAATTTGCATTCATGTTACGGTTCATGGTTTCAAAGCTAAAAGGAGCATACTTGCTGACTGGTGACTGATTGAACTCCTCTTGTTCAGTGAACGACCTTGACCGTGACCTGAACTCTGGTGCCAGAGGTTCAGGTTTCTTTGGCGGTCTTTTCAAAGTTTGGTAATTCAAAGGATGAGAGTCGGTGTTCAGAAACTGTTTCTTCAGCTGCAAAAACGTTGCTTGCGTCTTGATGGGCGAATCTTCTTCTGATCCTTTGGAGGACGATGATCCCTTGGACGACGACGAGACGTCTGTTGTCAAATCCTCATCAATTTCAGCATTTGAGTTTCGATTTTGATGTCTCGACTTTGGTCTCCAAATACCTTGTAGAGGATTTGAAAGAACAGGGTTTAATACTGGTGTACTATCGTCTCCGTGGGACTGCTTCTTCCACAGCACTTCTGCGCTGCCTGGTCTTCGTGGTTGACTACCGCCTTCAGAACTATTGCTACTATTTTCGCTGCCTGCAGCAGAGACAGCTGACGCTCTCCTCCCAGAGTCTAATACAGTTGCTGTAGAAGGTGGAGGCATCACAAAGCTATAGCTGTTGGATTGCTTCGATTGTTTCTCAACTTGGAGGCTCCTCTCTATCTCTGCCGCCCTATTTCTTGATAAAGACTTTGTGTGGCTATCTGGTAAAGATCGTCCTTGGTCCCATATACTGGTATTCGTGTTAGATGGATCAAGTATATTGTTACCCTCATTGCGTAAATGCATTTTGGAATGTGGGTAGCTGCCATTAGGAAATGTTGACGCCTGTTGAGATTCTATTGCTTCAGAAAGAATATTCTGTGCTTGTTCTATAGCTTGCGTTCCAACAACAGGCCTATAGTTACTAGTTTGGTTTTGATCCGACAAAGGGTAATTCTTTGGTTGCTCATTGTTTTTCCTAGGGGACTGCGGTACTTGCACAGATGAGTAAATCGGGTGATCCTGCTGGGCATTCATACTCTGGGGTTGTGGGATATCTTGCCTGGATTCTTGCTGTACCTGAACATGATGATTATGGGCATTTTGGAGGTGCACCGCAGCATCCTGTTGAGGAATCGCGAATGGTGTAGGGATGCCATGCCTACCACCTGGCATGGACACTGAAGAAGAATTAGAATCCTTGCGCACCACTTGATTGTGGGTCGGTCTAGGTGAAGTCCTTTGAGCTTGTGCTACATTCATATCATCCTGTGGTGGATTTGCATTCACCATTTGATTTTGGACTTGATTATGGGCTTGTTGTTGATGGGTATGCTGGGGAGAATTTGTTCTTTGAACCTGTGCAGGATTTAAATTCACCATTTGATTTTGAATTTGATTATGGGCTTGTTGTTGATGGGTATGATTTGGAGAATTCGTTCTTTGAAACTGTGGTGAATTTGCATCCATCGTTTGATTTTGACTTTGATTATGGGCTTGTTGTTGATGAATATGCTTAGGAGAATTCGTTCTTTGAAACTGTTGTGGATTTGCATTCATCATTTGATTTGGAATTTGATTATGGGCTTCTTGTTGATAGGTATGCTTGGGAGAATTCGTTCTTTGAAACTGTTGTGGATTTGCATTCACCATTTGATTTTGAATTTGATTATGGGCTTGTTGGTGCTGGATCTGGTTGGGGGAAGTCCTTTCGATTGGAGGAGCACCTGCATTCACCATTTGATTTGGAGCCTGCATTCCCCATTGCATTGCACCAACCTCTACTGGTTGTACCCTACTACTGTTCATATCTTCCTGTCCATTGGAAGGGGCCACACGGTGTCCAGGTTGTCCAACACCAGCTCTCATGTCCGGTGTCACCTTTGGAACTGAAGGTGCCGCAGGCGGCTTAAATAGAACTTCTGATGACCTACTGATTATGGCTGACAAGGGCTCGCTGTCATGAGATTGTGATCTCTGCATTCTCCGTAATGTATCAGTCTTTCTTGAAGGAGTTCTTTTAATGGTTGCAAACCCTGATGTGATCTCTGGATGTCTGGCCATTCCAGATGCTACAGCAGATTCCCTATCATGGTATGGTTTCATGGACTTCTTCCTACCTATTGTAGCTGTCCTTAGTTTCTCTGGGTCAGGGACTGTTGTTATCATGGAGTTAGTCCTTCTTGGTGGTGCAGGGGGTAGCGATTTCTTGGAACCCATAAAAGAATGATCCCCTGAACCGGACCCAGACCCTGACCCGAAACTGGACGCACTCTCGATCGAATCCCTGTTGCTCTGCTCTCTCTTATGGATACCAATAAGTTTATCAATACCCTGAGGCCCTTTCTGCACTGGCAGAATCTGCGCAGCACCGCCATTGGGTTGCTTGAAAGTCGAAAAAGAACCGTAATTTCCTTCTTTGGCATTCTTTGGTTCTGTTGTCGGTGTATCCTTTGGGGATGGGGTACGCTTCCCATCATCACCGACGTTCATCGTTGCAGTCGCCGGTACATAACTTGCATCCGCATGATGCTTGGGATGCCGTAAGTGCATCATCGGTGGATGTGGATCCTGGGGGGTCGTTGTGTCCTGTGACGATGACCCTGCTGACCTGTTGCTGATATCGCTGCTCAGACTCTCGCGGCTGCTGCGGACTCCAGAATGTTTCCTAGCGAGGGGCGGGTTGACAAACTCCTGCTGCGGTGACTGCGGTGATGCCCTCTCTTGAAGCGGTAGATGCAATCCTCCTGGAGGAAGAGGTGTGATGCCATCGACAGAGGATTGAGGTGATCCGCTGCCGCCGGAGTCGCTGTTGAGTTGATGACCGGGTACCCAGCCCTTCTTCTTCAAGTCTTTTAACCTCCTAACTGCAAGCATGATTTTCTTCTGGTGACCTAGGCAGGAGAATCATGGAAAGGAATATTGTTACTTTTCTTAAAAGAAAAATCAGACTGTTCTTTATGACTTTTTTTTGTCACCATTCTAATTTTGTTCAGACCATTTGAGTTGTATGTGATTTTAGTCTAGGTAAGAAGGCACTGCAGGTTAATATCTCTTCTCCTTTTCACAATCATCCTTTTAATCATTAGCTCATTTGATGTTATAAATACAATTATTTCATATCTCCATTATAAATCTAAAGGAATAAAGAAACAAAAGACTTTGAACAAATTTTTCAAGAAGTATCCATTCATCAACATGGCTTTCAAATAATAATGGTATAACAGTTGACAAGCCTGTGATGATGTCAATAAAAGGTAGTGATCCAATTACGTACCTAGCATATCGATGCCAATGTCCTGAAGATCCTCCCACGTGATGTGAAAGACCTCCTCCATGACTCCATATCTGTTGGTGTTCAAGGTGTTGTGGTACTGACTGAGATCCAAAAGCCTCAACCACGTCCCTACATCACCCTGTAAAAAGCAAAAAATTATCGAGGTCAGTCTTTATAGTGATTCTGAAAAAGCATAGTTTAATGGAAGACACAACTCTGCAGCCGTTGCTCCTCAAGGTATTGTGGTACTGACTGCGATCCCAATACCATCAGCCATATCCCTACGTCAACCCGTGAATTAAATTTTTTTTTTAAATCCAAAAAAAAATCAAGATTGAGATCTGAATGAATTGCAAGTCTTCTAATCAATTGCAAGTCCTCTCATCAATCACAAGTTCTCTAATCAATTACAAGTTTCCAGTCCCTTATTTCTTTTGTACAAAGTTGCTACCCATATCAATCGCAACTTTTTAAAAGGCGGGCCCAGGACTAGGATAAAGCGTTCTACAGGTAGCAAATGGAAATGCCTGAGACTTGTACTTGTCACTTTATCTAGCTCCATCAAGCCAGATTGTAAACTCTTAAAGATGTCATGCGTGGGTACATAGTTGTTTGTGAAGTAGGCCACTTGGCTATCACTACATAACACTGAGCCAACAGGTATTATGCTCCTGTGCATACATCCGTGTGCTGCCCTCTATATACCCACGCATGAGCAACTTTAACATGTGAAAATAGCCTTACCGGTATATATCCTGGCACCGGATCTGCTTCTCTCATCTGTGCGATCATGGCTGTGATGCGTTTCCTGTGGCTGGGCTTGGTGATACCGATGGCTGTCAGGTCCTGTAATATCAATGAGATAAGAGTTTGAATCAATGACATAAGGCGACTGTGAAAGGGAGTCCCACAACATTTTATTCTTTTCTACACTATTGTAAGACCAGGGGAATGTCTCACTAGGACTAAGATCGACTTCAAGTTGGACTTAACTATGGCAGGCCATTCTTGCCACTAGTTCCTCTAACCATTCCTGGCATTAGTTTCTCAAGGGACGTATCAATCGTGGTCACAAATTTACATTTTTTGATAGTTCATTATTGAAGGAAAAAATATTATCTAAAGATCATAATTGAGAGACCAATAGTGAGAGCAAACAGTTGCATGAATGGCCTGCTCTAGTTTTAAAAGTCCAACTTACAGTCTATATTAGTCTTTGTGAAACACTCAACAGAAGCTTTTGCAACATGAAACTTCAAAAGTTATTAATGACAGCTATTTTTAGGCAATATGGCAAAGATTCACCGTTGTAATTCAACAGTTCCACTGATTAATGAAATTACTCTGAATGTGGGACCACTTGTAGACATTCCAAAAGTCTATGGTTTTACAGTAACCTGCATGTTAACAGTTATCAACCTCCAAGTGTACTTTAACGATAATAATCAAATTATAATCAGTCATGTCCAGCATGCAGACAAACCATTTAATTTAAATGACTTTTCACAATTTCCTTCTTTTTTCCCTTTCCTCTTTATATTATTGATTCTTCCCCCAAAAATGTGGAAACACAATATAAAACTGATATGGACAGTTAGAGCTTACGGGAAGTCATTAGCCTAATCTGACATGTATTCAGGAATACTTTGTAGCATTCTTAAACACCTGTCAATGATAACTGTTAATGATGTTGACTGACTTGATGATAAACTCAGCCAAAGTCCAAACAATTTTGGAAGAAAACTATCCAATTTCTAGTTTTTTGAAAATGAGAATACTTTGGATGCATGGATGGATGCATAAAGTGAATTTTCCCGGAGTATACAAAGCACTGAATACTATTATTAAGCACGATTTAGATCAGCTACAATAACAGAGCATTGAAGCATTGAATGAATCTATTGCTATCCATGTAATTTACCTGGGTGGAGAGTAGCAAATGGAGATTAATGTCTTGTTGAAGGACATCAATGCCTTGACAGAAATTTGAACCCTACATTGTACATCACAATCCAGTGACCTATCCACTAGACCATGGCACATTTATTAGAAAGAAGGCATTAACAAGCGATTTCGTAATTAGGATTTGCGCATGGGCAGATAGATCAAGGTCGTTCATTCCCATATTGTAAAACCATTGAGACGAATACTGGTATCGTGCTCATGAAAGTTACGTAATTAGTATTCATATATGCACCGACAGTACATTTATCTGATAAACAGGTGGAAGCATTCTCCTCAGAGGCAAACAAAAGGTATTCATGAAGCACCTCCATCACTTCGGCAGTGATTATTCTAAAATGCACAAGTGGGACGTATCCATCGTGTAAAAGATCTGGATATTTTGGGGTCATGTGTTCCGGAGCTATTTACGGACTGGCTTATCGGCAAGACATTGAAATAAAGAGGGTCCTTACCTCAGGAGTCATCTTGGCTATCGTTGGCATGTCGTATCCAGACCTGGTGAAGTTATTGGTGTATTCCATTAACCTTTGTCTCCTCAACCATTCATATATTCTATCAGCATCCTGAAGTAACAAGGAAATAGAACATTGTTCTCTTAATCATTGACACATCATTATGATAGGGGATCACAATATAGTTCAATTCATCAAGTCCAACGTAAATTACACCAACATGAATATGACGGAAAATGGTATATATCCAGAATTTAGCCAAAATTATAGGTGAAAGTGCACGTTTAATTGAATGCTCTCACTAGTCAAACTGTTCAAGAGCTCATTATCAATTTGTATTTTCACAATCTTGAGTTTCACAGTCTTGAAGTGAAAATGAAACTTATTTTTCAACAACAACAAAAAGAGAAAGGAGGGTGGGACAAACAGTATAACTTATGAAAGCATGTGCTAAAGATTACGAAGACAGCACTGTCACAAAGATCAGAGAACCAATATGTTATGTATCATTTGATCAATATCGACAACAAACAAAAATGTCTGAACCAGCAAAATAAAAACAAACACACAAAAACTTGCTGGAAATCATCTTCAATAAAAACCACAACTATCATTGCACATAGTGACCTGAGTTAAGCACATGGTGTCGGGCCTACTTACCTTGATTTCCTTACCTTGTTATGCTCATTACTCGGCCACTATACATGTTCTACTAAAATCATTTGGGACATGCCATTTACTTGTAATCTTGAGCATTCAGTGTAAGTTTTGTTGGATTCTGTGAGAATTTATTTGCTATCATTACCACAACTTAAGCTTATCTTTAATGGAAACTCTTTGTCAAGGAGTAAACTGAATTGAATTAAATTGAATTAGATTGAACTGATTGGCTACGAGAGAGATGTAATTGAGAGGATTCTTTCTTACCTTGATGCCTTCATGTTGAGCTGATATTGCATCCACATGGAAGTCAGATATACCATCACTGTGAGGTCTTTGGGAATCTAAAGGATTCAAATTAACACAGACATATAGTGTCAGTCACCTATCCTCAAAGCTCATTGATATAATAGACTCTCTTCCTTCAGAAGATGGAGAATGGAACATGAAATGCCCTCTTGAATTACTTTATTTAATCATTGTGAGGTCTTTCTGAATCTAAAGAATACAAATCAACACAGACAGATAGTACTTGTATAAGTCATCTATCCTCATAGCTCATCCATATAAAATAGGCTCTCTCCTTCAAAAGATGGAGCATAACATACCCTCTTGAATTGCCAACAGTGGTAATAGCGAGAGTTTAAAAAAAAAGGTTTTAGTCAGAGTTTTAGAAATCTGAGCAAAGCTAGGCGCCTAGCGCTTGCGTGAAGCTTTCAAGCAAGTCATGAAAAAACGGCACCTCACCCCCCCCCCCCCCCCAATTTTAAACTAGTTTTACATCGATCTCAGGGACTATCCATTTTAGGAGGAAAAAAAAAGTACTGTGAGGTTGGTGGGAATCTAACACATACAAATCAATATAGAGGATCCTGTATCCTCAAAACCTCATCATTATACTGGGCTCTTATCCAAGTAAAACAAGCCTAAAACACACTTTTAAATTGCAGAACATTAACCACTTCCTCCCTGTGGGCAACCAATCCTGCCAAGGAATTAAAATAGTTTGCTCGTTGGTTTGACAAATATTTGCTCAATACAGAACGGAGACAGGTGCAAGAATAACATACTTCCTTTTCCTAAAGCAATGAGATTATTAATCAAACATCAACAGAAAATAATATAGGGACAGGTATAAGTGGGTGACATATTTTCTTTTCCAATGCGAATGAATAAGGACCTGTTCAATACATAAAATCTAACCTACCGGTAAACATGACCGGGGTAAAAATGTAAAGCGCTTAGAAACTAGGAAATTCCTGATGTATCAAGCGCAATGTAAGCAAAAATATTATTATTATTATTATTATTGTTATCTTTTTTATTTATATTTAAACTGTTCATACCATATGGGTAAATATCACCAGCATATCATCAAACTTTCAGGTAGGTTATGTCATCTCTGACATTTCAACTATCTTTATTCAATGCACCATTAACTGCACATATGTTACAGTATGTCTGGGAGATAAAACAATATTACAGCATCTATTCCCATACTGATAACTTTACAAAACAAGCACAAAATCAGGTAGCCCATTTCCTCGAAATCTATACAATAGGTTTGTTTGCTCCGTCTCTCAACTCATATCGAAAACATGAATATTCAAAAGCAATGTATTTGCATATTCATAACAAATACAGTGTACATGCATATGTACAGATTTAATCATTCCAGATTATTTCTCAGAGGATTTGGTCGGTTAGCTCAATCTCTCAACTCACATCGAAAACATGAATATTCAAAAGCAATGTATTTGCATATTCACAACACATACAGATCACAGATTTAATAATTCCAGATTATTTGTCAGAGGATTCGGTCGGCAAGGGTTGGGATAAATCCACCGTCCTGGTACTCACCATTACAGTGGAAGTCCGAGGCAAGCATGTTGTCCATACTGTGGGCCGGGTGGCCATGCATCATAGATTTGTTGTTCTGTAATGATTGGTGACCACCCATCATACCTAGGTGACCTCTCATTGCTTGACCCTAGGTCGATAAAGAGGAGAGTAGGATTAATGAGGTGAATATTGCATCACCTAGACAGGTACCGGTATATCACTTATATTAAAGTAGAAATAGACCAGATAGGTTGCAATTGAATATAACAGATAAATAAATTAGCATTCCTATGAATGCCTCATTATTTCAATTCACAGGTATTCTTGGTTTTCACTTTTCCATAACTTAAAATCAAACCAAACTTACACTCAATGTTCAAGACTACAAGTATAGGACATAGATAAAACTTGGAGTTTTCTGATCGCTGAGTAATGAGCAAAGAAAGATGCAGAAACTAATTTAGTCATCCAAAACAAAATTTACAAGAATGTGTTTCATATATGAACACATGTTGTGCTTTTCAGAGAGTGTGATCTCCAGTCAGTTCTTATCTATAAAAATAAATCTACAGCATGATAGATATTTCAGAAATAGTTTGAGCCAGTTTCTCAAAGTAGAGGTCAATTGCAAACACTAAATATTAGCATTGAAAATATGGTTCTCTTTCTGAAGTGCATACCACACAGATGAGTTGTTGGACCAGTATAATGTCCCATTATGCAACAAAGGCTAGGGCCCCGTCTTACTAAGAGTTACGATTGAACCAAATCAATTGCAATTCCTTCGATCAATCGCAAGTTTGCAGTCTCCTATATCTTATGTACATACTTGTGATTGATATCAATTGCATATAAGTTGCGATTGATATCAACTTTTTTTAAGACTGGGCCCAGATTGTTAAAATTGACAAAAGCAAGCAACTTTCAATTCTGCATCTGTTTAATAACAATAATCACATATGTCAAGAAATGCTTACATTTGCAGTATGGTCCTCTGGGTAGTCCGCACCGCTTGGAGGTCTATTCCTTGACTGGGGTGTTCTGAGCCAGGGAGGATCGTCAAAACTTGGTTTACCTCTAAACGGCTGCCTACTGGGTGAACTACCGGCTGATGCGGGGAACTGAAACTGGTTGTAATAACCACCATTGCCTGCAAGGAGGAAAGGAATTGAACGCGTAAAGGTTAACTGGAATGGTGGTGGCAGGAATTATAGAAATTGAGGAAACTAGCACCTGATCACAAAAACATATTGCCAGAAGTGATTTGAATTAAGGAACTGAAAAGGGGTTTGGGTAAAAATATATACTGCCCCTAGAAACAAAGTATTAGGCACATTATAAATGTGATCTATTATTATTATTATTATTATTATTATTGTGAAACTTTTTGTTTGAAGCACCTGATTGCAGGAACATGTTGCAGGAAGTGATTTGGATAAAGGAAATAAAACGGGCTTTGGGACTGATCATATAAATATATCCATGTATTGCCCTCATGTTACCTTACGTAACTGATATCCTGGAGAAAGAAAAACTTATTTCCCTTAGAAATACAAAGAAAAGTATCCATGTTGATGGTCTACATCAACAAAAAGGAAAAGCTTTGTAAAATTAAAAAATACAGATTCAAAGAGGAAAAATATGTTGTACTTCCCTCCTAGTGTATATGTATATTCTTTCAAAAGATACAAGTCCTTTTCCTTGACAAAATACATGATGTATCTATCAGAGTTTGTTTGGTGGGAGCGGGAGACGGATCAACATTGATGATGCAAAGAGAGAAGGCTAATTAAAAAAGCCCTGAGAAAATCTCATTTTCATTCTTGCTACTACTACTTCTAGTCAAAAGAGCCCAAACTTAGAGTTCCCACTTTTGGTGCTCAGAGGGATAATAACTTACTAGTTGGTGAAATTGATTGTGAGAATGGATGAAAAAAAACTTACCACTAGGAGAGTGTGGAGGGTAATGAGGAGAACTAGGAACACCATGGTTCATCCTCGAGGTAGGGCTTGGGGGTACCATGGCCGGTGATTGACCCCCATGGTGCAACATCTCGGGTGGTGGAGGGGGAAGATCCTGTACACAAGATGATAACAACAACATGGTATCTATTAATACATACCGGTAGACAAAGCTTGAGACAATCGGATTGAAACCTATTGGCCGGTGTCCACAAGGAAGTTTATCTTAAACCATGTTTGAAACCTCCACTGTACATGTATGGCCTCATGTCCAATGAAAGGGCAATACAGTTTGAACGATGGTTTAGATGATGGTTCAAATTTTAATCTTTGTGAATTCAGGCTTTAAAAACTGAGTATGTAATGGAATTAGATATGCATGTAATACTACAGTGTTGTATCAAATGGTTTTAAAAATGGTTTAATCAACAGCTGTTTAATTTGCTTACCGGTACCTAAAGATTTTTGATTACTAATTCAAATTCACCATCTTTTTGAACCGATGATCTTTGTCATCTTAATTTTTTTTATCTTTCATGAAATATATTTCTTATCATCATTCATATGTCTCTTCTTCTCCCCACCTCTTCATGCTCAATTAAAAACAACATGACAAAATGAGGAGAGCAGTGTTCATGTCTTGCCTGTTCTAGATCTTTTGCCACTCTAATTTTACCGTTTTCATCTATTCTTTCACTCAATATTTTCTGCTGCATCTCTCTTTGGATTTCTTGTGGCTTACAAATTCATTTTGCCTGAAAGGAATTTTACCGGTATATTGATTATTACTGTCAAACATCACCTCAGCAACATAAAGAGGGCAAACATTTATCAAATTACACTCAATTTTCACCAAAATAGCATCATAACACAAAAATCGATCCCAGCCCTAACATACTATCGTTTTGATGGCGAACCAAACATATGCTGTTAAAAACGGAGCAATATGATCACTCACTACGAGCCTAACAATCAATCTATCAAGCAATTCTTCACTAAGCCTATGGCTATCAATACATCATTTGACACATTGTGTCGTTGGAAGGGAAAATGCCATGACAACATGGGCATATGACAGAGTGAGGGAACCTAATAGCCCTTTCCAAACAGGCTAAAAATATATTTAAAAAACTGCATAAAATAAAGTATTTCAGGTTACTGACTGGAAAATGTTGCTGCACCCAACAAATGCATTATGTGTGATATGTGCATTATAATATACACATTTGTGATGAAAACAGCTTAGAAGCTCTAACATATGCTTAGGAAAAAATTGCTCCTGGAGTTATATTGTCCCAGTTATAGGTTTGGACTGCGTTTAGATTGGAATATATGTCAAGTTTAGTATCGGGAGTAAGGATTAGGTAGAGTGTTCAGTCCCAGGTTGAATTTAAGAATCGGGTAAGTGTAGGATATTGACAGTGGAGCAATTGTCGCTGGAGCTTGGACCATATAACGCCACCGTTTGTGTCATTGTATTTTGTCATGGGTTAGGAAGTTTTTGAGGCACTCGACCAAGTCACGTCTGAACAAGGCATGACTTGGAGGGAGCCTGGCTCTAGAGGGACTGTTTCTTACCATGCCATGGGCCATCGATGGTTCCCCTGGGTAGGAGTGAGCTAGGGGTAGAGAAGGGTCCTGCTCATACCCCTGTTGCTGCTGCTGCTGTTGCTGCTGTCCACCTAGATTGTTTCTCATCGGTGTCGAGTGCTCTGTGCTCTCTGCAATAATGAAAAGTGGATAATATTTAAATTTCAATTCCCAAATTATTTTTGTTTGTAAGCAATATTTAGATGTTATCACTATACATGTGTAGTTCATTTCATTTGTATTTAAATGTATTTCTAGGATATTGTGTATGATTCTTCTTAATTGGTATGATGTTTTTAATTTTTGAATTCTGTGAATCCATTTGCAATTTAGCCTTTGGCTACAATGAGTGAATAAAAGACCTTGAATTGAATTAAACAAGGATGTGGAAGAATCGTCATGAATGTTCAAGTAGGTGGAAACTGGAAAGGGATGGTTTTATTTGTATCAATATTGGTCATATACATGGACAATTCTTTGGGGGGGGGGGGGGAGAAGACTTTATTTGCTGTTATGTTGGTCATATACATGGCAAATATAGAACTATACAATGTTTAGTTGGAAATTACAAACAGTACAGCGTAGCAAGAAGAAGAAAAAGACTTGATTTTTCCCCCTATTTTTTAACAATAGAAAGTAATTTTTATTTAGGGGAGGGGAATTACATAAATTTCTTCAGTAAACAACTTATCTGACTAAACATTACAACAACAACAAAAAAGACACCTACATGTTCATGTACCGCTCATCAAAAACAAATTTGTCATAACATAACACCCCGTCCCCTCCCTCTTCTGAGGAAACTTATTCAGAAGCACCTGCTTTTTGAAAAGTGAAGCATTTCGTATTCATTTCATCTGCGGGCGTGAGGTCTAGATATCTATTGAGAGCAAAGTTCTCTCCCATCCATCCATTCCATGCTCTACTACAAAGTGTGTCGAGTTTAAAAGCCTTTCACTCTTTCAGATGAAAATCAGTATGGATTTACCCAAGAGAAAGTAATAATGGTAATGCACATAAAAATACAGATGCAGTATATTTGATTGCAATATTCTCATGGCAGGAGAGATAATTTCTTTAAAACCATTATTAGTATGTTCAAAGCGGATGAAATGTGAATACTATTGTATGCTCTATAATTGTAATGGAATCGTACCAAAAACTTAGGATTGCGGCCTCAAAAAAGCTTTCACTATGGTTTTTTTCCTTTTTTATCATGATTTCATCCTCATTTCCTAATGGACTTTTATTTATTCTCTACTTGAACACGAGGCATGAGGGAAATATTCTGAAGTTCCACTTGTCAATCATAAAAGGGATTGTTCTCATTTTGTTTAATTTGGTGAAAACTGTGCAAACGTTCCCTTTATAAATCCCTCTCCACAAAATGTAAATTCATCACAGTATTCTACTTGTATTGATCCAAGGATCTTTATATTTCTTTCAGGATTGTGGTCATACAACACCATTAGGAAAATGTTCCCTTCATTGACGGAATTTGAAAAAAAATTGTATCATTATTGGAGCATTTCATGTGCATGGTCTGCTATTAAGAGAGAGCCAGAAGGGCATTAACTTATACAGTGTCAGTTTGCATCATTTTACACACTGTTAATGTCTTTCTGCTCTCAACTGACTATCTGTTCCCTGTGCAGTTAAAAGTATTACAAAGTTTTGGTATGGGGTCATGAATTTGGTTTAAATGAACATATTGGAAGCATATGCGATTTTACAATATTCAATGATCGTTGTCGCAGTTGAAATCGAGTCTAAAGTGATGAAATTGTAAATAATAAACTCTTTATGTTGTATAGCGCTCTCTCACGACCGATATTATTTTAGCTCTAAAACAATGTTTCTTGACTACGATCGACCGATTTGCTATTCCCGTTTGGAAATTATATATCAGAACTGCATATTCTGAGATTTTCATGGTCGCAGCTATCAAAGAATTGCCTTAGGCGCTATTTGAAATATTTGAAATTTACCAGGAGCACCGTTAAATTTTTTATTATTCAATTTCTCGAAAGCAGAAGTGTTTTAGGGGATAAATTTTCTAGTGATTATAATAGATCCATAGGGGCATCCAAATATATCAACATTTTAAAGAATGACTAAAATCAAATTTTCAAAATTTCCCAAAACTTTGCATTACCTTTAAAGCTAACAGACACGAAATAGAGGAAAAGAGGACAAAATCTAGATGAACCTGATTAATATTGAGACCTTGTCAGCACTTCAATGGCACTAGACAGCAGACGAGAGTGGGATGCCAGTGTGAATTTGAAGTAGAACACTTAACTCTTTTTATCTGTCAGGGAATAGCACGCCGTTTCCTATACCGGACATGGTGGTTTTTTCAAAGGAAAAACAACTAATTGCACTACCATATGGTGCAGAGGAAACCCATGCCATCAAACGGCTGTTTATCTGAATTGTTTTCTTTCACATTATCTACACTGGTTCGTAGAACTATTTGACTGCTGTTGCGTAATACAAAATAATTTTAAGAATTAATTTACACAGACTTGTAAAAATACAGAGGCAACTCCCACTCCCCTCTCAAAGGCTCAAATATAAAATTTACAGTACGCTTATGAGAGTAACTTTGTCGCTTTTCAGCAAAAATGCAAAATTAATATCATAAGCCATAGACATGGGCATTGTTTCATAAAATTTGTTATCAATAACAAAAATTCTTAATAATATCTACATGTCTGCCAAATTTGCTCCTTGCCAACCAAATGCCAAGATTTCAGTAGCTTCTAACAGTTATTGTAACTTGTTAATGTTATTGATAACAAGTTCTATGAAACAGGGCCCAGTTCGTACATGTACATGTAGTTTGGCACATAATTAAAGATAAACTTTAGTACTGGTAATGCGATTGCATTGTGAAAGAAAAGGTGTGGAAAGGATCAGAAACAGTTGATCATGTAGCATGTAAGTATTGGTGTGCACTGCAAGGTTCTGGAGTCATCAAAATCATAAAAAATTTGACCGAGTCTTGGTAAAGTAACAAGCACTCACATAGAAAGCTATATATGGGACAACACACATGGTGTCGGGGCTAGTACTACCTTGATTTCCTTGTTTTTCTATGCTCATTACTCAGCCAGTATACATTTTCTTCCAAAATTGTTTGGCACATGTCATTTATTTGTAATCTTGAACATTCAGTGTAAGTTTCATTTGATTCTGTGAGATTTTTTTTTTTTTTTTTTACCAGTACTGGAGTTTATCTTTAATGTTTAAATCATGGAAGTGGTCACACTTTGCACATTTTAGAGATAGGTGTATCGCACCCAAGGTACTGGAAGTGCTTAATGGATAGCATTTGTTTCCGCCTAGTGCAAAAGATACGAACTTTCCGACCTTGTATCAAGGAACGACCTGTTATGATGTAATGCTTACAGTGCACAAAACTTCATAAGCTCAAGCACATATTTTTGTCTCAGAGAGTCAGAGGATTTTCTAATCTTGCACGAATGACCTTTATCTGCTCATCTACAGAATGGTTCTACGAACTGGATCTATAAACCTGACCATCATCCTTTTTGCACTTAACAGAAAGCTTGATAGGTTTTTCTTTCAATGTGCTGGGTGTTTTGGCTTGCACATGGCTATTACATGGCTGTACATCCCTTATGCACTGTTTTTTTTTTTTTTTTTGCTTCTATATGGCCATTATATCCTTTTTGTATTAAGCTTACAACTTGTAGGGTTTATTTCTCTGCAAGATGGGTGTTTTGGCTTCTAAATGACCGTAATGTCCTTATTGCATTAAGCTATTAAATAAATTGTAAGTTGCAGGGTTTATCTCCCTGCAAGATTGGTGTATAAAGTCCTTTTTTCCACTGAGCTGATAATTCCCCCCTCCCCCCCCCCCCCCCTCCTTGATACTGGTAGCTTTATGTTTACCTCTATTTGACCAGGTGCCTGATGAGCTAGCGGATGCCGTTGAACCGGTGGAGTAGCGGTGGTTGGTGATGTTGTCCACTGAGGGGCTTCTGGAGGGGTTCCTGTAGGGACCAGTAGGCATGATGTTGCTACCATAACTTGGCAGAAAAGCTTGTCCTGGAGAAGCAAGATAAAAGAAAGAATAAAGGAGAATGTTGAATGTTGGTGATGTGGCATGAGTCAATGTTCAGTGGTTCAAAATGTAAATCAACAAATATCCATGAAATACATGTAAGTAAAGTCAAACCTGCTATAGTGACCACCTGTATAGAAAGACCACTTGTCTACAAAGGACACATTTGTTGTTTTCCTTGAAAAAAAGTTTCTTATTGAAACATTTACTATTAAAGGGATCCGGTAACTTTGTCTCAGATTCTGAAACAAAATTCAGGATTTAGCACATGCTGCAACGATAATTATATACCTTTAGGTCAGTCAGGAACCCCATGACTTTTACAAGCCGATCGTCTGTCTGATTCTCAAGATATTTATGATTGGAATTACAAATTTTGCATAACACTACAGTCTATTGGGGAAAACGAGTATGGTAAAACCGGTCACTCAAAGATTTTTACTTTTTTGAGGCACTTCTTGATCATTTTGAAGCGCGATTATTTTAGGGCTTCGATATTACACCATATCACAGACACTGGTAACATGTAGGACCGTGTTTCTCAGATTTAACATTGTTAAACGATCCCTTTAAAAGGAACTTGTACTTAAAGACATCCTGCCCATAAAGACGACCTGCCTATAAAGACCACTTTTCTTGTTTCCCTTTGGTGGTCTTTATTGACAGGTTTCACTATACAAGGAAGAAAGTAAAATAAATCTATTGCTCAATCAAGCATTCACTCTGACATCAATTTATCTATCATTCCACAATTAACCAACATCAACCTATCAAGAGACTAACTGACCAACAACCCATCCACTCCGTCCATAACTCAATCAGGCAATCAATCAGACATTCAATCAGACATTCAATCAGACACTCAATCAGACATTCAATCAGACAACTCAATCAGACAATCAATCAGACAATCAATCAGACAATCAAGCATTCACACTCACATCAATCTATCAATCATCAACAATTAACAGACATCAACCCATCAAGAGACTAACTGACCAACAACTTATCCAGTCCGTCCAGAACTAACTCACAATCAGGCAATCAATCAGGCAATTAGGCAGGCATTCAATCACACATTCAATCAGACAATCAATCAGGCAATCAATCAGACATTCAATCTCACTGACCAATCAGGCAATCCATCAGGCAATCCATCAGGCAATCCATCAGGTAATCAATCAGACATTCAGTTAGACATTCAATCAGACAATCAATCAGACATTCAATCAGACATTCAATTAGGCAATCAATCAGACAATCAATTAGACAATCAATCAAGCAATCAATCAGACAATCAACTAGACAATCAATCAGACAATCAATCTCACTGATCAATCCTTGTTAAGTCATTTGCAAGCAAATTCATTCCAATGCACTTCAGGGCAACTCAACATACAGTTTATTACTCATTTGAGTCCTAATCTTATGCTGCATATTACAAGAGGGCAGAAGAACTCAAATGGAGAATCAAGAGACGTGTACTATGGTCCTCTGGTCAATGTCACCTAGCCAGCTATTAATTTAAACCCTAGTTAGATCAATAAAACAACTCTGTAATCTGATCAGATCTTAAAATGAAAGTATCTTAAAATCGACGGGTACCGGTAGTCGTAATTGATCGTCAATAGGATACAGTTACATTTTCATCACTTGCAATTAATTCATGAATACACGACTACCAGCAAATGTTGTTGCTCTCCATGTTTATGATCATATATTGCCTGATACAAGGTCATTGATAATGAAAGAATGAAAGAGTTCAAGATGAAACCTACTACACCCAACAAATCAAATTACAAGCACGTGAAAAAGACAGAATGATGATAGAACTTCCTTATAAGCCTCAAGTGTGATTCCTAACCTTTGTCTCTTTCCTCTTTCTTTCTTTTTTCTCTTCTAAAGATAGGATTTCTTTCTTTCTCTAATTTAAAGTCTTTCTTTTTCTCTTCTGAAGTCTAGATTACTCTCCTTCTCTCTTTCTCTCCCCATCTCTCTTCTCCTCTCTTCCCCCTCTCTCTTCTCTTTCCACCTCTCTCTCTCTCCCCCCCCCCCCCCTCTCTCTCTCTCTCTCACACACATGAACACATAGGTGTACAATACATGCAAGCCAATAAGCTATCAATCACATCCTTTTATTTTCAAAACATACAAGTGGGAAAGTTTATCTCTAAATGATGCCAATTTCCTACAACATTGATTCCCATTATAGGATTATAATATTTTGTTTCGCGTAAACCATATTGTCCAAACAAGCCCTCGAGTGGGAATTCACGCAAAACCATCTGCATTATTTTGTAAGGGGGCTTTTCGCTGTAAATCCCCTCGTCATGTCTGTCTCCTGTTTTAGCGGGATGCATTCATTCCTCTTGCCCTGGAGTAGGTTCTTGCTAACACGAAGGCTGTGATCAATAAGCACTGTCCATGTTCATTGAACTCTACACCATGCACATCTCCTAAGGGGTCATTCAGACAAGGTAAATCATCATGTACGGGTGATTCGATGTATGTCATACGGGACAGCATTCCAACCATACTGATGGAGGCTATACAAGAATAATTAATATCAAGTTGTTGTGTTGTAGAATTCAATATTAGTTCATTGTCTTTTTAAGTGATTTTCATTTTTGTCTCATCTTTTCTTTTTTGTGTAAAATAAAGGATAGCATGAATATGTTAAACAGGACATATTTTAACAGAATTTCCCCATAGAAACAAACAGACATCCACACTGTAGAGGGAAAAGAGTGTACATTACACAGATCACATAATACATTAACATTTATGTCAGGGAAAAAATTAATATTTATTTTTCGGGGGCTACTTTTCAAGCTTGCCTGCATGAAAATAACTTTCTAAAATTTGTTTTGCATTGAACTCTATGCAAATTTACAGGGGCTCTTTTCTGATTTTCTGGGGCTATTTTGGGCATTTCAGGGGCTAATTCGCCCCGAGCCCCCGTGTATTTTTTTCACTGATTTATGTACATATATGTGCAAGGCTCTGATCAAGGGCATAAAAGTGTTACATATGAGGTGAATTTTAAAAGTCAATTATAGACTGTGGCAACATTATTTTTGTAATCTGCAAACATTATGCAACACATAGCTAGAAAATCAGACCTTAACAAATTGCCATTAAGCGGCAATCAGTAGCCAAATATCACATCATCAAAAATGTTACGTACATAACTCGGTGTCCACTTCATGCTGATATTTCTCTTATAATTTAAATTTTTCTCAACAAAGTACATGAGATGTTAAAACATACCCTAAACAAAACTTAAAACCATTGCCATATCAACTTTTTTCAATTTAGTTATTAGAATTTGGCCAAAACAAATATGGACACCGAGTTATGTACAGTACATCTTATTCTCTAGATGCTTTCTCTTTGCCTTATTGTCAGATATGGTTTTGCATTAGTCTAATATCGACTTCAATTGAAGTAATGATGTGTTTCCTGAATGAAACATAATTTGCAAAGTGTAAATAGTTTGTAAACTACTATTTCAGGACTGAAATGTAAGATTTCTGTACTTAATCGTACATAACTGTGGACACCAAAAGTAAGTAGTTTTACATTCAAATTATAACTTCTTGTTCCTTAAATTCAATAAATGTTTGTTTAAATGAAAATGCAGAAGGGTGCAATTCATGCTGACAGAAATAAATTGATTCATTTATGATAATTTATTTCAAATTGTGATTGGTAGTAACGTACATAACTCGGTGTCTTTTCATAACGGTGTCTTAGTTATGTACATGACATGAAAAAGCTCAAACTGCAATATTTTGTAATATTCTTCTCACCAAATCAGACGTGTGTACAATGTATGTCTTATACATTGTTTACTACCTTACCATAACAAATAACTAAATATAGGGGGTCTTATTGAAGAAAAAACAACATGGTGTACGTACATAACTCGTCACGTACATAACTCGGTGTCCATTCATTGTTGATTAAATCACACATACAATTAAAATGGGGAATCCAATGTTATCAGTGCTCTTCATTCACCTATATACACCATTGCATTATCATTTTGAAAGAATACAATAAGTTTTTGTATAGATTCTGTTGCATGGTTTGTTCATAACTGCAGGACACCAAACATTTTCCATTTTCAGAAATCTGAATATTTTTAAAACCATGACCCAGAATGAAATGATCTGATTAGAAATCAAAGATAAAGTGAAACTAAACATTATAACATTGCAAGCTTGTAAATAAATCAATTATTTATACACCATTCTTCAGTTAGTAAGATTTGAAATTTGCAGGACACCAAAGTTATGTACATATCACAAAAATTGTATCACGTGTAAATGGAATAAGAAAGTAAAATAATAGGAATTAACTCAACAGAAATGTTAATTATTACATAGATTCTACATCAAGATTTAAAAAAATCACAAGTTTTGCATCCCATTAGTAAAAATATGGTATCCAATTAGTGCATGTTTTGAATGTAACGTTAAAAGTGCTGAAAATAGGCCTTTTTTCATCATAAAATTGCTCTAAAATCTTTAATTTGAACTCAATGAAGCTGAAAACTTGTTTGGAGCTTCCCCCAATGGTACTTTCTAATATAAAAATGCTAATTTGTGTCTGGGTCTCATGGTTTTGGATAATTGAACAATTTCCCAGTGTTCAATCTACATTTTTGTAAGTGTACCCTTGATCTGAGCCATGCACATATATGTTTGGGTAAAAAGCATGGAGTTGTGAACAGTTATTGTAATTACATGTATACTGCAAGACTGGAATACTTCATACAATGGACAAGCCTGTATTTCGCTCTCCAACTTTTCCCTAAGATTTTGTAAACACAAGTAAAACTTCAAAGTTATGATCACACACTATGGCTCCGCATAAGAAACTCCTGATTGAAAAAAATTTACATCTGCATGCATAGGTCCACTGTTCAAGTTTTCAAAATCATCGGTCCAGCACAAGAGTTAGGGGACCCATGCACACC